TATTATTTTTTGTTTTTTTTTTTTTTTTTTTTTTTTTTTTTTTTTTTTTTTTTTTTTTTTCTTTTTTTTTTTTTTTTTTTTTTTTTTTTTTTTTTTTTTTTTTTTTGTATATATATATATATTTATGTGTATATATATCTGTATATATATATATATATATATATATATATATATATATGGTTGTTGTCTTGGACTGAAGGCTGCAGGACGAGGTCGTCGAAACTATTTCGGATATAAAAGCAGCGGGGGTGAAGGTGTGGGTGTTGACGGGTGACAAGTTGGAGACAGCGATTAGTATTGGCCACAGTTGCAGCCTGCTGACAGACAGGACTTACAACGCAGTTGTGGATGGGAAGAGCGAGGAAGCAGTTAGAGAGCAGCTGCATCAGTACATGAGCTACATCGTTGCGGCACAGCTGGCATCTGATGCATTCGAGATGATTGCTTTGAAGTCTGTACGTTTCTTCCGTGCTGGCGTTGGGTGTCGCTAGGCTGTTTTTTCGCAGGCACTATTAGACGCTACGTGGGGGGTAGTCTTACGCCATATATATATATATATATATGTATATTGTGTCTCTAAGACATATGAGTTTGTATGCATATGATCCCCGTTCTTTAGCGATTTCTTCAATTGCCTTTCTTTGTTATCACCTCCTGCTTCCGTGACGCTCACAACAGCGTGGCATTGGGCCGGCGTATGCCGAGAGCTTTCTCTCCGACGGCCCCTTGCTGGGGGTTCAAAGATTGCCAGCAAGCCGCTCGCTGTAGCTAGCCAGAGCTTTTGCTCCTATCCGAAAGGATGGCAAGCGATTTTGGTGGTCCTTAGCACCGCGGGTGCTGCTCGTGCAAGTTGCAGCGTTGCTGCTGCTCGCCATTCCCATTCAAACACTGTTGCACGCAGCTTTCTGTAGATGGAGGCTCAAGCGTGTTGTGTGAAGCCTTTTTGTGGGTGTCTCTGCGTGGAGATGCATGCGTTTTAGTCAGGTGCATGCGTTTTACTTGGGTGTATGCGTTTTAACCAGGTGCATGCGTTTTAATCAGGTGCATGCGTTTGAATTAGATGCATGTAGACATGTGCATATATATATCCATATATATGTGCACCCTTGGGAATCTGTCGATGCTTATAACCGCGTTTGTTGTTGCTGCTGTGTCTTGCGGCTGTGAGGGCCTTATGCAGCTGCAGCATCGGCCTTCCGACGTGAGCGAGGACGCACGGAGCATTTCTGCTGGTCAGAGACAGCAACAGCGGTGTAAGGGATTTTGCAACAAATCTCCCGCCGTCTGTTTTCGCAGTCCTGTGACCGATGGCGAACAGGCTGCGGTGTTCAGACACCGCCGGGCAGAGCCTCCCACCATCCCTTGGGATTCTTTCGTCAAAATTCTCACGTTTAATGCCACGAAGAAGGTCGTCAAAGCGGATCCGAAACAGTAGGCCTTGCGTTGCCTTCGCCGCTTGGAGGGGTGGTTTAATGTGGAGTTTTGCGCGGCGAAAGGAGGGGTTGGGGGAAGCCTCGGTGTCTGTCATGTGCGGCAGTAGAGCGTTCGTACAGCCGAGGGTGTGGGGCCTTCTCTTTCGAGAGTTGTTTCGGTTTGTCAACGGGGAAGGAATCTGTTCGAGGGGGGGAGAAGGGGCCATAGTCCACCTGTCATCATCATAGCACACATAGACACTTCCTTACACACGTATGTATTTATGATGTGTATATATACATACATATATATATGTATATATACATCTGTATACATGCGTGTAGTGTGTCTGGGTGTGTCTGGATGTTTGTGAAGGCGACGGAACAAGCGTCTATCTCCACATCAGGTGGAAGACATCGTACAGGAGTACTTAGAGCACTTTGAGCGATTCAGCGAAGAGGGCAAGGCTAGGGAGAGGAAGACGAAGAAGGACGCAGCGAAGAAGAGGCCTCATGCTCGCTCGAGGAGCCGGAAAAGCGATTTCTCTCAGGAGGAGTCGGCAGATAGGGGAGACACTGCCGAAGGGATGGTCGTCGCTGCCACGATATCTCCGCAAAAAGATCCTCCCCAGCTGAGACATGCCGTGATGACAGCCACAGAAACGGAGGAGGATCAGCAGCTGCTCTCGCGCACACCCACAGACAAGAGCACTACAGTCAGGGAACATGATTCGAAAAGTTCTAGAGATATGCCCGCAGTACAGGGCTTTCAAGAGTAGGTGATGCAAGAAACCGATTTTTGTTGTTGATGTGGAGTGCAAAAGCGAGGCTTTCTGCCACGAGAGGGGGTATCTTTTGAGGCTTCGTGCGCTGAACAGTTGAGAGAAAGCACCATCCTCATCATCCCTCTGCTCAGGCGGACAGGGGGAAAGGAGGAGGGAGGAGTCGGCATGATTTTGATGGCCTCATGAGAGACTGCCCATAGGATGCCTCTTTTTTACCCCTTTTGCAATGTGGCTGCCTTCCATAGTCTATCTCCTCGAATTTGCCTCACGCCGTTTACATCTATTCCTACGTCTTTCTCGTTCTCTCTCTTTTTCTCTCTACATGTGTGTATGTGAATTGTACTGTACGTTTGTATCTGCACTGTATATGTGCGTGTGTGCATATTGTAAGGGTGTGTCCGTGTGTATTGTATGTAGGAATATGGAGATTAGAGCATGTGTGTATGTACACATGTTTGTGTAAATGGATTTTATGTACAGGTTTGTCGGATCTCTGTGTCTGCATGTCTTCAGATGTTCTATCACCATAACGGGGGAGGCATTGACGCACGCGTTGTCTTCTGCAGAGAACAGGCGGTACTTTTATGGTCTCGCATCTCTCTGCAACACCCTCATCGCGTGTCGTGTCTCGCCGAAGCAGAAAGCCGAAGTGGTGCATTACTGCCAAAGGTAGGGAGCTCAGCCTTCGGTCAGAGCCGTACTGGTCTCTTGTTTGCATGCGTGAAGAAGAATGTCTGTGAAATTCTGTGTATTTCGAAGTGCATTTCCCTCTCTTCACATGAATATATATCTGTATATCTCCCTGTCTGTGCACTGAGGGAGCGCCTCTTGGGGTCCCTTGCCCTGGCAGAGTGCTGGCACCAAAACACGTGGTAAAACAGCGAAAAAAGCGTTTTCTGGATGTTCTTTGATGTCTTCTTAGGTATCAAAGCAACACGGTTTCTCTAGGCATTGGAGATGGCGCAAACGACGTGGGAATGCTCATCTCCGCAAACGTAGGGGTTGGCATTCGAGGCAAGGAAGGATTGCAGGCGGTGCGAGCGGCGGATTTCTCGATTACTGAATTCAAGTAGGTGACGTGCTGCTGCAGTTGAGAAGGCCTTTTTTGCGCGTTATTGCTTTCTTCGGAGGGAGGAAGGAGAGCAGAGCAGAGAAGGCAGGGAAGATGCGGGGGGAGGAAGGAGATCAGAGCAGAGAAGGCAGGGAAGATGCGGGGGAGGAAGGAGATGCGGAAATGAAGAACTTCGTACACAGGAAAACTTTGGGTTCTACAGTGGCTGTGGTTGTTGCTGGCGGATAGGCCTCGCAGAAGGCTTTCTTGCTGCACAGAAGATGCACGAAACGCATATATTGTACTGCTCAGCACCGCTGGCAGATGCATGGGGGGTTTTTATGGGGAGGCCTCCCAAAGGCAGGGGTGGTGGAGGGTGGTGGTGGGGTTGGGGTTGGGAGTCCGTGTTTCGGGGGCAGGCACCTCTGACGTTATGGATGGCGTAGAAAAATATGTTTGCCTTCCGATTTACACCAGATGCATTGCGCTTGAAGTCTAGAAGGCCTTCTTCTTCTCCACTGATCCCCCTTCCTTTTCTTCCCTATGGGCTGCCTACGCGGATGTGGCACGTTGGTCTGTCCGCTGCATGCTTCTTTTCTTCTGCAGGTACCTCAAGAACCTCCTGTTTTGCCACGGGGCAGAGGCGCTCCGTCGAAATTCTTTTCAAATTTATCAGACGATTTGGAAGAACGTTGTCTTCGGCGTTGCGGATTTCTTTTATGCCTTTGTATCCGCGTGGTCAGCGTCAGATATTTTCAATTCATGGCTCAAGCAGCTCTTCAACGTGCTGTACACCACGCTGCCTGTTGTTCTTTACTCCATCTTCGACAGACAGCTGCCCATGGAGGTGACTCTGCAAACACCTGTGCTTTATCCAGCATACGCAAGTACGTTGTAGCGAATGCACTGGATGTTCGGGAAGGGGGGAAAGGGGGGGGAGAGAGTTTCGCCGCTTGGGCCTTACGGACTTGCAATGCCAGAGGGCGTCGAGGCACAAGGCTTTCACGCTTCAGGCTGCTGTCTGTACAGCACCTTTCCTCGTGTATCGGTTGCTTGTGCTGCACCGCAAGAGGCCGGAGTAGAGGGTGGGCTAGAGGCAGACTCACAAATCACAGGCGCAGCAAGTCGGTTTTATTCGCGCGAGGCAGAGCGGTGTGCATTGGTGAAAAACGCCTTATGGTCGTAATGGCTTGGCGATAACCTTTCGAATTCGTGCTCAAGCACACCAACACGTAGCCGTGTGCAGGCGCAGGAGGGGAGCCAGGGGCACCTGTATATTGTACATGTATTTGTATGTGCGTATTTTTTGTGTGTATTTGTATGTGTGTATTTGTAGCTGTGTATTTATATGTGTATGTGTATTTGTATGTGTGTATTTGTATGTGTGTATTTGTATGTGTGTATTTGTAGCTGTGTATTTATATGTGTATGTGTATTTGTAGGTGTATATTTGTATGTGTATTTGTAGGTGTGTATGTTTATATGTCTATTTGTATGTGTCTATTTGTATGTGTATATTTGTATGTGTATAGTTGTATGTGTGTATTTGTATGTCTATTTGAATGTGTATATTTGTATGTGTATTTGTGTGTGTATGTATTTGTATGTGTGTATTTGTATGTATGTCTATGTATTTGTATGTGTATGTGTGTATTTGTTTGTGTCTACTTGTGTGAGTGCATTTGTATGTATGTATTTGTATGTGTGCATTTGTATGTGTCTATTTGCATGTATGTATTTGTATGTGTGTGTTTGCATGTGTATTTGTATTGATGTATATGTATGCGTCTATTTGTATATGTGTATTTGTATGTGTGCATTTGTATGTATGTATTTGTATGTATGTACTTGCATGTGTTTATTTGTATGTGTGTACTTGCATGTGTGTAGTTGTATGTGTGTACTTGTGTGTGTGTATGTATAGTGTGTGCATGTGTATTTATATGTACACGTATGTGTGTTTGTATATTTGTGCTCTTCAGAGCTAGGCGTCCAGCGGTTCGCTGGTGCCGGCCTGTTTTGGAGATGGTTTGTATACGCGTTGTTTACAGCCTGTTGTTGCGTTTTTGTGCCGCTTTACGGCCTTGGTTGGGGTATTGGAAACAGCCAATCCGAGGGGCACCTTTCTTTGAGCGTCAGATTCCAGGGCACTGTTGTTTTTTGGACGATTATTATGGTAGGCGGCGTTTCTTGCCAAGTGTAGGATTTTAGTGCCTCCCCGGGGTGTGCTGGCTTCGCTCGCTGCTGAGCACGTTCAAGTTGGCATCCTCTGTTTCCAGGATATGCTGCGCTTCTGTTGCTGCTGTGCAGTGTTTTACCATTTTAGACGCATGGGGGATAGGGTGTCCATGCTTCGCATGGTGCGACTGCTCTCGTGGATGTTTTTCCTGCGCAGGTGTGCAACTTAATCGTCATCCCCTACCTGCATACGTGGTTCTGGTTCATATGGCTGGCAGTCTTCTTAGACTTTGGCTTTTGGTTTTTGTCTGTTGGAATTTGTCCCATTGTACCCGGAGATTACTGCCCGGATCTGTATGGGGCGTTGCGTGCCACGCACTCCCTTAGCAGATTCTACTTCTCCGTCTTCCTCGCCGTTGTTGTTGCGCTGATGCCTCCTTTCATCAACTGGTTTTACGTGGTAAGGCATGCACACACACATACACACACACACATACACACACATGCATACACATACACACACACATACACAGGCACCCTCTGGAGGTATGTATATACATATGTATCGTATTTTTTGTTCGTTGAGGCTGTATTCGTAATGCGAGCTGCTGGAAAAATCCCCAGCTTCTGCGGCTGCGTAAGGAAAGGAAAACGCGTCGCGAGACGGCTGTCCAATAGGCAACCGTGGCAGCCGTATTTTTCGCCCCTCATCAGACCCTGTCTTTTGTTCTCATAACCGTATTGCCATGCGGAGGTTTGTAATTCTGTGTGGCTTTCTTCTCAGACCATGTTTCGGCCATCTGCTCAGTGCATCATTCGGGAACGGATTGCCATGGGTGTTTTCGACGTGGTAGTGGCACCGAGAGGCGGCCCTAAAACCGTTGTCGTAGTCCCCAAGACAGGAAGCGAGGAGTGGAGAGGATACGCATTTGCTGAGCAGGTGTATATATGTATATATATATATATATATATATATCCTTATACTTTTGTAGACAGAGACACAGAGATACAGAGAGAGAGAGAGATACATAGAGATATATATGTATATATGTACATATATGGATATAGATAGGTATAGAGAGAGCGCCTTGTGGTGAACTAGATGCGGTTTCTACCCTTATAAAACGTGTAGGAGGGAAGGCGCTGCTGCATGCAATGCTTGAAAGTCTCGTTTCCTGTCTGGCGTGCGAGGAAGCATGCACCTAGAAGGCAGTTGATTATTCCTACGAGCACTGATCATGCGTGCCAGCACAGCTGTTATGTTATGCATGTATGTTTCTAGCGCGCATGCCGTTCTATTGGGCAGTTGGTTTTGATGACCCTAGGAGTGGTGCGAATGCAGTCTATTAGGCAGTGGACCTTGCGTTTGTGCTTCGTTTGGCATGCATGCATGCATGCATGCCAGATTGCATTTGTGGCTGTAAATATGTGCATATGTGTGTGTATGTTTTTGTGTGTGTGTGTCGAATCCAGGACCGCACGCGTCTGGGGCATCACCGCCTTTCTATGTTGCGCTACACTTCTAATGCAAGTGTTTTACCCCGACTGGATGGGGAATGCGCCGCATCGCGCCACAGTCGGAGTTCGATTCATTCGCAGTCTGCAGGGTTCCGTGGTGGCAGCAGCAGCACCGCCTCTATGCTTCCCGCCAATAGACGACCTGTGTCAGCATCTCCTTCAAAGATGGGAGGCAGTGGCGTCTGAATGGGCCAGAGCAGCGTTCCTGTTTTGCCGTGCCGTCTCGTCCGCTGCTTTTGTAGAGGTGCTGCTGCGCTGCACGTTGGCGAGCTGCAGCAACAAAGAATATAGAGTACCTCGCTTCCAACAGGGAGCTCGTGGTAGTTGGCAAGGTGGGGCCGTCGAGGCGTACGTGCTGTTATCTTCCCCACATCGATCAATTCGAGCTGGCCGATCTCGAAATGGGAACAACCCTCCTGGAAATAGCAGTGCTTCGGACGCTTTGAGAATCACAGCGCACGTAGCAGCCCTTCTTTGCTAGAGTGTATTTACAGCATTCAGGCATTTGCATGCATGTGTAACATACGAACAGAAGCCTAAATCTAGCTGGCCCTAGCCACTTCTTCCCCAAAGTTTTAGCGCGCCACCACATGCATGAGCTGTTGAACTCCGGATTCGACGGATAATGCCTGGCGGTGGAGATCGCCTGGCTGATTCATTTGCAAGGCGGTTTTTTTGGCTGCACGATGAGATGCTCCTTCTTTTGGCCCTTCACGTATGGGGATAAGGACATGCCGTTATCCTGTGTGTGGGACCTGAATGACTGTAGGATTTGATTTCCTCTTCCCTCGTGCGGCTGTACTTGTAGTAGTAAATTGAAGGGGCAGCTGATGCTGCTTTCTCGGTAGGACTTATCTTAAACGCGTAAAGCAGCTCCGCGCTGAACTGGACCTCGTGGGGTAGCATCGCATAGGAAAGTACAGCGCAGGATATGATATGCGTGCTGCAGCACTGAACGATAAGGAGATTAATCACAGTTGGACATGCCGACAGCATTTTCCCGATACGCGCCTAATGTTTGCAAGGGGAGGGAAGGAAGGGGGAGTGTCGATTCCTAAAGAAAGCGTATTGCGGGCTAGACTACCTTCCGGCACTTTCTACTACACAAGTTATATATGGAAGCTGGTGAAAAGTTGACTCCTTATTTGATTTGGATGTTCGCATATCTTGATTGTTGCAAAGTAGAGTTTGCTCAGTCTGATAAGAATCAATGTTATGTGTCTGATGGCTAGATGCGATGTACAGCTAGCTGTGTAGGCTCGAGAGCTCAAAGAGGGAAGCTACGCGAAATCTAGCCATCCCTTTTCCCTCGTAACGGAGCCCTGTGGGGTGAGAGCATGGAAGGGCGACATCCTTTGAAAGAAGGCTATACAGCATTCTATTCAGCTTTGCGTTGGCTGCACTGGCAAGGGTGTTACCCCATGGGATCCTGGACTCGAGGGAGGACAAAGAACCTGAGTTTCCTTGAGAAATGACGCAGAACCTGAATTTATGTGAGGCATTAAAAAAGAGGCGAAAGTGTCAGCGATGGGACCGAAGCCTGCAACCTTTGAAGCCTTACTCCGAGTGGATCTGCACTAGTTTTGATGTGCTGCCTCTGATGCCTGCCCTTTTGAGATTCTTTGCAACCATGGCAATATTCTGAGCTCCAACACACTCAGTGATGCTCTACGGAGGGAATGAGCTAGCGACAGAGGGGCGCCCGCTGGCGTGCTGGCGACAGCTGGCAAAGGCAAACGTCAGATTTTTGTCAGATTTTGTACCACTCTCTCGGGCCACTCACGATCCGCCTGCCGAGTCAAGGGGAATAGACATGAGCGAACATGAAGAAGACGCAAAAAAGATAGGAGGAAACGTTAGCAAGGTGCCGCAGCAGTGCCTCCCCGTGTTGTGCGCGAAGCGGTGGGGTGGTGGTTACAGGAATTGAACGCAGCCTGTAGGTGTCTTGGCTTTCCATGGAGTGAAAGGACCTTTAGCATGTGAAACAAGGAAAACCACGCTTAACGCTCTATATTAAGCACTTGATTAGCAGTGTTTGTCGAGGCTTTTGGCTTCGTTCGCTAGTAATGCCGCTCTTTCCAATACACGCTTCCTGAGTGGCTGCTGCCACGACACAGTGGCGCTGCCTGCATGCGTCTGAGCACACCAGACTCTAACCGGGAAGAAAACACAGTGCGCAAACGTCTGTTCACTGTTTTATAGAATTTTTTTCCATCGACTGCCAGTCTACGAAACCAGCGGCGGGCGGGAGGAGCAGAAGCGGCTGCCTTAGGTCAACATACAGCAGCTGCCGCAGTGGCAGCAAACGGCGCATAGGCCCCTTCTACGCCATTATTGTGCTTCGATATTGCGCTTCTGGCTTTGTTTGTGCATTAGCAGAGATCTTTTCCAGGTTACCTGCGGCATAGGCCTTCATGGACAGGGGCATGGTCACTCCAGAGGCTGCAGCTGATGCGGAAGTAACTCAACGGCAACGCAGGGTTTGAGTGCATTTTCGCCTGCCGTAGCTGCTCCAGGCTCGGTAGTCTCTTCGTCTGCAGCCGGCAGCAGCGCGCGCAAAGGCAGTCTCCCAGTTTCGAGTGCAGCAGCGCACAAGTTCATCCCTCGGGAAGGAGCGGGCTGCCTCGTGCCTTCCTAGAGCAGGCGAATGGAAGCGCTTTCGCAGTTGCTGCAGCAGCAGCGGCAGACAGACCATCAGCAGAATTCTTCGAGGGCTCAGGAGTTGCTGCAGCGGTTAAAGGGTCAAAGGGAGCAACACTTAGCCACAGAACAATGGCTGCATGCGCTGCAGCAGAAGCAGAAGGAGCACCAGCAGGAGCACGGCATGCCTCCTGACCAACAGGTGCTGCAGCAGATCATAGGGCGGCAGACGGCGCAGATGCACATGCTGCAGCAGCTGCAGCAGCTTCACCGGCTGCACCAACAGAATCCAGCACTGCTGCAGCAGCTCCTGCATCAAGGAAATACTCCCCAGCAGGAGCAGCAGCAGCTGCTGTCGGCCATCAACAACAGGGCGCTGCTGCTGAAGCACCTGCAGCACCAGTGGCAGCAGCTAGCGAGCCAGCAGCGGCAGCCGCAGCTGCAGAATCGCCAGCGGCAGCTTATCGACCAGCTCACGAGCCTCCTGATCGCGGAGAGAAAAGTGGCGCAGCAGAAGCGAACTCTGGAGAGGCAGCACCAGCTGCTCTTGCAGCCAGAAGTAGTTGGAGAAACAGACTTTCCTGCTCCAGACGGAGGAGCCACGGAGGCTGCCACCTCCCCAGTCACATATGTTCGCCAGCAGATGCTGCAGCTGCTGCAGCGACAGCTGCAGCAAGCGGCAGCTCAAGCGGGCACTGGGAGAGGCTGTGTGTCTTTCAGTGCACACCAACCCCATCAGCAACAGCATCAACAACACCATCAGCAACAGCAACCACAACATCAGCCGCTGCAGCGGCACGCATCGGCAGACAGCGGCTTCTTCCGAAGGAGCAACGGGCGCCTTTCTCCTGGCAAGCCACCCTTGAAGAGGCGCAAGGCAGCTCCAAGAAGGCGTCAACAAGACGAAGACTCTGATTATGATGCGATTAACAAAAGGCTTTCCACGCGTTACAGCCAGGATCGGCAGCGGGCAGACGCAGCTTCGGTGGAAGAAGGCGACTCTGCCGCGGAGGGGGGAAGCAACAGCAGCAACAGCAGCAGCAGCAGCAGCAGCGGCGAGGAGCAAGAAGCTCGAGTAAACGCGAAGGAACGGCAGCAGCTTTTGCGCCAAAAGCAGGAAGAATCGCTGCAGCGATGTTGCGCACAGGCCACATCAGTCCTTAGGCTGCAGCGTCTGCGGAGGAAGCAGCAGCAGGAGCAGCAGCAGCAGCAGGAGCAGCAGCAGCAGCAGGAGGAGGAGGAAGTCGAGGGCATGGAAGACGCTGACAAGAGACAGTCCACGCGTTACAGTAGGAGCAGCAATGGAGGTGTTCAGCAGGGTGAGGCAACGGGCATGAAGAGCAGCACCAGCAGCAGCGAATCCGACGGAGAAGGCGCAGCAGCTGCGATCGAACGAAAACTGTACAGACGCTTGAAACAGCTGGCAGGGGATTCTGTTCTGAGCCTCAAGGGACGAAGCAGGAGGGGCGGCATCACGGCGGAAGAAATGAATCTTCAGGAAAAAATTGATGCATTGATTGCAAATGGGTAAATAAGTCACGCATTAAAAAAGAGCGACTTAGAGAGAATGGGCAAGGAAGGGTCCTTTTAGTTACCTTTCCCTCCTTCAATGCTGTATGTAGGCCGCAATTTTCTTTTTCTTTACCGCTATATATATATATGTATATATATATATAAATATATATGTGTATATATGTATATGTATATATATATATATATATATGTGTGTATATATGTACATATATGTATGTACATATATGTATATATGTATATATATATATATATATGTGTATATATGTACATATATGTATGTACATATATGTATATATGTATATATATATATATGTGTATATATGTACATATATGTATATATGTATATGTATATATATATATATATATATATATGTGTATATATGTACATATATGTATATATGTACATGTATGTATATATGTACATATATGTATGTATGTACATATATGTATGTATATATCTTTTTCTCGCGGCGTGTTAGTGTCAAGACAGACACGACAACTCTGTGCTACACACTTTGGGGGAAGCGAGGAAAGTCTTGCGAGGCGTCATGCGGCGTCTTTGTGCATGCAGCGTGGCATGCCCGACAGTAGAGAACATCTCGCCTCTGTGCAATGTATACACGATTACTTCGCGGTTTCAGCCGCAGAATCACGGCTCCATGTTGTCTGATACGCGGAGAGTTTCCAAGTATCGAGCAGCAATCGATGCACTGGCTAAGCAAGCAGACAGTGCTCTCGAGATTGGATGCGGACCTGTGTGCTTGCTGGCGATCAATGCGGCTAGAGCAGGTAAGCGTTGAGGGGAGTCGACAACGGTGGAAGAAAAGATGGTGACAAGCGTTGGTTGGTTGCGCAGGTGCAGCGACTTGCGAAAAGCAGGCAACAGAAAGTGCAGGTAGAACTTGCTCCTTTGGAAGGCAAGCGGCAGAGTTTGCCTTCGTGACACAGGAGGAGTGAGGGGTGTGTGTGTGTGGCTCTGTCTGTAGCGGGGGCGTTTCGAGAGGCAGAACTGTGTGTCTAAATAGGACTGCCAACTGATCCGTGCATGCTTTTTCGTCGAGGCATTCTCGAGGAGACATGTCTGCTTGTGTGTCAGGTGCTAAGCGAGTTACTGCACTGGAGGTTTCTAGGCGCTCTGCTGCCGAGGCTTCTTCCTACGTTCGCATCTACGGATTTGATCAGACCATCAAAGTGCTTCCTCTCTTCTCGAAGGAGGCGGACCTAGCGGAGCTGGCTGCTGATGCCAGGCATGTGCTAAAGCAGCAGCAAGAGCAGCAGCAGCAGGAGCAGCAGCAGCAGGAGCAGCAGCAAGAGCAGCAGCAAGAGCAGCAGCAAGAGCAGAGCAGTGGTAGCTGCAGTAGCAGCAGCAGGGCGAGTGCTTCCAGATGCAGAAAGAGAAGCCAACAGGTTCTTGCGAACGCTAGTGAGAGCAAGCAGAACAAAAACAGCGGCCTTAAAGGGGAAAAAAACGGCTTTGATCTGCTGATTCATGAAATTATCGGAGATATATGCAGCAACGAGGGCGTTGCCGACGTTATTCTTGATATTCAAGAAAGAACTGGTATGATGCTGTTGCTCTTGCTGTCGGTTGTTGCTGCTGCTGCAGGGCCAGTGCTGCCTTTTTAAAGTGTCTATATGATCTCGGTTGCTGCGTTTGTAAAAGTAGCATCCCCCTCCTCCATAGAAGACAGCTTGCATGGAGCTATATGTATATATATATATATGTATATATATATATATATATGTATATATATATTCAGCCGCAGTCAAGCGGCCGTGTTTCAGTCTGCGGCTGCTGGTGCGATTTGTGCGTTGGGGAGGGAGAGAAGCCATGCACGAAGAGAAAGCTTTTTCGACGCTCTGACCTACGCGCATATGCACACGTCTTGGGTGTGGGATGTCTAATTCTTTGTTTGTGGCTGTGCATCTGTGTGTGTGGCGTCTTATTGTTTGTCTGATTTGTGCTTGCTGCAGGAAGAATCTGCCGATCAGTGCCGTGTGCAGGCCGTACGTGGTTTGCACCGTGCGAGTTTCCTGCTCAGAGACACATCCGCTTCCCCCATAGCAAGTAAGCTGCATGCTGTGCATGCGTCTGTCTGCTACTGCCGCCGTTGCTGCGCGATTGCTTTTTTTTCCGCCAAAACAGGCTCGCCGCTCGCATGCTTCACAGCTGCTAGGGGGGGCCGCCGCACAACAGCAAACAGGAGGTGCTAACCGTGCGGCTAGCTAGCTAGCTAGCTAGCTAGCTCTGCGGGTGTCTGCCAGCCTGCCAGCCTGCCAAGCCCCTCTCCTCTCGTCTGCATGTTCAGGCTTGTACCCCCATGCGGCTTCTCGCCTTTTTACGTCTGCAGATTTCCCCTTCGCACGATCGTCTCGCCTAATCGTGTCTTGCTGCAATCTGTCGGCTTGCGGTTTGCTCCTCTGCTCCTTTCGGATTGCTTTGCGCCTCTGGAAGAGCTCAACTTCGAGCAGCACATGCGGCCTCAAATGCTGCAGAAGAGAAAAGCAACCTTCACATGCACACGTTCCGGTACGGTGCATGGAGCACGCTAGCTGCAGCAGACGGATACGCTGCAGCTGCGTCTGCGGCTGCTCCTATGCGGTAGAGGATCTTTTAGACGTTGCCTTTTCCAAAGGCACACAGTCCAACAGCGAGCCAACGGAGGGGAGAGATGTCTACACACAGAATGGCTGCTTCGCACTTGCTTGCTGGCGTCTCGGCTGCTTCGCGATGCCCCGGGGTTTTGTAGCTAGCTAGCTAGCTAGCTAGCTACAAAACACCTGCCCAGCAAAGCCGTTGCGGACCCCTTTCTGCGGCACATACATATATGCGCTGTGAACGGGTGGAAAGCCTCTCCGTGTTGCTGCTGTTTCGCATGCAGGAAAACTCGCCGGCTTTGTGCTCTGCTGCCACGTGGATCTGATGGACGGCGTATTCATCGATCACAGAAAAGGCAACGAAGAGAGTCACTGGTAAAGTTACACTCACTTCGCTTGCTGCTGCGAATGCTGCGGCGCCGAATTCTGCCCTCCATCGCGTCTATATATATATATGTATATATATATATATATATATATATATATACACCTATGTATATTTATATGTACCTATATGCACATACATATACATATCTATACCTACATGTGTGTATATGTGCATATATTAAAATATGTAGATCAATCAATTAGGGGGTGTGTCTGGCCGCTGTGCTTTCGGCGGGATTATTTCTCCGATAGAGTCCGCTTTGCGCAAATCTTTTTGCTCCTTTTTTTCCCGAATCGGCTAATTGGCTGCTGCTGCTGATCATAATGCGTCGTATGCGCGCTTTCCGCCGCATGCACGCTGGGGGTTGTCTCTCGGGGGACGGCAAGCAATTCTGCTGGCTTTTGCGTTGCTGCAGGTACACAAACATCGCGATGCTAAGGGATGAGGTGGAAGTTATGGAGGGCGATACAGTGGACGTATATTCCTGCGCAGATCTACAGAATTACCAGGTGATTCGCAATACGTTGTCTCTTTTGGGAAGGGCCGCTGCTCTTTTGTCGTCTGTCTCTCTCTTCATTCGTTCAGTCTTTCTGTCTGTCTCTTTCTTTCATTTCTCATAAACTCGCTGACTGTCCTTCTCGCAGCAGTGCAATCTTTCTAAAAGAAGTGTAGACCTGTACCTCTACGTCAGAGTTTGAAAGGTAGAGAGGGTCATGTGAAAATTCCGCCTGTTGCTGCCCTCCATCTGCATTTCATGTGCTTCTCTCCACGGATAAATGCGTATATACACTGTGAATATGTATCGGCATAGCTTAGCACAATGTAATATTCAGCTCTCTTTCTCTCTGGATTTATCGCCTTTCGCGTGGCGTTTTTTTCGAGTCTTCCGACTGTTGTATTAAGCTCCCAGCCACCGCATGTCTGCCGAGCCGCTCACTTGCTCGTTGGCTACATATATGGCTGGTATCCCTCCCTCCGTTTTTTCCTGAGATTCGCTAAAAAAGGCATCGCGCCGACAGCTTCCTGCTGCTGCTGCTCTGCCTCAGGGGGTTGACGTTCCTATCGGTGCCTCTCTGGCAGATGCTCCAGAAGTGCAGCAGACGCTGCATCCTGAACGGCTGTTCTCGACGCCTCCCCGGAAGAAGCAGCCGCAGCAGCTGCACAAGCAGCAGCAGCAGCAGAAGCAGCAGCAGCAGCATAAGCAGCAGCAGCAAAAGCAGCGCGGTAGAAGCACGACGCCCTCTGCTGCATTGCCTAAAAGCAGCGGCCGCATGACTCGTGATGAAAGCCATCGACTCTCGCCTCAGGATCAGCAGCTGATGCAGGAGGAAGAAGCTTGGCGATATCCGTTTACTGCCGAGAAAGAGCAGCCGCAGCAGCCGATCCCCCCAGGATATCGCCGCATCAACTTGTCTCGTCCTCGTTTCTCGCTGTCTGCTGAAATTCACAGGCTTCCCCTTTCATCTCTCAAATCCTCCTGCAGCAGCAGCTGCACACCTGCTGTGACGCCTTCGACCAACGAAGACATCACAAGCAATCGGAGCAACGTCAGCACCGCTGCTGACACGCATTCGCAACACAGTCCTACCCATGCAAGTGCAGACAGCTGGGGCAGTAGCAGCGGCCAAAGCGGCGTGAAGTCAGAACGCAACAACAGCAGCAGCAGCAGCAGCAGCAGCAGCAGTAGCAGCAGCAGCAGCAGCAGCAGCAGCGGCAGCAGGGCTGCTGCTGCTGCTACAGAGCCATCCGCAGCAGCAGCAGCAGCAGCAGCAACGCAGCCTTCGTGTTGCTCCGGTGAAAGTGGCCTTACAGAAGTTGTGCGCCTTGATCCTATAATTATTACGTATGCTGAGCAGTCACCTCATCTGGATAGGGCTGTAAGCTTTCGACTTCCGACGCTGTTTCTGCTGCTGCTGCCTCCTTTGTTGTCGGTCTAAGGATATCTTTAAGGCTAAAAGGCAGAGTCAAGAATGCTGCGTTCTACGCATCCTGCTGGCTTCTCGCACCAGTCCGAGCTGCTTCGTGTTTCGCTGCATGCAGGGAGGCCGTCAGCTTCGGTGATGCGCGCGAGGCTTGCCACGTACCAAGCCTTTGCCGCAGCGACACCGCTGCAGATGCAGAATTCTTAGCACGCGCAGAAGCAGCATCAGCAGGTGTAACAACTAGCATCTCCGCTACTTCCAGTTGGCGTTCCTTCTTGCAGCCAGGGGGTTATCCTTCAGAGTCTACTACACCGTGTACACACAAACACACACAAAGAGGTCGGCTGGTGTGCCGTGCAAGCTTCCTCAACATTCCCACCAGCAGCTGCCCCCAACTCACGGCGCAGCCAGTGGTCCTTCGCACGCCACAGACTGTGCGAGCCAATGTGTCTGTACACGGAGTGCGCTGCTGCTCTTGCCCAAATGAATCATACGCCTAAAAGCAAGGGCGTTCAGCCGATGGCTGCTATCCCTTTCCGTAGGGAGGGAGTCAGTGCTCTCCACGACTACTGCTCCCGCCGCTACACTGCTTTTGCTGCTGCTAAAGAACAGCAGCAGGAGCACTGCTGCTACTACTACAGCACCACTCCCACGCACCGTTGCATCCCGCAGCTGCAGGACGGAAACGCCGCGCTTGTACTTGGCGTGGGGGCGCCTAGCTAGCTAGCTAGCTAGCTAGCCGCTGCCCAAACTCGTCGCCGGTTTGTAACACTACTTGGCAGTACAAATAGCGGCTGCAAGGGCCTCCCTGTGCAGCGCTGTGACGAGGCAAGTGGAGGAGGTAGAGCGGCAGCAGCGAGGTAGAGGCTGTGGCAAAAAGAGAGTCTAAGCAGCTCGGCATGGCACATTTCCTGGTGCACGGATTCTCGCCAACTGGATTGTTGGCAGGCTGAAGGGTGGGGCAGGACGGCAGCTATGTGTGTGGCGAGTCTGTACAGAGAAGTACCACGAACAGGAAATGCAAAGGGGAAACGGGGTGGGAGGGGGCAATAGCGGTAGGAGTGGGGAAAGGGCTGCCAAGTAGGGAGAGGCTGGAGCGAGGTCAGAAAACGCATGCCACGCAAAGATATGCGTTTGTAGCGATAACCGGAAAGTTTCAAATCATAGCGCCAAAAAAACATGGGTAAACCCGCAGCTCTCTGAGCGAGAGGTGAGCACTAAAAGAAGACTACATATACATGTATATGTATATATATTCTCCTTTCCATTAGAAGCAGCCTAAAGCGGCTGAATAGTCGCAACCGAGATACGTTAGAGCACAAAAGGCTGCAGCCAAGGGCTTAGAGGGATTCCTCCTGCCTGAGCGACTTGCTCCAAGGAAAGTTCATGTTGCTGTTGCTCTTGCTCTTGTTGCTCTTGCTGTTGCTCTTGTTGCTCTTGTTGCTCTTGCTGTTGCTCTTGCTCTTGTTGCTCTTGCTCTTGTTGCTCTTGCTGTTGCTCTTGCTCTTGTTGCTCTTGCTCTTGTTGCTCTTGCTCTTGTTGCTCTTGCTCTTGTTGCTGCTGTTGCTCTTGTTGCTCTTGCTCTTGTTGCTCTTGCTCTTGTTGCTCTTGCTGTTGCTCTTGCTCTTGTTGCTCTTGCTGTTGCTCTTGTTGCTCTTGCTGTTGCTCTCGTTGGCAGCAGTGGAAAAGCTGTTGCAGCACCTGCTTCTTAGTGGGAGCCTGATCGGGGGAAGCCCTGTTGTTCGCCGATGCTTGTTGTGGCAGCTCTGTCAGCGAGCGCGGAGACTGTTGTTGCTGCTGCAACAAGTGGGATTGCTCTGCAAGTGCTTTGTCTGAAGCGGAGACAGCTTCTTTAGACGCCTTTGGGGGAGGATTCCCCGCTTCACCACGTGCTGCCTCGGCAGCCGCAGCCTTTGACGCCTGTGCTGCAGTTGCCATGCAAGCCTTCTTAGTGCTGCTGCGCCTTGGAGGTGACGGTACAGCAGCAGCGCGCAGCAGCAATGTGAGTTCATTCGCTGGTTGGCGTGGAGGCAGGCCCCTAGAATCCCATGAAAAGGCGGTGCTGAGAAGCTGCAGCAGCAACAAGAGCAGCAGCCATCTGTATGTGCATGCATTGGAAGCGCGCAGTGCTGCAGCAACACCGCGCAAGACGTGGGGAGTTTCGCTACGCGGAGCTGCAAAGGCCTACGTCTCAAGCAAATCGTCAGGAGAAAACGCAACTCAAATTACGCAGACAGCGAGTCAACCCCTCCTCACCTTCTCGAGGACGTGCGGCGAAGGAAGCAGCAGCTGCACGGGTGCTGCTGCTGTTGCTGCTGCACCGCCACGGGGTGCAGCAGCAAGCGGAAAGGCGGTGCATGCAGCAGCAGCAGCGAAGCGACGATCCTCCTGACTCGCTGCAGCCACACACGAGGGCCGCTTATAGAAGGGGCAGCAGCCTCCCTCTTGCAGCAACAGGCGAGTCGCTGCTACTGCCGCGATTGCGGTTGCATCCGCTGCAACAGCTCCTGCTGGCAGCAAATGCTGCAGCCTTCTTATCGCCATGTTCGCTGCTGCGAAAGCTGCATACGCACAGCTGCAGTGCACCCGCAGCTGCCGCAGCAGTCGGCCTATTCTCTTGCTCCCACCACGCTCAAAGGTAGCCGCAGCAGCAGCAAACTGCAAAACAGCAGCAGATACAGAGAAGAGACTATCCAGATGCTTTTGCTGTTGCTGTTTTTGCTGCTTTTGTTGTTGTTTTTGCTGCTGTTGTTGTTGTTTTTGCTGCTGATTTTGTTGTTTTTGCTGCTGATTTTGGTGCTGCAGGGTGGCGGCCTTGGTGTGTCCGTACACCGCAGTGAGCTGCTGCTGCTGCTCTTTTAGCAGCTCCATTGTCAGCCGATGAAAGAGCGTTTGCGTGGCAGCAGGAGTGAGATCAGGGGGGTGTTTCTTGTCTTTCTCTCTCTCATCGGACGGCGCAACTCTTGTTGCCGCTGCTGCGCGTGTGGCGGCTACGCCGACTGCGGCTGCTCGCGAAAAAGACGCAGAAGCGTTCTTTTCCTTTGCACGCTGTTCAGGCTGCTCTCGCTGCCTCGTCCGCTGCCGATCTTCTTTTGCAGTCGCAGCTGCCACTGCGAAAGCTGCAGCAGAGAGAAGCTTCAAAACGCGGAGTGCATGGCGACTGCATGCAGCAGCAGCGGCAGCCGCGAACCGTGGACCGACGATACACCACGCCGTTGCCATTCGCCGCTCTGCTACCAGCAGCAGACAAGGCAAGTCGGCACGACGTTCTCGCTGCAGCTCTTGTTTCTGATTGTTTTGCTTGTCTTCATCGCGCCGTTCTCCCTGCTTTTCCCGCTGTGCGCCTCTTGCCGCGGGTTGTTGCAGCACAGCAAGCGCTGCTGTGGGATCAAAGAGAGCCGCAGAGGGCATCAACACACACAGATCCGCATACACCGCGTTGCAGAAGTCGCTGCCAGTGACTGCACCGAGGGTTGAGGACGCAGCAGCAGCAGCAGCAGCAGCAGCAGCAGCAGGCGCTGCTGCTGCAGCGTCCTTAGCGCTGCTGCTGTTGCGGCAGTGCAACAAAAGCTGCTGCAACACTGCATCGTTGTAGTGAAAGTGATACGCCAACGCCTCCGCTGCTTCTCGCCGCAAGGGGCAGAGCTGTTGCTGCTGAAGAGCTGCAGCAGCAGCAAGCGAAAAACCTCCCGACAGCAGCAGCAGCCACTGCCGCACATGGATACTGGCCATAAGCAAAGCCTCCTCTTTGCATGCGCTGCAGCAGCAAAGGCCGCTGTTGTTGCTGCCACTCCTGCTACTGCTGCTACTGCTGCTACTGCTGCAACAAGACCCCTTTTTCCGCTGTCGCAGCGAAGAAAGGAAATCCCTTGCTGCTCCGCGCTGCTGCAGCAACTCCAGCCACCCCACCAGTCGAGACGCATAGTCTTCTGCTGCCCAATCAGCGGCAGCAGCTGCAGCTGCGTGCGTTTTCGCCTGCCCTCCGTTGGCTAGGGAGTCTGTCGCTGCAGTGGAGATGGCGAGCAGCTGCGTGAGCATTTTGCAACTAAACAGTGGAGTCGCTGCTACAATGAGGCGCAGCAACAAAAGCACAAGGCCAGGCTGCTGCTGAGGGTTGAAGCAGCAACACACGCACTCAACAGCGAACGAAAGAAGCAACATTTCGCCGTCGTCTCTCTCCTGCAGCGCATGCAGTGTGCTTGTCGCTGCAGCATGACCACCCAGTGCTGCTCTAGACCAATCAAGCACCTCCCTAGTCAACGCCTCTTCTCCTTGTTGTTGCTCTTTCTGCTGCTCTTTCTGCTGTTGTTTCTGCTGCTCTTTCTGTTGCTTTGACTCTGCTGCACTCGAATTTGCAGCAGCTGCATCCTCTTTCGTAGCTGCGACTGTCTCTACAACAGGAGCTGCTTGTCTGAGGCAGAAGGCTGATGCATCCTTGTTGAGGTTTCTCGCGGGGGCGCTGCTGCTGCTGCTGCTGCTGCTGCTGCTGCTGCGAGCGGCAGCCTTTTCCCAGCGACGCTTCCACGAGGCTACGAGCTTTGCGGCACAAAATGCTGCGGCAGTCGAGGCTTCACTGCGCTGCTGCTCTTGTTCTCGCTGCTGCTCCTGCCCCTGCTGCTGCTGCACACTTAAAACTTGATCAAATGAAGGAATAGAACGACGTTTTGACAGCACCTTGAACTGGGGAAAGGGTATCGGAAGCTGCTGCTGCTGCTCTTGCTCCTGCTGCTCTTGCTGCTGCTTGCTGCACTGCAGAGCAGCTACACGCACTGACAGTTCTGCGTGAGCGCGGTGTAGTCGCTGCATCAACGGCAACAGCGCAGAGGACGCGGCAGCAGCCTCAGCAAGTGCAACAAGCCTCTGTGGCATCTCAATCTGTTGTCGCTGCTGCTCTTGTTCTCGCTGCTGCTCTTGTTGTTGCACTTGTGGCTCTCCTGCTCCTGCCTCGCGGAGATATCTTTCTCCGTTTTGTAGGACCCTCTTGCTGCCTGCACCTCCGTCCAGCGTTGAGCAGGAAACAAGCAAGTTGTGTAGCTTGTTCCTCTGAGGCAGCCAGTAGGAAAGCAGCAGATGCTGCAGAGCAGCCACGACAGCCTCGCGCAGCTCCTGCAGCGAAGGCATGCGGTGATGCGTTGCCTCATGCCGCAGCTGCACCCACTCGGGGTCGATTCCGACTTTTGTGGCGATTGCGGCAACTGCAGCAGCAAAAGGGCCGCTTTGAGCTGCATCCACAAGTGTATTGACGTGCCGAATGAGCACCATGGCATATGCCGATCGCATGACTCCGCAGCCATGCGCCTGTCTGCTGGAACCGCTGAAGAGGGCGCTATCGGAGAGCAGCACTTCTAACAGCTGCATCGTGAGCTCAACTGCAGCAGGCATGCGACTCTCAGCTGCTCGCCACGCTGCCATGCTCCCCCAGGCGTGAAGCAAGCGCCTTCTGAGACTGCTGTTGGTCCCTCCCCCTCCCCTAGCGGCAGCACAGGAGCAGCAGCAGCAGCTGCTGCTGCTTCCGCTGCTCACGTTGCTGCAGACTCGAGCAGCTGCCCTTTCTGGCGGTGCTGCTGCATCTTCCGGAGGAGAGACGTCAGACTGCCCCTCACAACAACCCCATCTCCGATAGGATCGCTTCGGGGGGGGGTCGAAGCGAAACATCGAGTCACTCGCAGCACACACACACGCACTGTCGCTGCTGCACGGGAGAATCGTCGCGGTGTACCCCCGCTTCCTGCCACGGTCGCCTTCGCTGGGGAGGCTGCAGGAGCAGCGGCAGCGAGCAGAAGTTGACTCGAGAAGGGAATTAGAGACTTCCAAGAAGCATCTCCACGAAGGCCAAGGCGTGTGCTGCGCGTTGGGAGTGCGTAGTCGCGGGAGAGCTGCAGGCGAACCTGCAGCTCCTACTGGCATCGTAAACGCTCCCGCCATTCAAAGGGATCGAAGGAGGCAGGAGCTGTTTCCTGTCCATGAGCCGCAGCGAGGCTGCTGCGGCTCTAGACCCTTCTGCGTCTAAAATAGACGAAAAAATACACACATTACTGCGAATTCTAATGCGAAGATATCCCCTAATGTGCGACACTACCGCCTACTAAAAAACGCATGGCCTTCTTGGGGCTGTCCTATGGCATGCATGCATGCATGCCATAGGACAGCCCCAAGAGGCGAGCAGCACTGCGAGCAGCTTCCTTTGCGTCTAACGGTGCTCCCGCTTCCTTGTCTGTTTACAAAGTCTCTCTAACCTGTTTCGGATCGCGCAGGAGTACAGCAGACACAAACGGGAGGTTGGGGGAGAGAGTCGCTTTCGTCGAGGTGATGCTCACCAAACTCGCATTTCTGCCTGCTTCTGTGCTCTCTCTTTCCTTCTCTTTACCAGATATGCGCTCATCAGCAGGAATTTGCTGTTGGGGGAGGTTTTGATGCTGCAGCTGCTCACGCAAGGCAGACAGTGAGAGGCCTACAGCCACTCGCTCGAGGCGTCCTCCCGCTTGCGAGGCACGCATCGCACAAACTACTCAATGCATAAGCTCTTTTGCATGCGGAAGCGCACGCATGCACGCGTATGATCTCTGTCGCTCCTTATCGAGGACACAAAAAGGCGCGTGCACAACAAATAAGCCGCAATTAGAACGCAGATCGACGCGCGCGCTACTTCGTGTCAAAGCCGATGACGAATACGCACTTCTGCCCGCCGCCCTTTTCCCTCCTCCCTATTCTACAGGGACGGCTTTTTGTAGGGCAACTTTGCCAGAGGAGCAGATACTGAAACTGCCTTCGCCACTGTCACTCCCCTCGCACCTAGGCGAGCACCACCTTCCGCCACGATCGCTTCGCGCGCATTGCTCCCTGTACCTCCCGCCTCGAGACATCTCCGAATGCCCCCAAGAGGCCGTTTCGCCTTCGCGACATCTGCATCCTCAAGGTGCTGTCGCTGCCTTGAGGAACTCACTCTGTGTGCAGCTCTGCACACTGCGGAGGGGGCTGGCTGCCGTACAGCCTGATTTCTGTCGACGAGCCACAAGAGTGGCGTGAGCATCGAGGAGGCGCATATCTTCGCTAGCGCAGGGGGGGGCGTGCGGGGCTAGCCAGCTAACTATGTACCGCGCGAACTGGCTAGTCGGCGACAGCAGAACCAGCTAGCTGGCAGAGCAACAAACTAAGGCAAGAGACCTCCGTAACAGTCTACACAGGCGCAACTCGCCGATCGCATCGGCGGCACTAATTGCTCGATCAGCGTACGGTGCTGCAGCCTTTTTAATCCCCATAGAGACAGGCAATGCGAGAGCTCCTCAAGGATGGTCTTGGATTGGCTGTGCTGCTGCAATGGCATCTCCGGGTGCAGTACGGGTGACGCGTGTTGCTGCTTCTGCATCTGTTGCTGCTGCCTCTTCCTCTGCTGCTTCTGCTGGTGCTAGCGTTGCTCCTGCTCCTGCTGCTGCTTCTGCTGCTGCTTCTGCCGCAGGGAGGGCGGCATCAGCGTCAGAAGTTGCTGCCGCTTCCCCAGCGTTTTGAGGCTGCTCCTCTGCTTCCTCCGTTGTGTCGCTCCTGCTGACGGTGTCTAGGGAGCCTCCTGCTGGAGCTGCACCACTCGCGAGTGCTGTCTCGCCCTGCTGCTGTTGAAGCTCGAAATACGCAGGAGTCTCAGGCACGCTGCCTGAGGCTTCGAGCTGCGTCTGCGGCTGTAGGGTGCTGTGCGGATAGCGAGGCGCAGCAAAAACAACGACCAGCAGCAGCGCTGCCTGCCCAGCGATGAGCAGCAGCAGCAGCACGTCCTTCCCTCTGTGCTTCGGCAGCGAAGGCTGCTGCAGTTGCTGCCGCATGAACCGCGCAGCAGCCGCGAGCGCAGCAATGGCAGCAATCCAGCGAATACAGCTTGCAAGAGCTCCCCAGGGGAGCAGCTGCGTGACAGAGAGCAGCAGCACAACAGGCACCGCTGCTGCCGCAGCATAGCCTTGCACACAGAGAAGCTGCACAACACTCAGCTGTTGCGGCTCGTCCTGCCGCTGCTGTGGCAGCGGTGTGGCTCCTGCGCTGCTCCCGCTGCCGTCGTAATAGTGCTGCAGCAGCTGCAGCAGCCAGCAGCAGGAGGGAGGAGTCACGAGACTTCCGTATGCGGCAGCTCCAGCAAACGTCAGCAGCCACAGCCCTTCTTTGGCTGCTCCCGCATCTGCTCCTGCTGCAGCAGGTGGGAGCGACAAGAGAGGAAGCGATCCGCACGCAAAAATGAGGAACGAAAGCGTTGCCGCTACCCAGAACGGTCCATACAAATCTGGCTTCTTGATTAGATTTGCCTTTTCGCTAATGCTGCTGTTGCTGCCGCGGCTCTGTCTCAGATGCAGAGGCACCACTGCGCACAGCCGTGCAAGTACTTGCGCTGTATCGACATCGAACAGCTGCTGCGCAGCCGCTAGGGGCAAACAGCACCATAGCCACTGCTGCTGCTGCTGCTGCTGCTCTGTTGCTGCAACTCCCGTGCTTCCTTCCCACAGCGTATCGCCCTTTGCCGCAACATCCAGCCGGCTAAACGCTACCTCTGCGCGATCCTGAGCAGCTCCCTTCAACTCGCTGCTGCTGCTGCTGCTGCTGTATGATGAAGAGGCTGCCCCTGCCCCTGCAGCGGATATGCCACTTAGCGACAGTGTAAGGCTTTGCTGCTGCTGCTGCAGTTGCTGCCTGCTCACGGCGGTGCTGCTGTAAACAGGTACGTCGTAGACACCTGCGTCCTGCTGTATTGGTGCTGCTGCTGCTGCCACACCGGCAGCAGCCACGTCAGCAGCTGCATCTTGAGTAGGTCTCTCCCACTGCGTCTTTTTCGTCAGCTGATTGTAGTAGTAGGGAATACCATCGTCTGTCTGATAGCGTAGCCACAGACGTGGCAAGGGAGGCTCCATGGCGCTGGGTGGCGTCTTCCTGCTACATACAACTTGCTGCTTCACCCGCCGTTATCTCGAGCAGGCGTGTCAGACACGCCTAATTTACGCTGCCAGCGGCCCTGCATACAGGCAGAGTCGACAAATGCAGCTCCACATATGCCGCTGAGGGTGCTGGCGTCTGCAGTTGAACGACGCTGTCTGCTGTATTCAGCTGCAGACGTCGCTGAGCTGAACGCGCTGCCACTGTCTGTACACTCGCAGGCAACGACAGAAGGGGTTGCGCGCTACACTCACAGCAGAAAATACTCCGAAGAAAAGGGCAGTCGCAAAGTCGGTGATGCTGCTGCTTAGGCGTGGCAAGATCAGCAGCAACCACGAAAACGTGATCGCGTGGGCGCCTTCCGGATGCAGCAGCACCAGCAGCAGCACACCGCAGGGTCGAAGCAGTTAGGAGGAAGAGTCGAATATATTTTCCCTAATATCTATCGCATGCGAATATTTGCGCCTGTTGGTGCGCTGTTTCCGCATAGCTGCCGCTGCTCGTCATAATATGCCCATGCAGAAGAGCAGCCGGTTCGTCAGTGCGGCTGCTGTCTATGGAGCTGCAACTGCAGCAGCCCCCAACGGTGGAAGCGGCTTTCTACCACAGGAACACACACAGAAACACACCCTCTGCATGCACTATTTTAATTACCAGGATGAGTCATACAGCCTAATCAGCGCTCTCGCCTTGGTGCGGCGAAAGACGCAACACTTGTCTTTTAACAGGACGAGTAACAGCCGCACAGAGAGAGAGAGAGAAAGAGGCTTTTGTTTCTGCCGCATTGGAGCAAAGAGACCTGCCTACTGCATTTGAAAAGCTCAAAGGCACACAATACGCATTCACAAGCTCCGCTAGGATCGCTGCTGTCGCTGCCATACCCCTCATGCTGTAACAGCAGCAAGAGCAGTGTTAGCAGCAAGAGCAGTATCAGCAGCAGGACTAGCAGCAGCAACAGCAACATCAGCTCCAGCAGCATCAGCAGAAACACCAGCTCTAGCAGCAACAGCACTAACAGCAGCAACACTAGCTTCAGCAGCAGAAACAGCAGCAACACTAGCACTCGCCAAAAGTGCCAGCAGATGCAGCGATTTTAGGGGCTTGAAGGTGTATCGGCTCCTGGCCGTATTAACCGCAGCGCTGCGTATTTTCGCACGAGTAAGATGTCTTTATCCAGCAGTCAACCCTGCCATGGGAACGGCGAAAACACGGTGCTTGGTGCTGCTGCATCGCAGCTGGAGCTCTTGCGCGCCAGCCAGAAGGACGATTATTACTGCCGAGTATATGCGCAGCATTTGCAGCAGCTGTTGCTGCAGCTGCGGCAGCTGCTGCTGCCGCTGCCTAGCCAGCCCTCTAGGCGGCAGCAGCAGAGCCAATGCAGCAGCAGCAGCAGCAGCAGCAGCAGCATCACCTGTGGCGTTCTTAGGCTGAAGCGGTGTCTTACCTCTGCTCGCCAAGCAGCGGCAGATTTGTGCTTGCTGCTGCAGCAGCAGCAGCATGCAGCGCGCACGTTAGTGCAGATTTTATATTTTGCGGCTTCTTTAGGAGGCAACGGCCAGCAAACTCTTGGAGAAGAATACTGCGAACTGCGCACAGTGAGCTAAGGGTGGATCTCACGGGTGTCTATATATGCATGTCTATATTTCTGCGAGTTTCACAGATTCCTTTGATGCTGTTTGACTTCTTTATGCTGCAGTCTGTGTTACTGCTACGTGTTTGTTGCTGCAGCTATCCCCTCGTCAATGCATGGGTGTGCGAGGCTGGGTGCTTGTGCTTTGGACTGCAATTTTGCGATCCGTTCCCTTTGCAGCGACAGCAGCCCTCATCCTTCATATCTGCAGGTACATGCTCCATGTCTGCTGCTGCTGCTGTTCGACAACTTGCCGTTTATTCTTTTGCTCGCGAGGTGGCTGTTGCTGTATGCTGCTGCTTATCGCCTCATAAGGATGCCACAAAAAGATGGTTCCCATGGTGATGGTGGTATTGTTGCTGATGCTCAGCTGCGCCTGCTTTTGTTACGCTGCTGCTGCTCAGCTGCGGCTGCTTTTGTTACGCCGCTGCTTGTTTGCAGGATATTCAAAATTCGCACACCGACGGCAGCAGCTCTCGATGATCTTCTGTCCGGTATGTGTTGCTGGAAGCAGAGAAAGCAGCTTTTGCAGCCTTTTGCTCGCCAAGGCTTACCCGATAGTGCAAGTTCACGTGAAACATTTGCAGAGGGTTGTGTGTTTGTGTGCCGCAAATGCATGTAACCACAGTTTTGCGGCGAATCCACCTGGCGCTTTTTTTTTATGATGGAAAATTTCTGCATTTTTCCCAAAGGCAAGAGAAAAAAACTTCGTTCGAGTACACCGTCAGAATGCCTCTTGCAGCAGCGTCTGCCCTTTTTCGTTGCCGATCTTTGTACTGCTGCTGACTCCGACGGATTGCGGCTTCGCGCGTTGCTCGTCCTTTTTCACATTGCGCCTTCTTATTAGCCGCCGCTGACTTTCGATCTCCCTCCTGCTGAGACTTCAAGCATTTTCATGTGCTTTCAATGCGTTCCTTCTGTGGGAGTTGTTGTGGCTGTGCTGTTGCTGCAGGCTGCTGCAGCGGCGCTTCTTCCGTTTGTACGGCGGCTTCTCCTTTCGCGCTGCTGCAGTGTATACTCGCGGCTTTGCTGCAATTTTGCTTCTGCAGTGTATTCTGAGCATTCAGTCAGTCCACGACCTCTTCAAGAGGCAAAGAAATCGGCAGCAGCAGAACGAAAGTCAGGAGAGTGCTGCTGCCTCGTCTCGCTCCGCTGCGCTCACTGCTCCTGAGGGGGAAGTGGTAGCGGCAAAGGAAGATTCAGCCGGCAAGCTTGATAGCAGCAGCAGCAGCAGCAGTACGCTCGTGTGCCTTTTCTGCCAGAGTTTCTGCAGCGTTCCGACGGCGGGGGCATGTGGTCATATCTTTTGTTGGCATTGCATCAGCAAGTGGTGTCAGCAGCAGCAACAGCAGCAGCCACCAGCAGTTGCAACATGCCCTGTTTGCCGGTGAGTGGGGGGAGAGGCACACTGTTTGCAGACTGACTGATTGCAGACTGATTGCAAGTCGAGGGAGCGACAGCGCAGTTGCTTGCAGACTCCAAGACACCCTAAACGCAAACGTTTTTGACGGCGTGGTTTACGCGCTCTTGAAAAATCTTTGCTTTCGCGCATACAGCTCTCTGATCTGTGCGGCTTTCTGCATCATGGAAGCCGCGCTTGCTGGAGTGTATTGCAGCGAAGTGGCTAGCTCTGACACAAGGCGCTCTCTCCCACCCCTTGTTGACTTTTGGCATGCATGTGTATTTGTGTATTTGTGTGTATGTATGTGTGTATGCGTCGTTGTTGCTGCTGCTGTGATACGTGCAGTGCGCCATGCTCTCCACAGGCGTTGCTGCCCCTGCGCCACTTTGAGAGTTCGGAGGATCTGCTACTGCAGTACAACTTGCAGCATCAGCAGCAGCAGCAATAGCGACGTGGCGGTTTGTTCGATGCACCAGCTTTCAAGAGCTCAGCTGTTTATGTACAGTCCCCAACAGCAGAGCACGCGCAAGCTGCACTGCGTGCTGCAGCGGGAGGAACGTAGCATGAAACTCTTGCAACTTACTTTTCGTGATTTGCTCTGTCTTTCTCACATCTATACCTTTCTCCCAGCGTCGTTCTATCGCCTAGCCCCTCTTGCGCCTCATCTTTTAGCAGTTGCGGAGAAAGCGCTTGTTTGCGACTCTTTTAAAGGATGCATGCACTCAATCCCACGTGCAGGCATGCATGCATACACGCATATAGAGGCAGATCAGCATGCATGCGCACACGTAGGTGTGCAGACGGCGTCGATCGTTGGGGCAAGTGCCTGTAGCTGGCTAACGGTATCCACAGCGCGCTGCTCGTACATGGTGCTCCTGCCTCAGTAGACGGACAGGCGGCAAGATGCCCGCTTCCGAGAGACATAGAGAGAGAAAGAGAAAAAAAAACTCGAGTCGAAGTGCACAGAGAAGTGCTGCGGCACTGCAACGGCAAGATAGCTCATACGGGGGAGGGTGGAGCCACGGAGTGCAGATTCAGAAAGCCCAGCTGCGTCGCTCCTAAACAGCACCATGAGCTTTACCACCATGTACTTTTGTCATGAGAGCTTTGCTGCGACAGCTGCCGGAGCAGCTGCTCTCTCCTGCAGAAAATAGCCCAAATATTTTATAGGCATCACATACGCGTGTCTCTGGCAGGTGGCCCCTTCGCTGCATGCATCTGGCACACCTCTAGCGAGGGGAGGCTGCGACATCAGGGAACCATGTTGCTGCCGCACACGGCGTGCAAGCCTGCCTTGCCTCAATACAACCACGGGGGCACAGGAGTTGCTGCCGCAGCACACTTCTTGTGGTGGGCTTTTCCTGAACCTTCAGGAGATCGCCACGCAAGATCCTGAGACGCTTGCTCTAGAAGCGATTGCAGCACGTGCAGGGTGTTAAGGATGTAATGTGTGTGTGTGTGTCCGTGTCTGTGTGTGTGTAACTAACTCCCGAGTGCAAAGAGCTGCTCCTCCGGCGAAGGGTTGTGCTGGATCTCACAAGTGATAGAGAGCCTTCAGCTCAGGATGTGGGTGTGTGGTCGTATCCACATCTACATGCATGCAGTGCATCTGCTGAGACGCAAGCAAAGCGCTGTAGAAGTGCGCTGTCGCGCCTTCTGTAAGGCCTCTACGAGAAGGTTTTTACCTCCATAGTCAGCACAACGGTGATATATAGGTGGTCAGTGTTTCTCCTATCAACCTTCGCCTCTCCCAGACCATGCCCTCTAGAGTTCTCGACATGAGGGGAAGGAGACACGTAGCTGGACCCTATCTGCACTCCGAGCATTCACAGCTACTTTTGAACGTAGTATCTAGCGCAGACAAAAAACACAATGATGTAGCGACTTCTCGTCTCGAACTAATGCCCCATTTGCAGTAAATGACATACAAATGCCCACACAGATCACAAAGTCAGTTCCTTTGTTCCTATTCAAACTCAATGCGTGTTCTACTAGAGAGTGTATGAGTACAGCTGAGCCAGCTGCATGCACTGCAGGCACGTAGCATCGAGAGCTGCAGAAATATCAGTGAGCGTGATCGTGTTGGTAGGCTTTGCAGCAAGTGCTGCTGCACACTCCTCTGGCTCTTATGCGCAATCGCGTGCCGCTAAGTTGTATGCCTTCTATTCCAACTCGCAGGAGCGAAATCCGTTGCGCCTTGTGGTGCCTAGCAATCGCTGCAGCTGTCAGCGCCCTCAATTCAAGGCTACAGAGAAATCGCTCGTATATATAGGGACCGCAAAATCGCGTGTGGAGTGTCTCTTGCTCGCGAGGAGCTGCTGTAACAGACGCGAGCCATTTACGGCTATGCGACTCATCCATGTACCGGCGGCACAGCGAGCTGAGCGATACTTGGGCACATTCTCTTCCCTGAATCGACTGCGTGGTTTGCTCACTTCTCTCCTTTATTGCGGAGGAACGCTAGCTCACTAATAGAAGAACCAATGCTGCATGTATTTATGTTCTAGATGCTACTAATACTGAGCTGTGGATGCTCGGAGTGCTTCGTGGAGACACCTCGGTTCACCTTTGCTTCTCGGCTTCCCCTCATGTGGAGAACTCAGCGAGGCGTGCGCAGGGGAATGTGAGAGTTCTTAGGACAGCCCATTATAAAAGACAGCTTTTTACTAAGTGTGTATTGAGTCTGCACACTATTGTCTTCCGACTGAAACCTATGAGGGAGCATTACAGGTGGATGGGGAGACAAGTTTTAGTGCCCCCCCTGCCAGCCATCGCTGAACATGGCTTGCCAGAGGCTTCGTTACTTAATGGAAGAATCTGCACAATAGCCGCGAATCCTTCTGGGTCCCTAAGCAACTGCAGTAGTGAGCTTGTCTGCCTTTCTGAGCGTTGACTCTTCCCACCCTGCAGCCAGAGGACCCCGAACAGCTAGCCAACCCTTCGGGATAGTCACTAGAAAAGACTGAATTTTTCAGCAGAGACGCACAACGCATACGCCGTAGCAGCGCGTGACTGAGGCACTGGTGTAGCTGCCGACATTTCCCACTGTAGCATGCGCCCAGCAGCAACGCATGTTGAACGATGTACTGCGCGGCAAAACAGGGAATGACCAGCACATATACACTAAGAAGAAGGTAATTACAGACAACTATTCGGTCATTTTTTGGCTCGGCAGCGGCACATGCCGAGGTGTACATACACCCCACCGCCGCCTACGGTGGCTGCATGCGGCTTCGTCTGGAGGTACTTCCTATTGCTGCTCAAATTACCAGCGGGCGCGTATCCTTAGGCACACATTTTCGTAGGCTCTCCAGCTGTAGACCACTGCTGCGCCGTCTGCTGCTGCTGCAGACGTTCTGCAGCAGCAGCAGACCTAGCTCGTTGTCTTTTCTGCAGCAGAGGCAGTGACTGTTCAACAGCAACTACAACAGCAGCAGCAGCAGCAGTGGTGCTGCTGCCCCTGCTGCAATACGACCAACTAGGCATCTCTTTTCCAGGGAAAATGACGCCGATGGAGGGCCAGCCGCTGCATACACGGCAGCAGCCGACAGAACTACAGGAACCACCAGCGCAGCAACAGCAGCAACATGAGCAGCAAGAGCAGCAGCAACGTGAGCAGCAAGAGCAGCAGCAAGAGAAGCAACATGAGCAGCATGAACAGCAGCGTGAACGACAGCAAGGACTGAACGTGAGGGTGTCGGATGCCAAGAATGCAGAACTGCAAGGCTCCAGAGAGGTAGGGGATCAGCACTCGCAACACCGCCAAGAGCAAACGCAGCAGGAAAACGGCTTTGCCGCGTTCGACCTGCAGTGCAAGAACGACAAGCTGCTGCTGCAGCAGAACGCGCTCCTGGAATCTCTAACCTCCGAGAAAATAGCGCGATTAGCAGCAGAGCGCCAGGCACTGGCGGCTGCAGCCACTGCAACAGTTGCAGAGGGCCGTACGAAGCTGCTTGAGCGGCGGCTGGAGGCAGCAGAGGCATCACAACAGCTGCTGCAGCAGCAGCTAGATGACTGCATCCAGAAGCAGCAACAGCTGCAGCAACAGCTGCAGCAAGCCGCCAGAGAGTCTAGCGCCGCGAAGGCATCAGAGGAGCAGCTGAAATCGCTGCACGAGCAGGAGCAGCAGGAGCAGCAGCAGAAGTATGATGAGCTCCATGTAAGACTTCCGCTGCCGCACCCCCAGCAAGGCGCATGCAGCAATTTCTGGTGCCTCCAGATGCGGTGTACTTGTGGGGCTTTGTTTGTGCCTTGTGCTGCTGTTTGTCAGGCCTTGCTGCAGCAGCTGCAGCGCAAGTACGCGCTTCTGCAGCAGCAGCAAGAGCTGGATGCTTCTGCTGCCGCAGAAAAGCAACGCCTGCAGCAGGAGCTTCTGGATATGAGGGAGCAGCTGCTGCAGCAGAAGGAGTCTGTCGCTGCCGCGCAGCAAATGGTCATCGAAGAGCTGCAGCAGCAGAAGCAGAAGCTTGTAGAGGAGGTTCGCTGCTGCTGCGTAGGCTTTCCTGCACGTGTGTAAGCCTCCGCGAGACGCTTTCCAAGGTTGTCATTTCTCATGCTGTACGTGTGCTGGCGCATGAGCAGGGTGCGGCAAGAGAAGCAGAAGCTCGCTGTGCTGAGGAAAGGGCAGCAGCGGCGGAAGCCACTGCCAAGGCGAGAAGCGATCAGCAGGAGCAGCAACAGCAACTGCAGCAGCTGCAGGAGCAGCAGCGGGAGCACGTGCAGCAGCGATCGAGACTGACGGAGGAGGAGGCAGCGCTGCAGCTGCAGAAGCTCTCGGAGCCTGAGCAGCAGCAGCCGGTCGATCTTGCCATCAAATTGCTCATAGATCTTGACGCAAAATCGCATCAGGTGACTTTCGCCGTCGTGTGGCTGTGGCTAGCTGGCAGTGTTGCTGGCGCCGCTTTAGCGAGGCGTGTCTACAGATGTCGTGTGGCTGCGTTTTCTGCACACTGTTCGGCGTGGAGCAGAGCACAGCTTTGTTGCATGCAGGCGCCTGGTGTATGTGGAGCCTTTTAGTCAGGCTGTAAGATCTCAGGCTTGGGGCTTTTGAGTGCAGTGTAACCTGTTGAAGGAGCAGCTGCAGCAGCAGCAGCAGGAAGCCGACGCGTGGAAGGCAGCAGCGCAGCAGCTGCAGCAATCTCAGCAGAGTTTGCAGCAGCAGCTGGTTCAGCGGCAGACAGACTTGGAGCGGCAGATGCAGCAGCAAGCGGAGCAGGATTGCCGCATGCAGCACTTGATGCAGCAGGTTCGGCGAAAAAATGAAAAGATTCAGGTTCTAGACGAAGAGGTAAGCGCGAGCGACTGACTGACAGGTTCTGTTTGATTGAAGTTGCAAGGAGGGTATCTTGCAACTTCTCCGCTTCGCGTGGGGAGAGTGGGGAGGGGAGGCAGGCGATCCACAGCGACAGTCTTCGCTGTTGCTGCGCGAGCGATTGACTGACAGGTTCTGTTTAATTGAAGTTGCAAGGAGGGTATCTTGCAACTTCTCCGCTTCGCGTGGGGAGAGGGGGGAGGGGAGGCAGGCGATCCACAGCGACAGTCTTCGCTGTTGCTGCTGCTGTGGGTGCTCGCTCCTATTGGCTGCAGTATCGTGAGAAGGAAGAAGAAGCGAGGAGGCTGTCGCATCGCAATGACGAGCTGCTTCAGCAGGTTGCTGCAGCGGCTTGGGAGCTGCAGCGTCTACGACACGAGCAGCGGCAGCAAGGCGAAGAAGGCGCAGCAGCGCATGGCAGTCAGGAGCAGCACGCTGATGTGGCAACACTGCTGGATTACCAAAAGCTTTTAATCCTGAACAAGTCCGTCTTCTGCTGCTGCTGCTGTACTGGTTGCTGTAGTCGTTTTTTGCCGCTTGTACTGCGTCTGTTTTTTCCTTGCGGGGTGTGATACCTCCTGGAGACATGCCTCTGTACGTGGTGTCTGTTTGGCTGCAGCAAAATGAAGCTGCAGCTGCTTCAGCTGACTGAGCACAAGGAGGCAGCGGAGCGGCAGCAGCAGCAGCAGCAGCAGGAAGAGCAGCTGCAGCTGCAGCACGAACTGCGAGAGCTGCAGAAGCAGCTGACGCAAGTGCAGCAGGATCGCAAGGAGCTTGCGGCTGCAGTAGAAAGGCTGCTGCAGCAACGTCAGCAGCTGCAGCAACAACTCGCTGAGCTGCAATCCAGAACTGGCGAGGGAGCTGAGGCTCCCTCGCGAGACACACAACAACAGCACGCAGTGGCAGCAGAAGCAGCAGCAGCAGAAGCAGCAGCAGCAGAAGCAGCAGCAGAACAGCAGCAGCAGCAGCAGCAGGCAAAAGCCAGTGTTGCTGCTCGTCTGGAAGCCGCAGAGGACAAAATGAGGCGCTTTGTTACCCAAGTATGTGCTTTTTTGCGTTTGGTGATGCATCTTCTGGTGCTGCTGCATCTTCTGCTGCTGCTTCTGCTGCTGCTTCTTCTGCTGCTGTTGTTTCGTTGCGGCAGGAAATGCTGGGCGCCCTTGTTGTGCTGCTGTTGTTGCTGCTGCTGCTACAGATGCAAGAGATAGCGGCTTCGCTGTGCGTCGAGCAGCAGCAAAGCAGCAAACTATTGACGGAAGTGCAGCAGCTGCAGCAGCAGCTCGCGGAGCATAAGGCAACAGGCGACTTTTTCAGGAGTGAGTGCACGCGTTTGCAGCAGCAGCTGCAGCAGCAGCAGCTGCTGCTGCAGCAGAGCACCAGTCGAGCTGCGACAGCCGAGGAACGCTGTAGTCACCTCAAAGAAGAAGCAAGGGAACTTAGGAACGAGATACAAGCTGCAAAGCAGCAGCAGCAGCAGCAGCAGCGAGCAGGAGATCAGCAGCAACGCACTCTGCATTCGAAGGAGTTGCTCCTTGTGGAACTGCAGCAGCAACTGCAGCAGCAAGAGCAGCAGGCGGCTGCGGCAGAGGTGCAGCATGAGGAGCGTTGTGCTTCCTTGCAAGTGCAGCTGCAGCAGCAGCAGCAACAGAATGCAACGCTGCTGCAGCAGCACAAACAGGATGTGCAGCAGCTACAGCAACAGCTGTCTACCCTCAGCGACGTTCTTAGAGAGCGAGACGCGCAGCATGTGGAAGCGAGGACTGCTGCAGCCGCAGCCAAAGAAGAGCTGCAACAAATCAAGCCTACTATCGGGTAGCTTGGAAGGGGAGAATGGCGGGGGGGGAGGGGAGCAGACGTGGCAATTGTACTTGCTGCAGCAGGAGCAGTGGTGTCTACACGCTTGTTGGTTTTCCGCTGAGGCATGTGCGTTTATTTTTTTAAAGTTGTGAGTACATGAATGGGCACGTTTGCATATTGATGTATCTACATGTATATGTACATCTATATGTACATGTATGTGTACATCTATATGTACATGTATATGTATATGTACATCTATATGTACATGTCTCTGTCGGTATGTCTACATGTATATGTCTATGTGTATGTTTTGACACACGTTTGTATGTATAGAGGCATTCGCATATATGTGTATGCGCACGTATGTATACATGCCTACACGCTGCTGCGTATTTTGGCGCTGCAGGCAGTTGCAGCAAGAAGCACTGGAGCTTCGTGTGCGTCTGGAGGAGAAGGAGAAGATAGTGGCCTTCTTGCAGCATCGTTCTGCATTAGCAGCAGCACAGCCTGACGGCAGCACCGGGAACGTAGGAGTGCGAGTGTCTCAAGACAGCAACGTAGGGCAGCAGGCTGCCTCAGGAGCTGCTGCGGATAGCTCTGCTGCTGCAGCAGCAACTGCAGCACTGCAGCTGCAGCTGCAGCAGCTTCAGGAGGAGCTGGACAGCTGCAAGGCTTTGAAGCAGCATTGGCAGCAAGCCGCAGTCGAGGCGCAGCAACAGCAGCATCGGTGCAATGAGCAGCAACAGCAGCTCGAGCAGCAGTTGCAACAAAAGGCGGATGATATCAAGCGGCTCGAGGAGAAAAAGGAGGAAATGGAGGCTCTCATGAACGACAAGGTTCGCGTGCCGCTGGTTGCTGCTGCGGACGGGGTCTCCGTGTGTTCATGAATTGTTTCGTGTGTTCATGAATCGTTTCGTGTGTGTTCATGAATTGTTTCGTGTGTTTTCATGAATTTTCGTGTGTTTTCATGAATTGTTTCGTGTGTTTGTGAATCGTTTCGTGTGTTTTCATGAATTGTTTCGTGTGTTTGTGAATCGTTTCGTGTGTTTGTGAATCGTTTCGTGTGTTTGTGAATCGTTTCGTGTGTTTGTGAATTTTTGTGTGTTCATGAATTTTTGTGTCTTCATGAATTTTTAAAAGTGGGGTTGATTTTGGTGGCGTTGCCGTGAGTTATCGCTGTGCAGGTGTTGCTAATCGGTCAGTTGGAGGCCTCTGTTGCTGCTTTGAAGGAGCAGCAGCAGCAGCAGCAGCACGCAGCAGCAAGTGCGGCAGCCGCAGCAGCAGCAACGGACAGTCTGCGGCAGCAGCTGCAGCATCTAGAGGAGGAGCTTGAGAGGAAGAAGAAGGAGTCGGTGGCTGCAGATGCGCGGTACAGAAGAGAGGTGGATGCTAGGGCAGCGGATATGCAGCAGCTACAGCGCGCAGAGCAGCAGCAGCAGCAGCAGCACGAGCAGCTCACGTCTATTGAGAAGGAGCTGGAAGCAGTTCGAGCCGAACTCAGGAGTGTGCGGTAGGCCTCATTCGTGTAATTTGTATGCAAAAATGGATTATACAGTAGAGGGTTAAGGGGCTTGAGATTTTGAACGCCATCTCGGCGGAGGGCTTGCTTCTTTTTGTGCTCTCTTTTGCAGAGGCGCTGCTGAAGAGGAGAAAGTCTCCTTAGTTCGTAACAATGCCAGTTTGCTGCGTGAAGTGGAGCGTCTGCGGGCTGAGGCTAAGACATTGAATAGCCAGATGAAGGATCTGTGAGTGTTTAAGGTTCTTTCTTTGCCCTTAAAGCCCCCTCCTCCTTTCCTCTTTCCTCCCTCCTCCTTTCCTCTTTCCTCCCTCCTCCTTCCTCCCTCCTCCTTCCCTCCTCCTTTCCTCCTTCCTCCCTCCTCCTTCGTCCCAGCTGCCGTGCTGCTTTCCTCCATGGACCGTGTGTCTTCTTCTGTTGCGAGCGCTGTGGCATCGTGGATGTTGTTTGCTGTTGATTTTTTGACGCGCTGCGTGAGACGCTCATCTCTTTGACGTGCCTTCCTTCCGCCTTCAGTGTGTTGCTGCTCTGTCCTGCCTTTCGTATTGTGTTCACTGCAGCATTGCTGGTAGCCTCCCGTCCAGCGGAGGAAATCAAAAAGCGGCAAGTCAGCAGCAGTTGTTGCTCGCGCGTTTGGAAGAAGCGGCACTTCTGCGTACATCTGCGGAAGAAGAAATCCGCTGTCTCCGCCTGGAGCGAGCGCAGGGGGAGGCGCAGCTGAAGGAACTTAGGAGACAGATAGAAGACCTTAAGGCTGCAGCTCAGCGGGAAGAGAGTCAAACTGAGGAGCTGCAGAGACAGCTGCAGCTCACCACTATGAAGGACCACCTCCTTTCGCGCATGCCTGCACTGGAGTTATCCGTGAATCAGCTGAGGGCGGTAAGTGGTTAGAGAGGAGGTTTTTAGTGCCTTTTTCTTGGCTGACGTGTTCTCTCGTTTCTCTTCTTTGATGCCACTGCCTCATAGAGGCCTCCATGGATGTAGCTCTGCCATTTTCGCGGTGCTCGCAGAAGTTGTGGAGCGCAGACTCTGCCTGCGCTGGCGAGCGCGACTGATGGGGTGTCGTATCGCTGCTGATGTTGCATGCATGCGTGTTGCAGGAGCTCAAGACGGCTCACGAGACGGTGCAACAGCAGCAGCAGCAGCTACAGGATCTTCGGCAGCAGCAGCAGCCGCTGCAACTCAAGACTCGCCAACTCGAAGCCGCGCTAGAAGAGCAGCAAAGGCAGCAGAAGGCTGCGGAGCAACAGGCATCCGAATGGAAGAATAATTACCATAGCATGATTCAGCGATTTGAAGGAGTATGGCTGGTGTTGCGTGTGTTGCTGTTATGGCCCCTGATTTGCGGCTGCTTCTTTCTCCCGCTGCACTCGCCGCTGCTGCTTTATGCGTCGTTGCTTTATTGTATTGCAGGTCGATAGGGGGGAGCTCGAGCAGCTGCGGCAGGAAAAAAGCCGGTTCGCTCAACGCATGCAGCAGCTGCTAGCCGAGAAGCAAAAAGAGACAACAGCTCTAAAGGTGAGGCTTCCGGGTGTAGGCTTAAGGAGGCCATGCACACCTACACACACAGATGTACAGATATAGAGGGATATATATAGCGATATATAGAGGGATATATAGAGGAATATATAGCGATATATAGAGGAATATATAGAGATATATAGAGGAATATATAGCGATATATAGAGGAATATATAGAGATATATAGAGGAATATATAGCGATATATAGAGGGATATATAGCGATATATAGAGGGATATATAGCGATATATAGAGGAATATATAGAGATATATATAGCGATATATAGAGGAATATATAGCGATATATAGAGGAATATATAGCGATATATAGAGGGATATATAGAGGAATATATAGAGATATATAGAGGGATATATAGCGATATATAGAGGGATATATAGAGGGATATATAGAGGAATATATAGCGATATATAGAGGAATATATAGAGGAATATATAGAGATATATAGAGGAATATATAGAGATATATAGAGGAATATATAGCGATATATAGAGGGATATATAGCGATATATAGAGGAATATATAGAGATATATAGAGGGATATATAGAGGAATATACAGAGATATATAGAGGAACATACACAGGCACTCGGTATATAGAAAGACGCACCAACACCGTAGGTAAGGAAGGACAAGAGTTGTTGCATTGTTTTTTTCGCGGTGCAACAGGAGAGTGAGGCTAAACGCAGCGACTTGGAGTCTGCAGTGATGAAGCTGCAGCAGGAGGCGGGCAGCAGCAGCGCTGAAAAGCAGCAGTTGCAGCAGCAGGTGCATCAGTTGCAGCAGCAGCAGCAGCAAGCACGTCAGCATGAGCAGCAGGCAGTAGCCGTCAAGCAGCAGCTGCAACAAGTGCAGGAAGAGCTGCAGAGGGAACGTAAAGCCAATCAGATGCTGCGGCTGCGATTAGGGCAGCAGCAGCAGCAGGGAGGCGCAGCAGCCGTTACACCTCAAGTGGCAGCAGCTGTTGGAAGGGTTGTGCGTTTAGGTGTAGTGTCTTCTGCCGCAGCACAGCAAGCGCTGCACGTTGTTAAGTCCGCAGCAGCGGCTGCTCAGGATGAAGGCAAGAAGCAAGCGCTGCGGGATGCCGCTGCTGCTGCTGCGCATCAGGAGATTGCTACACTGCAGCAGCAGCGGCAGCAGCAAGAGAAGGAGCTTGCGGGGATGAAGCAGCTGCTGCAGCAGCAAGCCGCAGAAAACAGTGTGCTGCAGCAGCAGCTGGCAGATCAGCAGCAGTTGCTGCAGCAGCAAGCTGCTGCTGCTGAACTAGAGCAGCATCATTTGCTTTCGGAGCTTCGGCGTGCTCAGGATGACTTGAGGAGGACGCAGCTGCAGCAGCAGCAATTGTTGCAGCAGCAGCAGCGGCAGCAGCAGCAGCTTTTGGAAGGGCAGGGGTCCATAGGAGACAGCTCAGTGCTGCTTCTTCTTCAGCAGCAGCAGCAACAACAACATCCGACACAAGAGCCGACGGGTGTCTCTAAACGCGCATTGCACCAGCAGCTGCTGCTTTCCCAGCAGCCTCCGAGGAAAGCCGCCAAGCTGGAAGAAGCAGCGGGGGATAATGCTGCTGCAGCGGGAGTAGCAGAAGACATAGGCGCTGCTGAACAGCCGGAAGAAGACGAAGCGCAGCAGCAGGAAGAAGACGAAGCGCAGCAACAGCAGCAGCAGCAGGCGGACCTGCAGGAGGATATTCAAGATACAGAGGTTTCGCCAGAGAGGACGACTCCACCCGAAGAGCTGGAAGAAGAGGATGCAGCGATCGCTGCAGCAACAGAGGCAGCAGCTGCGTCCGAGCAGCAGCAGCAAGAGCAGCATTTGCTGCAAGATGCACACGAGGAACAAGAAGTAGAACAAGAGCAAGATCCTCATCAGGAGCAACAGCAGCAGCAGCGGTCTGTGGATTCTCCTCAAATGGAAGATATCATTGAAGAGGGTCCGCAGCAAGAATCGCAGCACGAGCAGCAGCAGCAAGAACCGCAGCACGAGCAGCAGCAGCAAGAGGATGAAACGCATCAGGAAGAAGAGCAAGCGCAGGATGCCTTGTATAACTTGATGGATGAAGATGAGCAGCAGCAGCAGTCGCAACAACAGGATTCGGAGGAAGCAGCGAGTCTGCCGGATACACACCCAGAGACAGCTGTGGGGGAGGAACCTGTACAGCAGCAGCCAGCCGATGATGACGGTCCGGAGGATCTGGAAGTTGAATCTGCTCCTGCAGCTGCATGGAGCTGAAAAATGCTCGTGCGCGAGCTAAGTTCTGCTGTTGCGGGTTCTATTGCTGCTGCTGCTGCTGCTGCTGGCTTAGAAACAGCAGCAGCACAGGTGTTTCAGCTTTCTCACGGTTCCCAAGCTCTCTAGCGTCTTAGTACACGTGTTCGCTGTGTGCCTAGCTGAGATACGACAGCAGATGGCGTGTTGCTGCGGCTGCAAAGGTCGTGAGCAATCCACGTAGAGCAATCCACATAGAGCTTCGCGATAGGGGAGTTGTGGAGCGTCGCCCTAGCGCGCGCACTCACGATTCCTAGCGATCATAAATTGACACCCAACGCGCACGAGGCTTGGCTTTAGAAACTTGAAGGACATGAACAAAAAGATGCTGTCGACGATAGTTTGCACAAGTGCAACAGTAACAAGGCTTTAAAATTGAAATTTTAAACCTGTTTCTCCACCTTGTCCTTTGCCATTTCAGCAACGATCCCCCACCACCACTCGGTCGCGCGTGAAACCTAGAAACCTGCATGGGTGGTCTTGCGCGTGAGGAAAAGAGGCCCCAGCGTGCTAGTCTGCCGCATCATCAGCGTTCCGCAGAAACAGCTCGGGGTGATGCACTTCTTATTGGTAGAATTGGCGTAGATAGAGGGTCTTCAAACAGAAGCTGCCCAACAGCGTAGCGGGCACTAGCCGAAAACGTGGGGGAGCATGGTCGCGCGGAATTTCCAAAGGCGGAGAGACGCGACAAGAAAGCGTGACGACGTGCGTTTCGTTCGAGGCTAGAAAAGAGTAAACGCCTGCTACTCCATGTACAAGAGATTTGCCAAGCGGCAAGAAAAGAAATGGGAAAAGGGGGGAGTTGCTCCCTTCTTACCGGCACAGTAACCCCGCCCTGGGCTTCGATGCGCCGCGTGTATCGGGCGGTTGCAAGCATCAGTACTAGCAGCGAGGCACACGTAACGTCTATTAAGATGGCTCTTAGTGCGTATCTCGAAGAATAATGGACGTTTTCTGCTAGAGTTGGCCTCTTTCAAGAGATTACGCCAAAAGTGTGCGTGTGTATGCGTGTTCGGGGCGTCTGACATTTTAGCCTTGACTATAGCGCGAGCGAATGCGATTGCAGGCACCTTCTAGTCCCTAAAGAATGCCTGAGCACCTTTATTTCCGAGGTCCTCATGAGTGTGCAGCCTTCCACACGGTTGAGTGTAGCGGCATGCAAAGCGGGCAGGACACATAAAAGTCCACTTGAAGTGGCAACCGCTAGAGAACAGCTCTTTCGTGGCAGCACCAACAACAACAGCAACTCAAGGTTTTCATCGCCTCTCATGCTGCCCACACAGCGGGAAGGGCCTCGCATGATGTGTCATGCAGCTACCCTGTCCTTCTGAACGCGGCACACTACCTGCGTGCAGCGACAACGAGGAGCAAGGCGGCCACGAAACATTCCAAGACCAGAAAACCTCACAAGATCTCCTCTATCAGGCACGCTGGACATGGGAAAGCAAAAGGAAGTGAGGGCTGCTCCCCACGCGTCGTCTGCCTGCTGCCCGCTAATGCACGAAGGGCCCCAACTAACATGAGCAAAATCGTGTAATTCAGCTGCACTTCTGAAAGATATAAGGCGCACCTGTAGACGCCACCACTCAGAAAACAATTTCATGACACCTGACAAGGTCGAAGGCAACCCTTTTTGCAATCACAGCGGTTGCGCGGGTGCGGCGCATGGCGTCCGGTGCTCGAGGGGTCACTTTCGGACTGGATGCTCACTACTATTCTCGCATGCACTGTGTTCATTTGAATCTTTAACGAGTTCGAGCTGAAAGTATATTTGCGCCATGGTTTCTGCATCTGCTGGCTAGTTATGCGTACAGATATTTCAGTGTGATCAACCAGCTCTGTGGTGTCCTTGTGGAGAGCGGCAACAGACCTGCGCTGCCGCTCTTGCAATGCAAGGAGCTCCTATGTGCAGGAGCGGCACCAGCATTTTAGAGGGCACCTGAAAATACGAGGAAGGTATCTGCAGTGCTAGCTTATGCAAGTGATTGAAATAATAGGTCGCCGGGGAAGCAAGGGCTCAGGCGAAGGGTTCAATTTGGAAGGGTGAAGCAAAATGCATGCAGACGAGGCAAAAAATACGCGACCAGCAGAGCTAGAAGTTGCACCTCAAATAGAGGACCCTTCAGTTTCAGTGGGTGGTGCTCCCGCTGAGGCCTCTTCAGAAGCGCAACCAGTGGCAGCACTGGACGTCAGCCATCTGTGCATTGCTGCTGCATCGGCGACACTCGCTGCCGCAGCTGTTGCACCCACCCACGCAGACAGTGCAGTTCAAGATGCTCTCGAGACAGCAGTGAGCGCAGCAGAGAGCGCTCCAGTGGCTGAGTGCCATGGCAACGCCGCAGGTGTACTTGCGCGTTCTGCGGAAGATGGCGGCGAGACTGCAGCAGGGGCATCAAATGTAGCAGCTGTAGCAACAATAGAAATAGAGGAAGGGGCAGGACGGTCTAGCTTAGTCGCGGCAGTAGATGCTGCAGACGGACATGCACCACTAGGTCCACCATTCATGCATGCAGGCGCTGCTCCTGACGAAAATACTGATTGTATTGAGGCTAATACAGCACCTGCAACAGACTTAGCACCTGAAGAAAATGCTGCTGAGCATAATGGTGGTGCTGTTCCGGCTAGTGCGAGTGTTTCGTCTGATGGTCTTACTAGTTATGCTGACGCGGTGCTCTTCGACAGAACCGAAGCTGCTCCTGGTAATGCAGCAGCAGCAGCGACAGCCTCAACAGAAGCACCACCAGAGAGTGTAGCAATGGGCATTGTTGAAAGAAATTCAAGGGTATTGCTTGCCTCGGCAGTGGAATCCCAGACACCAGATGCTGCCGCAGCATGCCAGCAATGGCTCAACGAACCGACGAGGGAAGACTGCTGCACTGGTGCATTGCATCCCGAGGCATCACCGGAAGGGCCGCTGCTAAGGCTACAGCACAGGACGAGTGGTGCACTAGAGGTCGCAGTGGAGGCTTCTGCAAAGGCTGTAGCACATGCCGCAGCAAGCTTTGCAGCTGCGACTACTGCGGCTATGTCCTTCGAAACAGCAGCAGCAGATACTGCAGAACTGTGGCCAAAAGCGGCAGCTGAAGGTGTTGAAACGGCAGCTGTTGTGTACTCCACAGATAGGGGTGTCACGCAAACGTATCCCTCCGCTGAAGGCACTGAGCGACAGCAGGAGCAGGACCAGCAGCAGCAGCCGCCTTCCCAGGAGCAGGTAGGCTTAGAATCGGATATCCAGCCGCAGCAGCAGTCGCTTGAATCAGGGAGCCAGCAGTCTGCTCCCCAGCAGCTTCCCGCAGGAGAGCATCAAGAGGGCCTCCTTGCCCAGGAGCAGCGCGAGCCACCACATCAGCTATCGGTATCAGAGAATTTCCTGGAGACCACGGTATCCCAATTGACGGCTGACGCATCTCCCCATTCACAGCTGTGCCACGAGCAGCACTTGGATGAGCAGCAACAGCAGCAGCAACAGCAACAGCAACAGCAACAGCAACAACAGCAGCAGCAACAACAACGACATCCCTACCCTGGAGAAAACGACTCATCAGATGATGAGGAGCCCTTGGATTTGGTGGCACTTGAGGCGCAGCAGAAGGCAGCAGAACAAAAGCAAAAAAAGGATTACAGTAGACTGTGGAAGATCTTTGGCAGGCAAACTGACGCAGGTATGTGTTTGTGCACTCCTTGCCGTAGCTGGGCTACTCTACTTCCTAGTGCTGTTTCTGCAGTGTTTTCGAGCAAGACAAGACCTATGGTGGCGTGGAAGAGCATTGTAGGCTGGTGGTACTGCACACTACCTGCATGCCTTTCTGTTAGCCAACTTGCAGAGACCGCTGCTCAAGGCTTATCCCCCCTTGGCGCCCATTGCTACAAAGCTAGCTCCCCGAGACGCCCAGCAGAACTGCTTCCCCATTTGCTATAAAATCCTCCTAGCTGCTGCTGCTGCTGCTCGCGACGCCACGCAGAGGGCAAACCTGCTGATAGCCAATTTCCCCGTCCGCCCGCCTTGTACTGCGCTTGCGGGTGCAGGCCGACTGCTATTTCAGCTGTATGGTCGCGGCTCCCAGACTCGGGGGGCCCCTTGCGCGTCTCGAGTAGCCCACGCACTACACGTATGCCTCCTTGGCGGGGTGTCATGAAACCGACTTTGGGTGTCTGTAGCTGCTGCGTTGCATGCGGTTTGCACTGCTCTCCGAACACGCAGTTTTTGCGTTTTTTCCGCACAGCGTCTGCTACTGCCCGCAATTTTTCAGTCCCTGCTAGTCCTAAACGGGAGTTGCCGCCGTATTTGAATCCGCGGGTGCCGGCGGATTGCTGTTGCGTGTCTCAGTCTTCGACAAAGACTCGCGTGTCTCCCTCGGTGCCGCTGCTCCTGGTGCAGCCGCAGGGAGAAGCAGCAGCAGCGGAACACCCAGCAAAAGGCACTGCAAGCTACAGGCAGCGGCTCGTAAACATCCCTACTGTGGGGCGACGACCTTCTGCAGTGGCTGCAGCAAAGAAAAAGGCAGAAAGGAAGGGGTCCTGTGCTCTTGCTGGTGCACAAGGCCCTTCTCTTCCACGGCGGCCGCTCCGAAAGACGCTGCAGCAGATCGTCGCCGACACGCAACGCAACGGGGGGTCCTACCAGCCGATGCTCCTGCAGCGATCCGACAGTTGGGATAGAGAGATGCAGAAAGACGCGCTTGCGCGATCCTTCCGGATGGAAGCGTGCCTCACACTGCCACCTAAGGCTCGTCTTCCCTCTCTCACGGAAGGGCAGAGACGCGAGCTGCTCTCCGCAACCCATGCCGCTTAGTTCCATACACCCTAGGGAAGAGCACTCTGGAGTGCGTCTACTAGCGGAGGTGCCTCTGCACAGGCAGAGCAGCTGGAGCAGACGTCGTGAAAGGTGGCAGAGGCTTTCAGGCAAGGGGGGCCTGGCCCACCCTACTGCTCACACACAGCGCATCACCCCGTTGATCCTGTGCTGAGACGCCGTCACAGCACATAGACAGCTGCTGTTAATAGATGCACTATGTAAGATCCCAGTGGTGGTTGATGCTCCACGCACACCCCTGAAGGCTTCCGGATATCCGGCTCACTGCTACCCCCACCGTCAGTAAGGCAGCCGCGCATCTTCCAGAGAATCACCGATCCGCACCCCCACCAGCCTTGCCACATGCGCGGATTCATTGAGAGCCAACTGCCTGCTGTAGCCGCCAAATCGAATGCAATGAGGGTCAGCATTTTCTCGTAGTAGACTCCTCCAAGGCGCAGATCCTCGCAAGGCAGCGAGCGTCTAACACATCCCTGCCTTACGAGAAACTGCACCTTAGCCCCTCTAGGCCTCCGCGGCGCTAAATGAGGGCGAACGTTCGTCTTCTGGTTCCTACAGCTGCGAGTCAACTCGCGTCACTGCTGGTTTATGCTTGTCTATCCAGCTGCGTTCCAGTGAAGGCGCATGCAGCTGGGTCTGAATATTTTTGCGTCTGGCTCCTTTGAAGCAGCATCCGCGAAAAGAAATTCTCTCGAAATTCCAATGCCCCTTTCACGCCATCTGTGCGACTCTGCGACCGCGCGTATGCACTACTGCTAAAGGTCGCGATACACACAGAGAGTGCCGGCTGGCGGTTCCACCTGCAAATCCTTGCAGCTAGCTATTTGTAACGACCTCCTCTAACTCCCCGCCGCTCGCATATGAGCATGCCATGCGCCAGCCAATTATGAAAGCAACCTCTGCAGGTCGGGATCAAGATGGGCGGGCTGTCATGTGTACAGTGAACAAACTCCATGGAGGGATGGGCCTGTATCTCTATATCTATCTATCTACACGCAACTACACACGAAAAAGCAGTAGTCCGTTCGAAGCCTCTCAGGATACCTGCCCTGTAACACTAATGTGCATTATCACCACTGCCTTATCTGCAACCCAGCAGAAAAAGGCCGCCGTGCATGCGCTAAACGAGCGACCTTTATTCAAAAGCCCATGCATGCGTGCATGCCACGGCACGAGGCCACGCCGACGTAACTGCTAAACATGTGTAGCGCAGCTAGAGTGTAGAGGAGAGGGCGCATGTTCTGTGCGCTGTTGTGCCCTGTTTTCTACTCTAAAGAGAGCCATTCTGAAGCCCTTCTGACTGTTCAAATCAAACGCCCTCTCTAGAGCTTTCTGCTTCCGCCTCCCTCTCTGCAGCTCCTGTCTGCATCCTACGGCCGGCCAGCCAGGCTGCGAATGCGTGGAGGGAGCTTCGATTGGAGGGGAGCTCAAGTGCGGGAGGCTTAGGCAGATTCCTCCACGAGCACTTCTTTCATGCGCGCATGCAGACGCGCAACAGAAAGCGCTAGGTGAGCACCCGCCGTGCCATCCTGCAGCTCAAGCACCTGCAAACCTTCCTGCAGGTGCCTCAACGAGCCAACAAAGTGATGCAGCAGCTTCCACAGGCTCTCTGGGGCAATGCCGTTCTCAGACACTACGCGCGTCAGCTTGCCATGAAGATACAAGTCGCGCAGGTAGCTATTCTTCCTATACACCTCAACAAAGGTGGTCCTGCCCGCTGCCGGATCGAATACAGGAAATCGCTGCACCTCAAGGGGGCACATCGCACACATCACCTCCGGCTGAAACGGCAGATGCATGCGGAGGCTGTCTTGCAGCATCTCGCTGCTCAAAGACACCTGCGAGTCTTGCAAACAGCTCATAGCCGCAAAAGGCGACTGCAGACAGCACTGCTGCACCTGTTTCCAACCACAACACAAGCACACACATACACACGGAGAGACAGACAACGGCATAAGGAGCCCAAACGCGGATTTTTTTGTCAAATGCTGCGAAGGAGAAGCGGCCAAAGGCAACTGACATAGCCGAGGCAGTTGTTGGCACCGCAGATAGAACTTAATAAAAGTACGCCCCACATGCCGACACACAAGATGATTGGCGCCTAGAATTTTGATCTGCATTCAACTTCTTCTATTTAGGTGAGGTCCCCAGTATGCATGCCATGCGCATCAATCTAGCAAAACGGTTTGGTCCATAATATACATAAAAATACATACATACATAAATACGCCTCCGGCTCAATCTGGAAGGACGTTTCGCTCAATTAGCACACATACATATGTATATGTATGCATGCATAGAAAGATTTATAGATAGATAGATATATATAGATGATTTAATAGATATATATATATATATATATATATATATATGCTAAGTGTGTCCATGAATGCGCCTTCGTTCAAGACTCTTTCTATATGAACAGTCATATGGCATCTTACGGTTTCTCTGTAGGATGTGAGAAGTGGCTTCTGGCAGCCTTCATCTCCATCGCTGCCCGTTGCATGCTCGCGCTGCTCAGCTTCGCTGCAGGCATCTGGTGCAGAAGAAGCGAATGCGAGGCCTGTAAGCGGCAGCTGATAATCCTCTGCAGTAAGGTTCGCTCTTTGACTCAGTGTTGTGGTGGCTGCCCGCAGGCAGGCAGCTGTGGTGCTAAGCGCCTGCATCCCACGTTGCACGCATGCAGACGAGAAAAAAAGCGGAGCTTCAAGACAATCCGATACCATTCAAGAGGGCATGCAAGCGAGAGGCAGGAAAGGGCAAACTAAGAGAAGTTCAATTCAGGAGATGCCTGTGCGAGTTCACACAAGCCACAGCGTTTAGACAACAAAGGAGGAAGCAGTCAACTAGAAGAAAGCAGGAAAAATGTGGTGCACTCAGAGGGGATGCAAGAATCCTCACGCCCTCCCCCCGTCTCCCCTCCCCCGCCCTGTGGCAGCATGTGCGAGACCGACATGTCACGCCCATAAACTCTATATGTATGTATACGTATGCATGCATGTGCTGTGTTACATGTGTACGTATACGCGCATGTCTATGTACAGTGCAGCACAGACAAGCATGCCCTCGATCGGACGGCTTCAGAGACACACTGTTTTCTTGCCTCGTCGTTCGCAGAGGCCTACTATTGCTCCGAAGAAGCGCATGCTGCACGCGACATTAAACCTACCAGCCTATTGAAGGCTTCCACGGCTTCCTCTAATGGTCGAGGGAATCTTTGCGTGAAGGGGCGAAGATCTGCCCGAGTTTGTTGCGAGGCTGCCACTGCTGCACCGAGCGCTGCAGCGTCGTTCGTTGCGGAGGCATACTGCAAAATGCGATAGCGTGAGACTTCCCGCCGGTGCTGCAGGACCTGCTGCAGCACAAAGTTGGAGGGTATTTCGCTGCTGTTGCTAGGATCACAGCAGATGGCGAGCACTTGCAGCAGCAGCTGCTCGCGTTCAGTCTGAGAGAGATGCTCCTGGACGCAAAGCGCTTCCAACGTCCCTGCGGCAAGCATATGTCAGACATGCACATACACAAACACAAATACATACACATACACAAATACATACACATACACATACACATACACACATACACAAATACACACACATACACAAATACATACACATATACATACACATACACAAATACACACACATACACAAATTCACACACATACACAAATACACACACATACACATAAAGACACAACACGCCTGCTGTAACATCCCCGCAAAAAGGCATGCAAAAGCACAGCTGTCTGTACACCTGTTCGCACACCGGCAACGAGGCCAGCACTGCATGCAGGCAGGCAGCCCCCACAAAGCCTCTCTGGCGAGCCGTGCGCTTCCTAAGAGGGAGGAGGAAAGCAAAAATGAAATGCGCAGAAGGTTATGCATGCGCGTTTGCTGTCGACTGAGAGGCGATATAGAGGAGAAGGCTACAAGCAGAGACGGCTAAGGCAGGCAATACCCCTGAGAAGGCTGGCAATCTGCCATGTACAACGCTGGCTCACCGGCAAGGAGGAGGAAATGAAGAAGAAGTGCCCCCCTTCCATTCTCATAGAGCAGCTCCGCAATATAGCCAAACACATTCAGCGCGCACTCATCATTTGTGGCGAGGGAGAAGCGACTCAGCACGCCAGCACGCAACAGCAAGTCGGCTGTGAAGCTGCAATCGCCAATAAAAACGCAACATCCCACGTAAACACATGGAATCCCCGAGATAGGCAGCCAGCTTCCCTCCTATGGAGCCTTTCTCGCAAGCAACGCTTTCTTGAAGTCGGAGAGCAGCACAACAAACGCGCTGAGATGCATGCGCGCGGTGGAAACTGACAGGCGAACATGAATGTCAACTCAGAAGCAACCTGGCTGGCAAAGAAGGGACCCTTTAGCACTCCTTTTATTATCTAAGGCTCCCTATTGGCAGAATGAAAAAGCAATGCAGCCTTGTGACGGCATTCCCCCCTCTAGTTTCTAGAGCATTTTTTACTCCGGCGTGCACGGAGATGCAACATGGCATCCCTTTGCAGAAACAGTACAGTCCCAACAGATAATTGCAAATCGCCATGATTTAAAATACATACATATATACGTATATTCGTAAATCAATATAAATGATATATATATATATATATATATATATATATATATATACATACATTTGGCCGATACGCACAGTATGCCTTAAGCAAATATCGATCGACACACACGTATACATGCGCACTCGCATCTACACGTCACGCATGCCGTATCTATATACATATATATTTAGACATGTATACATTATTATATACATATATGTATATCCGTATTTGACGACATCGCTGCATGAACTCTTCGTGAGGCCCCTTGAGAAAATTGCAGCTGCCCACAGTACAAAACAGAAAATTACGTCTGCGTGTTTGCACTCATGCAAATACATATAAATACATAAACATCCATATAAATGCATAAGAGGGCACATATGTGTGCGGAAACCAGAGACAAACCACCCCGCCTTGCAGAGCGAGGGATACGCGACTCTTAGAAGTGGCAGTTTGCACGCTTCAAAGTAGTTTTCTGCATGCGCCGAGAGTTTTTTTCCGCGTGCAGCCCTTTTGTCTGTTTTTGCGTGGGCGTCCGTGGCATCTCGTCTTACCGGACGTGGTAGCGGATATAAAATCTGAGGATTTGCAGCTCTCGTTCAGAAGGAAGGTGATTCGATCCAGACACGGAGAAGAGGGGATTCAAGTACAGACGGTTAAGGCGATCTTCCAGCTGCAATTCTGTTGCAGTGCTCGCCAGCTGTGAGTTCAGCCGTAGCGTTCTTAAGACTGAAGCAGTACGGCCACGCATAAAACACGCACCACTAAGTCCATTTTTGATCTTGAATATTTTTTAAAAATAAAAATGACGCACGCGAAAGCGGCCAGGTAGACGGGCAAGGAGGGCGAGGAGAGAGAGGAGGGAGGAGTCGGTTGGAGGAAGCACACGACTCCGACGGCTGTGATGATGTACTGGTAAAGCGCTGGGCACGCACACCCTTCTGCCTATCTTTTTTCTTCCCTTCCCTTCCCTGGAAACGCTGTTGCAAGAAAGGCTTTTTTCGATGGACAGGAGAGGCCTCTCGAAAGCGACACGAGTAGTTGCCTAGCTTACCTAGCATTGGCGTAACCGGGAAATCGCCAGAAAAGACGGGAAGGCGAGCTTCAAGGAGACGATTAATTCTTCTAAAAGGAACTTCCCAAAAAATGATATGCCCCGCAGAATCGTAGCCACGTCTCCCGGCACGGCCACCTGCCTGAAGACAAGGAGACAAAACGCATGCATTATGCATGCATGCATGCAGCAGCCACGCAGAGAGGCGATAACGCAGAACAGAGAAACGCGCGGAGATGCATGAAAGAACGCCAGGCCCTCCTAAACACGCGTTAATGTCATGAAGGGGCAGGAGGCGGCACAGCGTGCCCACGCAGAGACATACATACATACATACATACAAATATTTCTCTCGGTGTGTAGTATAGGTAGGGGCTGCTGTACGTTTGCATGCACACGCAGAGAGCCGACGCATGGCGTGCATCTGCGAGAGCCAGGTGTAAAGCGCGTTGCATATGGGGGATGTCTCGCGAACGGACGGACAGACAGTGCAAGTACTAGAGGGAGAGGGATATATGTATATATATAGATATGTATGCAGACAGAAGAAGGAAAAAGCGGCGTTTTCTCTTGTGGCATGGCTGTGCTGCAGGCAGATGTTGTGGAGGACAGACAAGGATAACACATTAAAATGCACACAGGAATCTTCACGTCGAGCCGCGAAACGACAGCTACTGCTTGCCTGTTTAAACATGGTCGGTGTTAGCGCAAGAGCATCGCCAGCGAAGACAGCAGATCGGCAAGGCAAGTTCATTCCGAGGGCAAGGGCATGCGTGCAGATGATGATCCGCAAGAAACCCCAGCTGCGCATACACCCCGAGACAGACAGCCGATGTGGGTGTCTTCTCGCAGTTGCACAGCTCGCATTTTTTCTCACAAAAAACTCGATACAAGCCAACAAACACGCTTGCCTCCACAGTTGCCGACACACGCAGACACAGACACACGCACACATATACACACAGACACAGACACACACACAGCAGGTGCTTCCTTACCGATATAGCAGCTCGACAGCAACCCTGTAGACTTTCGATAAACCGTCGTCAAAGAGGCCTACGCCACGCGCCAGCAGCTGTGCGAGGAGTTCATCCTGCTTCGAATTTGCACGATCTGAGGCAACAAAAGGCAGCAGGGAAGGGGACGCGGGGGTGGAGGGGCTGGTGAGTGCATGCAGGGAGCGTTCAAGATAAAAAGAAAGACAACACGCCTTGCGTCCACACCACTCCCCTTTAATCCCCTTTCTCCGCCTTAAACCACTCCTCAGCTCCACAGATGCACACAGAGAAGCAGCGCTGGAAATTCGCCACTGCTCAGCTGACAAGCGCGGAAAGTTCACGGCAGCATGCAGGCATGAAATCCTCTAGTGCACATTGAATTGTGAACGCCACTTGCTGGAGAGAAGTCCCCTTCCATAGATAAAAACGAGGTACCAGCCACACGCAAGGAAGGCGGAAGGCCTTCCGACAAGGCATCCACACACAAAATATACCCCTCTTTCTGCCTGGACTGCGATGTGTGCTTTGTGCGTTCATGGACAGACATGTATGGGTGTATACACCTATGTATAGATACGCATCTATTTATAGAGACACTGATAGGTATGGACGCACACAGATACATACATGAATGTATAAAATATAGAGAGGAAAGCACAAAATATGCACATGCACTCAGAAGAACGCGCCGCGGAGGGACAGATCGATACGATCGAAGTCCAGCCAATCTCCTGTAGCAACTATGAGAAGAAAAAGCGCTTCACGTTTCTCTTTTTCTGTCTCTATACATATATATATAGGAGCGCGAGGCAGCAACCAGCTACAAGAAAGGCCTTTCGACAAGCGGCAGCTGCGGGCGACGCCCCTAGGAAAGATGGTGTCTCGCCTTAACTATACATAAATTTACGCATGCATATTTATTTATATTGATACATTCATATATATCCACCTATAAGTGCATGCATCCTGCATAAAATGATGATCAAAATGCCAACGTTTATGATCGCTGCGCCGTACTCTGCACATCCTTAAGAACGCCCTTGATGTCATCAAAGTTGGTTCCCATCGCCTTGGGGTTGGCAAAAGAAAATTCCTCGTCGATTTCGTCCGCGATGTCTCCTGGAGGAGGTGGCAATTCGTCATCTTCTTCTAGAGCAGCCAAGTCTTGCCGATCTAAGCCTTGCGCTTCCCGCTGCTGCCGAGACATGCCGCGCATGCGACGCGCCAAGTCCCTCTCTTGCACCATAGCCTGCGCAATAACCACCGAGACATCACAGCAGCAAGCAGACACAATACGTCACGGAGGAAGCTGCATGCAGGAACAAGCAGCAGCAGCAGCAATGATGCCAACGCAAGAAAACCACCCAAAGCCTCACAACAACACCGCAGGAAATCTCCGTTATGTATATACATATATATATGTATATATATATATATCTATATATACGACATTTCCCTACTCCCCCGCCTACCGACCGACGCTTCCCCCGCTGCAGCACGCCCCTACATACTACCCCTCTCCCTTTGTCCCTTTTATTGCTCCCTTGTTTCGTCTATGTAGATACCCCCTTCCCTCCTTCTTTTCCCCTCCCCTTTCCCCCCGGAAAAAGGCTACTAACACGCTACTGACTCCCGCTGCTGCTGCGCTCAACAGCAAACCCGCTGCGACATAAATTCCCCACCCCACACCGACAGACACGAAGAAAAACAACAGAAAGCATACACCCTCGCAGCCGCCTTGCTCACACAGGAAGAAAAAAGCTGGCTAGACACACGAATAAATCACGCGAGCGACTAGCGCCATGCCACAGCTATAGACGCCATTGCGTCACTTGCTTAATGCACAAGAGCAATGCAGGAAAACGCACAAACAAAAGGCACCAGAAAACATAGGGGCTCCCCCCTCTTTTCCGCAGCATAAGACGGCCTGTTCCCTACCTCCCTTGCGAGATGGGTGCACATACACACAGAGAGAGAGAAAAAACGGGTTGTTTTTCCCCTTTTCTTTTTTTGCGAAGCAAGGAAAACAGTGCTTAGCCAAAAACACACTTTGGAGAGACTCTGCCCTCGACGTATAGAGAGAGAAGTGCACTCGCGCATGATGTCGTGACAGCCCATGCCTCACCTCGTACTGTTCAAGACGCTGCTTATTGAGAGCGCGTGTTCGATATGTTGCTTCTTCTGTGCCATAGTATTTAGCCCACTGCAGATCCTCGAGAAGCCGCGAGAGACTCATGCCCATGCGACGTACCTTGGTAAAAAGCAGCATGTAACGCGTATATTCGACATGAGAGACATGAGGCTTCCAAGAACTTCACACACACGCGCACTTGGCAGATAGAAAGGAGAGAGAGGGCAATATACACAGCAGCAGCACAGACTTATTTACTGCCTCAGAGCGCCAGTGTCAAATTTTCCTTCCCACCCCACACCCACCCTCCGAACCCCCCCAACTCATGAACACACCCCTAATACACAATTAAACAATCCAATTGCCCCCTGCTTTCCCCTCTCGACTCCCCTACCTGAGGCCGTGAGAAGTTGAAAATCAGACAAGGCAGCAGCTGGCGCGTTTGCAGCGTCCGACATAAAGACAGCAGCTTCTGCAAGAGCAACAACACGCATATAACCAGCCCCCTGCATGTCCACCGCAGCACAAGGCGACGGATGACACCCACGGAATGTGCTGCCTTTGGTAACATCGAGGCACTCATCGATTCCGCATGCAGCATGCACTGCAGACACGTCCACTGAAGAGGCCCCTAGACAGAGACTGGCACTGGCAACCACTCAGAGGCAACACTTTGTTCAACGCAGCAAGCAAGCGACCCATGAGCCTTGGCTGCACCCGTAGGCGCAGCCGTCATCCTTCTCTTCTCCTCCGTTCGTCTGTCCGGAAAGAACGCGCGAAGAATGCCACCGTTTCAAGGCTGTGCGCAAAAAATTCTGGCTGCATGCACTTCGCTAGGGAGGGCAGACACCACACCACACCCTTAAGGCCAGCAGCAGATCACTTGCCTCCGCATCGAGGTATGCCTTCGGGAAGACATCCCGATTTCGAATGGAGGTGAGGCAGCCTGCGTATTTGCTCTTAACTGCCTTGCTTTTCGAAGCTTCTGCTACACTCTGGAGAGCTGGCAACGGCGCAAAGAGGGGCAAGTCTTCTGCCCATGTTCGGGGAGATTCTTGCAGCTGCTCTTGCAGATCCGCAAACACGGCGAGCGAAACTTCCTTCGTATCGCGAATCAAAGACACGAAGTATTCGCGCATGGTTTGCCAGTAGAGTCTGCAGCAGAGCAGCAGCAGCAGCCCGCACGGCAGGCAGGCAAGCAGCCGCGCAGAGAGAGAGGGGCAAGGGAAAAGAATAGGAGGGGTGGGATGAGGCAGCAGAAGATACAGAAACGGTGGATCCGTGCTCTCTCATTTTCTCTTTCTGGAAGAGGCGAGCACAGTCAAGGACGCAAAAGGCTGCAAGAAGGAAACTTTGCAGCGTGCAGGTGGAGAGGCTTGCTACAAGGGTAGGCAGACTGTGCGCCCATCGCGCATTAAAAAATGAGGCAAAGTTTCGCGGCTGCCTGCCGTGTAGGATATATATATAAATATATATATATACAGAGCCACAGGAAATGCCACATTGAACTCGGGGAGTCTTTACAGGAAACGGATATCGCTCATGCGCTCAAGACGGGGTGTTCACCTGTACTGCTTCTTGGTGATGGCGGCAGTGCCTTCAAAATAGAATTCTGGAGCAAATGCAGTGGTGAAAGGATGAGAAGCTCCTAACATCCGCGATAAGCAGTGATAGAATTGCAATCCGTCTTGGGGGGGAACATAAAAGTCTTGTGCTAGGCCTTCACCCAAAATCTGCATCACCGCCGGAGACGCGCATGCACAACCTAATCTGAATTTTTCCGCAAGCAATTCAGTAAAAGAAGGAGAAGGAGAACAGGAAGAGGAAGAAGAAAATAGGGCATACTATAATCCATGGGCAGGAAGCCGAAGGGAGCGCGCTAATAGATCTTTTTGAAAAATTTTATCGTTACTAATATAGTTTTTCACTGGAGAACTTTTAATAATACCAGGATGAGATATTCATAAGAAAAGCTTCCAAGCATGCTCATGTCAATGTAATAATACCGACGTGTCATGCAAACAGTGCAGCATCTGCAGCATTCTTCCACTTCAGCGCTTCCAGAATAAAAAGACGCCTCTAGGGAGAGAGGTTAAAAAGCGTAAATAGAGAGAGCGAAAGAGAGAGAGCAAGACGCGCATTTTCTGTGGCGTAGAACCTGCATTGTTGTCTGACACTACAACAGTGTTCTATTTTCAGCATGTGCCTTCAGCGGTAGAAGACTGAAAGGAAAGACAGGGTAGAATCGCTTCCAGACCTTGTTGTAATGGAGAGCGGCAACAGGATTTAGCGGAACGATCATCTTCTCATCGTAAACGTGTGTGTGCAAGTCGCTAAAGCGCTCAGTATGAGAAACGAAGCGGATGTCTTGATGAGGGGCTGACCGCTTCAGCCACGCCATGAAAGATTCTGCATTTCCAACCTGTGAAAGGCATACGCTACCCAAAGCAGAGAAGGCCTCGCAAAATACTCAAGAAACGCAATGCAGCGAGAGGTTAAAAGAGAGAGAGAGAGACAGAGAGAGAGACAGAGAGAGAGCGACGGGCAAGCACATGCAGTGCAGAAACAGAGAGAGAATGGCGGACAGAAACAGAGATCAGATACACACAGAAAGAGAGATACAGATAGAAAGAGGGATATATATAGAAACATACATATAAACAGAAACCGAGATACATATAAACATACTGCAACAAAGAAACAGACAAGCATGAAGAGGGGACGCAGAGATGAAGAAGAAATATTTTTCCCTTTTCCTCTTCCTCTGACCAGCAAAAGCTGCCGCATGCCTCGCACCCTCTCCCCCGTCCTTTCCCCGCTACTTTTGCACCCATCGCTTGCAGAGCTTTTCGCTTGCAGCCTTTAGCATGCGCCGTCACTCTCCGGAAGCCTACCGTTGCAGACATCGCCAGGAAGGGGCAAGGAAGCAGCTGAAAAATGCGTTCCCACAAAGGACCTTCTGCTTGATCGCCAATGCAGTGAACTTCATCCAGCACGACATATTTGATGTTGCTGCAAAACTCGCGATGGTGGGGATGCCCCGAGAGCAGCAGCAGCTCCAAGAAGTGCGGAACTGTGACAAACACCTGTTTGAACGGAAGCACAGGCACACACATACACACCGCGAAAATGCGCAGAAAGAGGCCATGAACAAAACGCCAGCACACACGAGCAGCGGAGGCAGCAGCAGCAGCAGCACCTCCCTCCTCTCCCCCCTCAGTGCATGCGCGGCGGGGCAACAAAATGCAGCATGCAGCCCCCTTTCATGAATTCTGCTTGTTCTGCACACTGCACACACCTCCCCGAGCAGACACAACACTACAGCCGACAGCGGCGTGGACAGAAACATGCCCGCCCGCATGTGGTCAAGCACATTTCCAGCGAGACAAGCCGAACGGCTCGTCTCTTGAACGGCACACGCATGGTGTATGTACACTGCGTGAGCACTGGGGCAGCACCGGGGATAGGCCGAAGCACAACGCATTCGCATGTTCAGAACTACTCAAACTCCCCCGACTGCCGGCATAGACACGCACAGGCGTGTATTTTTCTCCATCCACACCGACTGGACGGTGCTCTAACCAAAATACAAACAAAAAACAGAGCCTCTCTTGTGTGCATTATGACCCCTCGCTAGGAAACGCAGTAGCCAGCCACCTGTGCGTCAAGAGCCTTAGGCGTGCAGACACCCTGGAGAACCTGCGCAGACAAGATCTTCCTGCAAGTTGCTGGATAACTCTTGCTGCTAAACCGCCCATATATCTCCGCGTATACCTGAGGCACAAAAAGCACACGCACATGGCAGGCAGCCGCATGCAGGAAAAGAAACGCATCTCTCGTGCGCATGCATGCAAGGCTGAAGCGCTTCTCGCTGGCATGCGCAAGCAAGCAGGCAGGCCACATCGCTGGGCTTGCTGTCGATTTCACAGAAAAAGAGAAAAAAATAACAAGAATCCTGAAGCAGAGCCGAGCTGGCCAGGTTCCCTTATGCGGCAAGCGCCACGTACATCATGCAAAAACATTTTTCTGTCTCTACGAAAAAAAGAAACGACCAAGATCAGAACCGACAAGATATACGGAAACGGCATTCTGCGAGATCGGCGCGATACAGGCATGTTCCCATGTTTGCCCATCCCTAGAATATACATACATGTCTTTTTGTACGTGTGTATTCATGCATGAAGGAATGTAACTAAATACTTGCTCGACATATATGCATGCTCTTATGCACATACATACATGCACACACGTTCTGGGATCGACCATATGTAATGTGTGTATATATACAGGAAATATAGTGAGAGCGCAAGCACATACACATGAACAAAAATCTCTTTGTAGAGAGACAGGGCAAGACTTAACGCGCCGCAGAAAAAACCAAAGGGGAGAGGAGTGGACGTGTAGAAAAAAGAGGGAAAACGCATGCAAACTGACCTGCTGTGCAAGAGCCTTGTTCGGGCAGACGTACACGACACAGCCTTCGTTAGAATCTCGAAGCACCAATTCCATCGCATAGAAACAGACATACGTTTTACCGCTTGCCGTAGGGGCCGATACAAAGGCGGAAGCGTATCTGCAAGAGCAAGAGGCCATACACCACAGACTCCGCCAGCTACTAGCAACATATGGGGTGTCTTTAAGGGGAGAGATAGATGACTTGAACAGCCCTCCAAGTAGCGGCAAAAGTGGGAGAGAGAGACAACACGTCACAACCCAGCACAGAGGGGGAGAGAAAGAGATCGATGGAGACAGAGAGAAAGATAGAGCGCCGTCACACTCCGTCTATATGTATAATGATCGCCACACAGGATGCGCTAAACGTTTGGTGTTGCAGAAAGACAGACAGGAGATACTTTTTAGGGGGGAGGCACACACATATGCCACCCTTGAGACGTCCACACAAAGAGCAAGCCGCAGCGGACAGTCAGGGAAAAAAATGGGCTTGCAGAGGCAGCACCAAGAGCAACAGCAAGTGCAGCAGCGATGCAACAACCTTCAGGGAGCAATGCGGTCCTACTTCATGGACGGAAACTTTGCTCCCGTGCGCAGGCAATCGTGCAAAACGCGAGCATGAGGGAGGCAGCAGCAGGCGGAAGTAGCAAAAATAGCAGCAGCAGCATCAAAAGCAACACTAGCAGCAGCAGGAGCATCAACAGCACTAGCAGTAGCAACAACACTAGCAGTAGCAGCATCAACAAAAGCAGTAGCAGCATCAACAAAAACACTAGGACCAGTATCAGCAACACTAGCAGCATCAACAACTCTACTAGCAGCATCAACAACTCTACTAGCGCCATCATCAACAACACTACTACCAGCATCATCATCAACACTACTAGCAGCATCAACAACACTACTTGCAGCATCCGTAGGAAGACAAGCAGCGAGGTGCCTCTCTCTCGAAAGACAACTTGCGCAGTGATGTGTCAACGCACGAGTCGACTGCATCGAAAAGCCTCGACTGCCAGTAATCTGGAATAAATAAGACACGTGGATCAGGAGGCAGCGAAGGAGGCCTAGTGCTCCTTTCGAAGTCTCCCCCCATGAAGCGCAGCTGCACTTCTGCCTCCTGCGAGAACCGCATCACGCATGCATTCGCTCCCCACCAACAGCGTGGCATGGCATGCGTAGCACAAGCAAAATACTTGCGCTTCGAACGTCGATGCAGAAAAAGAACAGCCTGCAGGCTGTTTTTTCCAGCAGCAGACAACATGCCGATTCACAAGGTGCACATGCACAAAAACAGAATGCCCACCACGTGCTTTGACACCATACTACACGACAAGGATGCACCGTTCAAAAGGAGCATCGCTGTCGATGTTGAGCGCTGCCTAGCCCCTTTAAGCCTTATTCTTCTTCCTCCCCCTCCCCTCCCCCCCCTTTTCTGCCTGCATGCGCTCAAGAAGCTGCTCACTTGGCCTTCTCGAATGCGAAAATCATACAGCTCCGTGGAGTTCACACGATGGTGCTCGTCATCGGCGATGCCATGATCTTTCTAAACCACACAGCCACCGCAGTCATAAAGTGCAGCGCAAGCGTAGATGGATTCATGTCCTTTCAGTCTTGGAAACATACAAAACTTACACGCAAACACAATACACGCATACATGCATAAAATATATACATCGGCATACACATACACATACGCGCGAACATATACAGGATATACAGGGTATATTTTGTACGTGTACATGATATACATACAAAATATACATATATACATACACAATATATACATATACATACAAAAAATACATAAAGAATATATACATATACAATATATATATGCATACATATATATACAAAATATACATATATACACACAATATATACATGTACATATACGCACAATATATACATGTATATGCACAATATATGTATCTATATATATGCGCAATATATATATACATCTATATATAGACACAATATATACATCTACATATATATATATATATACACAATATATATATATATATACATCTATATATATACATACACAATATATACATCTACATATATACACAACATATATACATATACAACCATATATCTACACACAATATATACAAAATATACATATGTATAAACGACATATACAAAATATACATATATATACACAATATATACATCTATATATATATACACAATATATACATCTATATATATACACAATATATACATCTATATATATACACAATATATACATCTATATATATACACAATATATACACCTACATATACACAATATGTACATCTATATATACACAATATATATACAACATATATATACACAATATATACACCTATATATGCACGATATACATACAACATATATATACACAATATATGCACCTATATATACACAATATATACATAAAAAGGCGTTATCGCCCTCCTCAGCAGCCTCTAGCTGGCCGCCCCCTTCTTCATAACTCGCTTGGCAATTACCGCTGCAACCGAAGAAACCGTGCATGCACTCCCTCTTCTCCCCCTGTATATCGTCCTAGCTGCCTAACTCTTGACGAGCACGCTACGTGCGCATCGTCTCATAGCGTACCGCTGCCTTCTTGCTGTTCGTCTTGGCACGAGGAAGCCCCTCCGCCTGCTGCTGCAGTCTGAGCTGCTGTTGCGTCTTCTTCCACGTGTCGAAGACAATGCTAGCAGACTTTTTAAAGCCCAGTGCAAACAGACTGCGCTGAATCTGCTCAATATCGTTGCCGGTTAACTCGGCGGCAAACATCCGCGCCGTTTCGATGTTCAGGCGAAACAACAGACAGAGCAGCCGACGAACCTCCAAAAAACACTCCCTAAAAGCATGCACACATTTGCACTCTCCGCATCTCCTCCTGTCTTGGGAAAGCCTCTTTGCTAGCTCCTGAGCATTATATATGTATATATGTACATACAACTGTATGTATACATATATATCCAGGAGCACCCAAACAACAGATACATAAATATATAGAGGGAGAGAAAGTAAGCACACAGTTTAACATATATAATGCACATATATATATATATATGCAGAAAACGAGACAGGGAGAGAGCGCTGTCATTATGAAGCGCAAGTATACAATACCAGAAATGTCCTTATCACTATGCACAAAATAATATCAATATACATACATATATATATATTATGTACATATACATATATATATTTACACGTGTGCATACAGATGTATATCTTTTCCGAGACTCTCCTAATGGGCGAGTGCGTGTTGTGCGGTGTCTCGACAGCGCGCAGCGTGGGTGCCTACTTGCTGGAGCACTTCTCCCTCGGCAGCTCTTTGAAAGCCGTGTTAAGGAGCTCATGAACTGTCATTGCGAATTCTTTTTGTCTCTGCCGCGTTTTTAAATAGCGGGTAACTGCAGGCAACCCCAATAACAAATCCATGCGGCGCCCTGCGCCGATCAGCGCCTCCAAAAGAACTTCCCGCAGCGCTGCAGGTGTCAAGAAGTAGACTTTGTTTTTGAACACAAAGCTCGAGATTAGCCCGTTCTTCGTCTTGGTGGTAGATCCGCTTTTCTCGGCACACAGTGCTTCCAGCTGCACGCAGAGCGAAGAAGGAGGAAGCATAGCGCATCAAAGAAATGCCGAAATAATCCAGCAAAACGCGAGAGCTGCATGTCGCACACAAAGGCACCGCGCTCCCGCTGCTCTGGTGCTCCTTGTGCTGCTTCTGCCACTGCTGCAATACAGCTGCACTATTACAGCAATACTGCTGCTGCTGCAATACTGCTGCTGCTGCAACACTGCTGCTGCCGCAATACTGCTGCTGCCGCAATACTGCTGCTGCTGCAATACTGCTGCTGCTGCAATACTGCTCAGCGCAGTCATGGCGGCTGGCCACCAACGCCTACGCTAGTAGTTTTACTCCCTCCCTTTCTTTCTCCCTCCATTTCTCACTCCCTGACCCTGACATCTGTCTGCGTCAGCTGTCTGCCTTTAAGCCACCTGCTGCACATCGCTGATAAGTTTGATGAGCGCAGCAGCAAGCCGCATCCACAGGCACACGAGACACACTCTTTTGTAGTTACACCCACCAAGTTCTCGAGATTTTCTGCCCGTTCCAAGTCAACGTCTTTAGTTTTCTGTTCTTTTGCCGCCAAATTCTTTGCTCTGATGATGTCTGCCTTCTTCTGCACCGGTGCCTTCTCCTTCTTGGGGGCACTCTTGCCATTTCCCTTCCCTTTCGCTGCGTTTGCACTCACTTGAGCCACTGCTGCCTGCTGCTCCTCGGCAACCCGCCACGGATGATTCGCGTGATTCACAACAATGCTAAAGTGAAGAGGATGCGGGCATATACACTTTGCGATGCGCGTTACGTTCTTCAGATTCTGCTGCATCCTGACATCCACAACGCATCCCCATATAGCAACACGTGCGAGAACTCTCAAACTCCTTCCTCTACCCAGCGTCAAGAGCAGGGCAAGCTAATGCTAACAAGCAATCCACATATCTCACACGGTGTGGCAGCGCAGGAAGCATACATGTATACAATACACATATACCCATGCATATATATACAAAATACATATACACATGCACACATATATACAATATATATGTATACACATTCATATATGCATACATCTATATACATGGATATGTATATCTGTATCCCTACCCATATATGTATATGCATGTGCATATGCATACGCATACGTATGTGGACGCGGCTGTACAGACACCGTGGCCATATAAGAGGGTCAGTCAAAGCTAAAAGACGCCAATGGTTTAGGAAAATACATAGCTGCCACCACGCGCTCAAGCGTCTCCCGATCGACATTCAAATACACAAAATCATCCTATTTAGAGCTAATGGAGGGCACTATGAGAGTTCAGCTATGGCAGGGTCTAAGTGCTAACCTGCGTCTCAGCCTTGCTTCCCAAAACTTCCTCCTCTCTTCGCCGTTCATATTTTCCATCTTTTGTTTTTCGTGCCGCGTGGGAACGCGCGAGTCGTCCACGGATAGCGTCTCTAGCAGAATCTGAGAATACGCAGACGCTGCAGCGTATAGAGGTACAAACATAGAGCCAAGACTGAAGAAGCGGGAGTAAGCATGAAGACACACACACACAACACCCCCGTGGCAATAAAACATGTACGCCCACATCGCGATTGACACGATGTAGGCAATTCACGAAAAGCCGCAAAAATGAAGAGAAAAGGCGTTCCTGGAAAGAGGGGATTCTGCCTCTTCCTAGATAGGGGTATAGCGCCGTACAGAGAGAGAGACACGCATGCATACAGACATACAGACCGTCATGATCGCATGCAGCCATGCCGAGACGTAGGCACCATTGGGAGATGTATCCATCCCATGGTGTTGTTTTGAAAGCAAGGAGGGGGCTGCAAGAGGGAGAAGAGTACGCGTGTGGAGGCATATATATATATATATATATATATATATATATATATATATATATATATATATAAATGAAGAGGATATATCACGTGCATCAAGATGGTGCAGAGAACAGAACGCACAAAAGGCATAGCGCCTAAATATGTATAGATATATGTATATATATGAAGAGGATATACCACGTGCACTAAGACGGTGCAGAGAACAGAATGCACAAAAGGCATAGCGCCTATACATATACATACACATACATACATATACATACATATACATATATATACATATGTATATATATATATATCGCAAAGCGAGAAGAGTGCATAAGAAGCGTGAAGTGCTCGCTCTGTTGGCAAGTTGTGTGAATATGATTTTGTAGTGCACTGTGCAGCTTGCCTCTGTGGGGGCGTCTTTGAGAGTCGGTTGCAATTCTTGCGTTCGTCTGCAGTTGACGAGACCTCTAAGTTTGAGAACCTTGTTGAGCATATCTGCTTCTGCCGATTTGAGGTGCGTCTCGTCTTCGGAGTCGGAGTCGGAGTTGGAGGAGCGCGCTTCCGTGGAGTCGCCCTCTGCCTCGCTGTCGCCTTCCCGCTGCTGCAGCCGCAGCTGCCGCTGCAGCAGCAGCTGCTGCTTCGTGTCTTCCTCGACAAGCGCAAGCTCCTCATCATCTTCCGCCATGAGAACGTCGGGAAGAACGCCTCCAGGAGGTGCCCCTGCACGCAGGCGCTGCAGAAATGTGGAGGGTAGAGACAGCAGACTCGCGAGATGAGGCTTCGAGGATGCTGTTGCTGCTGCTGCAAGCCTCGGCTCTGGCAGGGAGGCAGGATCCTCCAGGAGCTCCTTCAGACTCTCGAGCGACACCGGGAAGAGCGGCTCTGCCGAGACGCTCGATCCCCGTGTTTTCCCTCTGCGCCAGCAGCAGCGCCACGCCTCCTCGAGAGTCGTCAGTCTGTCACGAGACAAGCCAGTGGCAGACGCGCTTATGCTCCACTGCCCACTGCGACGAGCAGCAGCCGCTGCAAGGCTGATCAGAGAGGTCAGCAGCTTCCCGTCGAAGAGATCCGCAAGCTCGCAGGCGTCCAGCTGGTTCAGCAGCTGCTGCTGCTGCTCCGTTTTTTGCTCTCGATCTCCCAGCAGCAGAAAACAGTCGTTCGCGCGCTGCAGCACCGCCTGCACTTGGCTGCAGTAGAGCCGCAAGGGCGCATAAAGAAACTCCGACACAAAGCTGCAACTGCATGTCGACAGAAAGTACCCATGACATCGCTCCTGCAGACTCAACGTCTCCTGAAAGGCAACTGCAAGCAGCAACAGCTTCCCCACAGTAACAAACTGCGAAAGCTGCTGCTGCTCAGCCTCATCGGCTTCATCGGCTTCATCAGCCTCATCAGGGGATGCATCCCTCAAAAACTCACAAAACTTCGCTACCATAAAATGCCGCAAAGGCACCGTCTCCCCCCCCCGCTGCTGCTGCTGTTTCTGCTGCTGCTGCTGCGCCTCTGCAAAACTCCGCAGCTCCTGCAGCAAAGCCTCGCTTTCCAGCTGCTGCTGCGCAGCAGCAGCAGCTGCCTCCGGAGGCGGTGTCAGCAAGTCGAGATCGTGCAGCATGTTGCGATGCTGATTCAGTGCTTTCTTGAGGGCGCATTGCTGCTCTTGCTGCTGCACTTGCCCGTCGATTGCTGCAGCAGCTGCTGCTGCAGTAGCTGCTGCGGTATCATTGTTGCCTGTACTGCTGCTGACTCTCGACTCCATCACTCGCCAAAGGTTTGCGCCTTTGTAACACGAGGTGGAAGGCGCAAAGATCTTGGTAGGCTTGATGACGAGGCTTTGCAAAAAGGCCGTATCGACTCCTAGTCGACAGCAGGCGAGGCAGAGTGACTGCAGCAGCAGCGACATACATCGTGCGCCTCCCTTTCGAATACATCGAAAAGCGTCGGCTTGCAACTGGCATACTTCGAGAGAAACCTCCGAAGGCAGGGTCCAGTGCTTCCCAGCCCTCTGCAAGACGACTCTGGCGTCGAGTGGCATCCTGTGTTTGCCTTTCTTGTCATCATCTTCTTCTTCTTCCTCATCTTCATCTTCATCTTCCTCGTCTTCGTCTTCCTCGTCTTCTTCCACTACCTCTTCGCGCAAATCCAAGAAGAAGATGTCGTCCAACAAAATGAAGAGGGGGTGCAAGGCAGCGATGACGGAGGCAAAAGACTGGTCCCACCAGTCCGACAAATACAGGAATTCGATCCCCTGCTTTCTCAAGTGCAGCTGGAAAAGCTGCTGCATGAGGCAGAAGAGAGGGTGCGCTGCGCCTGCAGCCGCGAAAGCGCGGAAGAAGACGATCTTGAAGTTACCACCAGCCGCCTCGATCTGCTGTAACAGCTTCTCCGCCTGATACAGCAGTCGCAGCGGCTGGAAGCCCCTCTTCACGTCAGCGTCGACATGCTGCTTCCGCAGCAGATGCAGCAACAGGGTGTCTCCGGAGATCAAGAAGAGATAGCCTCCACCCAGCTCCTCGAGCAGCTCGCTGGTCGTATGCGGCAATAGTGAAGCCCAAGCCTCCAGCCGTGCAATTGGGCTCAAAAGAATCGATATATCGAGCTCCTGAGCAGCCGCTATCTCGGAGTCTACCTGCAGCTGCGACTCGATTTCCAGCAAGCCTGCTGCCTCACCTGCGCCTCCCCTCTCTTCCTCATCCTTCACGGCTGGCGCAGCGATTACCACGTCGCTGCGAGATCCTGCGCCCTCAGTCAGGCCTTCCTCCAAAGGAGAACTCATTTCCTCCCGCAGCGAGAAGCCTGCCTGGCTCGGGTGTCTCCGCAGCCGCGCAGCTGCCCGCCTTCGTGTCGAGCTGACGGCTCTCCCCGGAGGAGCAGGTTCAAACAACAAGTGGCAAAGAAGAGGGGGAGGGAAGGAGCAAACTAGCACTGCAGCGGGCACTAACAGCAGCAAGGAAAGAGAAGGCGAAGACTCCAGAGGACATACACGAGCTGGCTTTTGCACGCGGTAAGGGGGAGACTGCAGCGGAAACCATGCGGCGGATGGTGGATAGCGGAGGGACCCGGCCGAAGAATTTTTTTCAAGGAGGAATAAAATGCCATTAACAACTTCTAAGGGGAAAGAAGTCAGCCCTCACTTCCGTTCAACGGCAGAATAAGGAGTGACGGGAGAGAGGGGGTCGGTGGTTTGTTGTAGGTGCAGATAAAAGAGGGAAAAACGACGGAGAAAGCACTCCACAAATGCACATCTGTCCAGCCTCCTTAAGAGAGCAAGAGAGAAAGAATTGACACTTTCTCCTGCGGGTATCGAAGAGCCTACAACAAGCTTCCCAAACAGAGGCCCCCCACTGCTCTCCTCGCTGGTGTTGCTGCAACAGAGGAAATGTGTAGGTGCTATTGCGTTCCCTTTATTTAAAGGCTCATGCTCACGCTAATTACATGTCTTTCTATATTAATAAAAGCCTAATATGTGCCTTTGAGCTGCAAGAAAAGGAGACCGTAATCGGCTTACCCCCGCCTGCCGGCGTGCAGCAACGAGCGCACTCGAACGTTCAAGAAAGCAGCGGCAGCTGCCTCCACTAACTTCCAGAGTTTTAACATTGCTCCTCACCATTTTGCAGTATTCCCTTTGCCCCTTAGACTAAAAAGGTCTAACCAACCCCTTTCCTTCTATGTTTCGTACGGCGAGCTATGCGAACAGCAGACAGTTGGCATGAGGAAGGGGAAGCCTCTGGTAAAAGATGGCATTTTGCAGCGTGTCAAACAAAAGATGCCAGGCGCTCGTCTGCCGAGGTCGCCCAGACTTTCTCACGCAGAGCAAAACCGGGCAGAACTACACTTTTGGCACTTGCTTCTGCACTAGTAGTATCAACTAGGAATTCGCAGAGGATTGATTGTTGGTTCGTGTACGGATACATGTCATTGATTGCCTAGTACGACAGTCTTTACACAATGAGAATCAGTGTTATGTGCGTGCGCGCTAGATGATCTCTGCAACTAGCTGGGAATGTTTAGGGGATCAGAGTGTGCAGCAACACTCATCCCCCCTTTTCCTCCCCTCATGTCGAAACTCTGTGGGAAGCCGGCAAGGGGAGAGGAGAGCTCATTAGAGAAACAATGAAGAACATTGTATTCAGTGTTTGTGGGTGTGGGTTAATTGTCTTCCCATGGAAACCTTAGATGGAACGTTACAGAAACGACAAGGGACTAAGACGTTTTCTCCTTTTCTCTCAAGAGCAAATGGTGGCTGACAAAAAATGCTAGCCTGAAGGGCAGGAGACACACAGCCCATTTCCGCGGCGTTAAACAACTGGTTTCAATGGACTTCGAGGCAGGGAAGAAGGAATGATTGAGAAGTCACGTCAATTTGCAACTAGAGCCACATATCTACGCATGAGAAATAGAAGCATCAGGGAAAGAATGAACGGACGAATCAGGAACGGCTGCAGGAAGACAGTCTTCGGTAGCACTATGGAAAATGTCTCGCCAGGTGAGAGCTTCGTCTTTACATAGGATAAAGGCTGCATTTTCTGTAGCTGCACTTTCCCTGCACACAGTTCACCGACAAACGAGCCTCAAGTCCAACTGCTTTCCAAACAAGCGACACATACCTTTCTGAAAGCCAACTCGCTTTCCGTACACACAAAGCATCAGCAAGCCGGAGAGCGCTGACTTAGCACGAATCATACCCACTGTGTGCAGCAATCCTCCTCTCTTTTCATATGTGGTCTTTGAGGAAGGAAACGGTGGTTTCCACAAGAACTGGAAAGTGCTCTGCAGTGAGGAATTCGAAATGGTGTATGGGAAACTCCTTAAGCACGAGTTCTTTCCTTGACTTCTTCCCTGCATGTTGCTGCACCATGCGTCTGATCGGCTCGATCGGGCAAATGTTGTCGTATGTCCCCGCTATGACGAGGGTGGGAATGTCAAGGAAAGCGACAGCGGAATCTGCGATCACCGCAGCCATAAGAAAGCTCAAGCACTGCCAAGCTTCACGCCTGGGCATATCGCAGCAGCAATTAATCACTGCCATTGTTTTTTAACCGCTGGGGAAGGCGTCCATGACCGTTATTGGCTTGCCAGCCTTCTAGAACATTCGTGTATAACTTGTAGCTTTTGCTCCACTGATTTGCGCGTTCCATCTACAATCCACTATTGTCTGCACTCATTCTCTTACCATCAGCCTGGAACCTTGAAATATTATAAAGCGTTCTTGCTGCAAGCCTATTCTCCCATGCGCCATCCACTGCCTTTCCCATAAGGGGTGTGCGGGATGCCCAAATGTCGTATTCGTTTTTATTGAGGCGCATGGCGCTAACACCCTTTGACTCTTCTGACTTCGCGAGTCTTATGTACACGACGCTTTCCTTCTTCAAGTAGCTCCAGAACATATCCTGCATGACGGCCCAGATAACCCGAATCCTTTCTACAAAGTCGGCTCTCTGCAGGTGCACCAACAAACCACACACACAAAGGAACCGATGAGCGTTGCTTACATGTCAGATCATTTTTATGAACACTCCGGTTGCCTCAGCTAGCCAACGAAGACATGGAAACAAGCAAAAGTGTTGTGTGGGCCACACACCTTCACCGCGGCGGCTTGAGTATCTTTGCCACTAACGAAGGGAACGGCTGCAACAACCGCCTTGACACTCGGCTCCATTGGGTGCTTCTTCTGACTTAGCTGACTGGCGACAGTCAGCATGACACCCCCCCCAAGAGACGCGCCGTACAGCGCTATTCGGTTTGTGTCTACTTTCCTCTCGAGGCCGTTTGTATTCTGAAGGTGCTCCAAGATAGAGATTACGTCTTGAACTTCTTTCTGAGGATCCGCTACGTGTCGAGGGAATCCCCCGGATACTCCCCAGTGTCGGTAGTCAAACAGCACCACGGAGAGACCTCGCGCAGCCAGATTTGTTGCAAAAGGTATTAAGGCAATATCCTAAGGCAACAGAAGAGGAGACGGGACGACTTTTGTTGGAAAGCAAAGGGTCAGGAGACGGCATCAGCTATTGCTTTATGCAAGACTCAACACAAGAAGTAAAGCTGAGGGGAATGCATATTGGCGCGGAATAACGATCGCCGAAAGCTCTAAGAGTCCTACTTGTACATAGACGAAGTAAGGAAAGAAGGCCAAAGAAGGGGTGCGCGTACCTTTTGCACGCCTAAGCCGTAGGCAGCAACGACTACGGGAGGTGGTGTCTTGCTCTTCGATTGCGCTTCGGGTAAGAAGAGCCAGCAGTGCAGTTTCTCCCCTTCGACTTCAACGGAAAACGTCAGGCGCTCCAGCGACTTGACCTAAACGGATAAAAAGCCTTTGAGACAGCAAACCAGGTGAGCAACTTCATGCAGCCCTTCAAAAAATGATTTCTATTGGGGCTCAAACGGGCGTGGCTCTTGCACCGCGCCTTCAAAGATCTAAGCGAGATGGCAGTTCTTAGTTATGCCCGACGCCACTACAGGTGAAGCCATAAACAAAAGAGATGCAGAAGAATACCTCTAGGCCGAACGTGCTCCAAGAAAACCGTTTTCCTGGAGCACGTTCGTTAGTGTGCGTTAGTCTGCATGTGCCTCTGCGTGTTTGCATCTCCTGGTGTGCTCTGATTCTTTGAGCTGTCTTTATATGTGAATTAGGGTGCTGTTTTACCTTTGTGACAGTGCCACCCGCATCCCTGGGGGCGACGAATCTCATGGGATCTGTCGTAATATCCGGGTCGAAGCTCACGGTGATTAGAAGGGCCAAGGCGGCGACAAAAAGCGCCTTCCAAATCAGATATTCCATCGTTGTCGCACTGTTGATTGTACTTTGACTAATATTTGTTCGATTGTGGCCATAATTTTATCTTGTTTCCTCCATGCGCAGAAACTTTCATCACTCTGGTACAAGAGGGCGTACGTTGGGCTGCCGAGGATTCGTGGCAACTGCAAGGATAGCGCTTCCTTCGCAGTTTATAGGGCTTCAGAGCTGCTCTACTTCTGAATAAGTAGACGTTTGAGGCCAAAGCCAACATGTATAATTCTGGCATTACATTGATTTTCCAGCCGCTACGTCCTCGGGGCCCCCCGGTTCCTGTGCCTTCCATTTGAACTCGCATGGGAACAGTTGCAACAGAGGCAGATGTTCTCAACGAGTGGTGTTTAGACGCACCTGGAAGGTTAAATAGCAAAGAGGAGCTCTACTCTACAAGGGAAACTTCAAGACACTGCAAGTGAACGCGATTGCTGCACTCTGCGAGCGCTCGAGGTCTCCCACGCGACTTCACATAGTTGCAGAAACTCCTGCATTAGATACTCGGCTGCTCAGAAGCCTCTGGAGGGCTTGCCCTCCGCCTTCGTTGCCGCAAAATCGAGACCCTTTGAGTCATTTTGCATGTGCACGCCTCTTGAACTCCCACAGCCTGCCTCCCAAGTCATTCTCAAGGCCGCTGGAAAACGTTCGGGTGGACTGGATTACTGCTGTGTAGCATCTCCAGATATGGGCAAGTTCTTACTACCGCCACCAGGAAAGTAGTCTTAATCTCAGTCACATGCAGCATGGTAGACTGAATAGTGCCACGAGAGGTTTCTCGAGGCATGCCAGCTAAGTTCGCATTTCCCTTGAGTTTCCGGATCTTTCCTCACAAATAGTAAAAAAGGAACTTGTCTTTATTCTTCCCTCGAATTGAAAAACATAGGGAACACTCAAACGCAGTCCCCTGTTCGCGCTTCTTCCGCCAGAGGAATGCTGGTCAAAATGTGCACTTGTTTTCCTTGCTTCTAGCACATAGTTGCTTGCTTTATTTTCAAACGTGTGTAAAGCTCGCTATCTCGCTGATGCGCAGCTTTCGCCCCCCCCCCCCTCCCCCTGTACCTCTGCGCTCATGCTGCCACCGCTCCACAAGAAGCCACGGCCCTTCGGTTTCTACATGCGTTTCCACCAAACCAAAAATTGAAATTCCCAACCACAAAAAGACCCTTGCTATATCGCTTTCTAAGAACCTCTTTCTGGGGCCCCTCCACCCTGCAGATCGGCCGTTGCGGACTCTGGGGAGGAGCTGCAAAAGACACCCTGTAGTAAAACAGGATGCGGTGACAGAGACGCTACGCACTTTGTTAGAGAGCGGCCAGAGGGAAACAAGAAGCAGAACCAAGGATGACGAGAGAAGACAGCAGCGCTCTTCCCACCATCGGCCCAGCAAATTCAACAAAGCGCAGCACATAGCAGCTAGCGCCTTTTTTTACGCTCGCTTTGACAGACAAGGGCATGCACCCCATTTAGGCAACCCTCAAGTTAGGGCATCCATATGTACGAGTGCTATTCTAAACGTAGCATCCCTAATTCTGCTTCTGCCCACTCAGACAAGGCTTTTCGCCCGCCAAGTGAGGTCATCGTCTACTTCAGATTCCGAGTCACTCCACTCTGTGGCGTGAGAAGGAGAAGCAGCGGCTTGCTGATGCTTCTCCGTTTTCGCCATCTCCACCGCCCCCAACGCTGATATTGCAGGTTTATATGCGTGCTCCGTGTCTGCTGGCTCCGTTTTGCACTTCTCCGCCAGCAGCTGCTGCTGCTTGAATTCTTCTGCCCTCCTCTTAATTGCACTCAGCTGCTTTTCGATCTGCTGCTGCTCCGCTTGCAGCTGTACCACCTGATTAACGAAAGCTCGGATATCCTGCCTTTCCTGCACAGCCTCCTGTCTTCCTTCCTTAATATCTGCCACCAGCTGCCGCTTCTTTTCGTTCAGCAGCTGCAGCTGCTGCTGCAGCTGTGCAGGCCCTACTTCCCCCCTCGCAGCTGCATCCTTATCGAAGTCGTCGAAAAATCCCCACGGCAGCTCACTCTCACCCTGCTGCTTCAGCTGCGGCTCCTCCTGCTGCTGACCCTTGCGCTTCCTCTTCCCGGAGACAGCAGCTGCGGCTGCTGCTGCAGCCGCTGCTGCTGCCTCACTGCGCAGCTTTGCCACCTCCTGAGCACGGCGCTCCTGCTGCTGCATTCTCTCCTCCTCCACCAGCACCTCGCTGCAGCAAATTAGCAGCAACAGCAGCAGCAGCAACAACGACTGCAAGACCCTTCGTCGTTCCCCTCCTGGCACCGATTCGCAGTAAGGAAGCATTCAGCAAGCTTCTCCGAGTTATCCCGCCTTTAAAAAGCCGGCTCAAGCACTAATTGGCTTGCCGAAGACACATGCTGGGATGCTGCAGCCTACCTATGAAGCGCCGTAGAAAAGGGGTTGTACCAGTGAGCTTCATCAGTGGCAGTGGCTAGCTCGAGACTGCTCAACACAAAGGAGCTTCCTGCAGCTGAATCTGTCTCTACTTCTCTTCCCGCTTCGGACTCGTTCGACTTATCGGAGGAAACTGCCGCCACTGCCGGTGCTGCTGCAGCTACTGCCAAGGCTTCATCTGCCTGCGGTGCATCTTCGCTCTGCTCTGCGCTTGCAGCGCCCTCCGAGTGGATGATCGGCTGTAGAAGGGTCTCATCTGGCTCCTCGATTTCATAGCTTAACACTTCTTCATTAGCATCATCGTCTTCTTCTTCTGAAGAAGAAGCTGCAGGAACCGCTGCCGCAGAAATCTGAGGACTGGTGGCGTTCAATTGCTGCTCCGCTTCGGCCGCTGCAAACTCTGCTGGATTATCGAAGAAATCTGCCGGCAACCCCTTAGGGCCCACAGGCGCATTTTTCTTCTGCTGCCCATTCTGTGACTCAGCCTCCTGCTCATCGTCGCTATACCCCTGAAGCAGCCCTTCCTTTTCTTGACTGTCCTTTTCTCCCGCTTTAGCTTCTGCCGCCGCTTTAGCTTCTGCCGCCGCTTTTGCTTCTTCTGCCGCTTTTGCTTCTGCCGCCGCTTTTGTAGCAGCAGCTGCCTCTCGTAGTTGCTGCCGCCGTTGTTTCTCTGAGCGCATCAATTCTCTGACGGACTGCATCGTTCCTGGAAGCCTTTGAAGCGCTTTGTATCGGCAGCTGCTGTACTTCCAGTGCCGGCAGACTTCTGGTGTGCGCGCCTCATGAGTGCAATCGAATGCCGACAGCTCACGAGCACACGACCCACTTGCTCCAACGGGGACTGTAGGATTCTTCCGTCGAAGCTTAGTCGCCCAAGAGCCTCCACCATGCGAGAACATCTACGGCGAACCCGCCATTTCTGCGTCTTAAAGACAGCTGAAGCAATGAAAGAACATCCCGACTGCGACCTCGAGGCTTCCCTCGAAAACGCATGCAGCCATGGCTGCCCTCCACGGGTGATGACGCGTTGAATCGACGGTAGCCAGGCACAGGCTGGACAGGATTTCCCTTACTAAAAACAAGAATATCTCTTCAAAAGGACTACGACTTCAGCACAAGGGCGTTCCGGAGGAAAAGGGAGGCAAGTGTTCAGCTGGCCTCTCTAGAAGAGGCGACCCTCTCCTTCCCCAACAGTACAGAGAGTACATCTGTCAGTTGCGCCGCGTGTACCCCTAGACAAAGAGGCCAATCGGCCTTCTTTCGACATAACTCTGTAATTTTTGTAGCGCCCTCGGTTACCGCCTCTCCCCGTGCGGCTGCGCGGCAGACAGCAGTTGCGTGGGCTGCGCTCTTCTCTTGTGGCGTAGGTGTGCCTACGAAGCCTGCAATTGAAACGAAAATGGAACTCGCTTACGCTGTAGGCACTCCCGACGGGGCGGCATGTGCACTCGTAGCTTCGTACGCCTTCCCTCCCGGTGTTGTTACCATCCAGGCGCTTGGACGAAATGCTGCCAAATCCGCTGGCCAGGTGAGTCCTCTGTTACGCGTTATTGGTTCATGCCATATCACGGCTCACGTGCTGCTCAGTCGCGCATGCCGGAGATATCGAAGTTCTGCTCATGATTTACAACCCTTCCCCGAGCTTTTTGTCGGCAACCTGGGTACACAGGTACCGCGGCTGCTTACACCGGACGGCAAATTCGACAATCCGCTGACCATTATCCAGTACTTGTGTACTAAATCCGATTTCCGTGAGATCCTTCTGGGCCCAGAGAAGAGCCCTGCTGACCAAGTACGTCCCCTTTTCCCTTCACGAATGAAAAGCACTACAGCATTCACGGATTCGCATTTCGAGAAACCAGTCTCCTGATTTCGGTTTCGGTGCTTTGCGCAGGCAAGGATCAACCAGTGGCTTTCATTTTTTGCGTCCAAAGGCTTTCACGTTTCGAGTGACAGCGACTTGAACGAACTCAACTCCGCTCTTCAGTTCAATACCTTCCTTTGCGGAAATACCCTCACTGCCGCAGACCTCCTAGGCATGGCATCCGTCTCGGAAACCATTGTAAGCAATTGCATGCAGATTTAATACTTTTCGCTGCAGATTTGGCTGCGCATAGCCCAGTACGCCGTCTGTTCCATGAACCGCCTTTTACATGCGAAAACCAAGCATGCACCTGGCCGCATGTTTCGTTGTTCATGCCATGCAGTGCGCGTGGCTTCCTACCGCGAGCTGCAGAGTATACATGTCATGACAGATGCTGGTTCAGTGTGACTGAACAGTTCTTGTCTCCTGCGTAGCCGTCGGATCGTATCGCGGCACTCTGCTTTCCTTTTTGATTTTCTCAGAGGAAAGCGTCCGCCAAGGAATGTCAGGCCCTGAAGAACGTCATGCGATGGTTCGATCACATGCAAAACCTCCCAGGTGCACAAGCACTTTGATACACGTGCTCATGCCACCGTTTTACTTGGCAAGCTTCATGCTTTCTCTACTATGTTATGATGAGAGTACATTTCATCAGCGACGGCACAGATAGTCGACCTCCTTGGGGAAATTTACGCCGGTGGTATTATTCCTTTTCATTTTTCACGTCGTGGTCCTCTCAGGTCTGTGATTTCACGTTGCTGTTCGTGCACAAAAAGTGCATCCCACGCGTTTTTTCTTCGAAATCACGCTGAGCTGCTTTACCCTGGTTGCTGACTGTCAAGGTGCTGGCGCTTCGCTTTCAGGCATAAAGGAGCAGCGCCTGCAAGATTTCCAGGCAATTGATTTGCCGAAAGTGAGTTTAGTCTCTCAGTGATCGCCACTCTCGGCTATTTAGTAGTGTGTTCTGCTTCCGTCCTGCCGTGCCGAGCGACAGTAGTCCGTCGGTGCCGCTAGTGCAGGTGAACGCCCTCAGCGTGAAATGCGCGCGTTTCAGCGCTACTTCATTGATTCCTAAGGGGCTTCGAAACTGAGTGTCATCCGTGCGGCTGTATGCTGACAGACAACCACGAGCGATATCATGCAGGCAGCTGAAGAAGTGCGAAGGAGTCACAAGGACAGCTCCCTCGGAAGGCAGCAGCGGAAACAGCACCAAGAGGGGAAACTCGCACCAGAAAAACGAGCAGACGCAGTGGAGAAGCCTGCGGCGGCAGGACTGGGCAAGCGGGAAAAGTGCAAGACTCCGCAGGCACCTAAGGCTGAGGAGAGGCCAATAGATGACCCCATGAGACTCGACTTGAGAGTAGGGCTTGTCAAGAAGGTTTGGAGGCATCCAGAGGCAGACAAGTTAGTCGCTCGCAGTGCTGTACCAAGTGTCAAGGGCTTCCCTACCGGAAAGTTTCATGTGCAACACAGAGCTGAATCAGATTTTGCTCTTGTTACGCGCGCTTCCCACATGCTGTGTGCACATTCGTCAGTGTGTGGCTTTCAAGTCGCAGTTTGCTCCGAGTATTTTCTTGTGCCAAGGCGCGCGTTCAGTAGAATTCCCACCTGCATTTGCTCACTCGGCTGGGAATCATTGCCTTTGCTACTTTTTGATGGCTCTAATCTTGAGGGATTGTGGTTTGGCAGGTTGTACTGTGAGGAGATAGACTTTGGGCCTTTAGGCGTTCGCCAGATCGCGTCTGGTCTTGCCCCATTTATTCCCCAGGAGAAATTCGAGGGGCAGAAAGTGGTGGTGCTTTTTAATCTCAAGGCGAAAGCTCTGCGTGGATTCAGCTCTCATGGAATGGTTATGTGCGCTAACAACGAGGACAAGAGTGCTGTGGAGCTGCTGCAACCTCCAGAGGACGCTCCTGTGGGGCTTCCCTGCAATTTTTGAACGCTTGCTTGCGAATAAATCATGGACACCCAGTAGCTCGCGCATAGACAAAGCCTCCCGCTGCTCCATGCCATGGCGGGTGCACAATACAAGTTTACGTAGCCGGCTGCCTAGGAGGCTTCGTGGGCGATGTGGTTTAGACCTTTCCCGTCATGCCTCTTTTTCTCGCATTTGGTTGTTCTTTTGCAGCTTGGAGAACGTGTCACTGTCCAGGGGATGCTCGGGGAGCCTGACGAAGTCTTGAGCGCAAAGAAAGGAAAGGACCCGCTAGTCGCTGTATCTCCAGTAAGAAAACGTCCTCGTGACTATGCCTTGAGGCGCAATGTGCATGCACCTACATTCGGTATATGCACAGCGTGTGTGCTACGATTTTGGTACTCGAAAGCGCTGTGCAGTTGTGCACTGGGCATGAGTCATGCCCCATCTGTCGCTAAACTTTGTGGTCTTCCACGTTTACGACTAAAACGCATTTTTCGCGGAAGTTCTGTTTATTTTGTTGGCTTGGTGTTTACAGTTCCTAAAGACGAAGGACGACTGTGTTGCGTATTTCAAGGTGCGGCGCGGCAGTAGCTCCCCTCATACACGTTTTCATGTGTGCTGTCTGGGGCATCGTGGAGTCCAGAATTGTGTATCTCGTGAATATTCCTGGATGTACTTTTATTCAGGAAACGCGTGCAAGCGTAGGCTGCTGGTAGTCGGTGCAGGGTTCATGCCTACTAGCATACGTGTATACGAAGAGTGTACTGATCTGTATAAAGGCCCTTGTTTTCTAGCGTATGTTACGCCATTTTCAGGATATCGCTCTCGTCACACCGCAGGGCCCTGTACGTTGCAACAGCATAAAGGGAGGCTTCATATCCTAGGCGGTTGTATTTTACCGCTGCTGGATCACGTATCCATGTGAACTTGCTTGAAGCGATCTGGCCCTCTAACGAGATGCTGTTGCGTATAGCATGTCTAAGTCAATGCCTCATTTCAGGGTGCCAAGCTAACTTGATTATTCAACAACAATGCTGTAGCAAAGTTAATGTGCACTCCTGAGTAACGCCTATGTAAGTCGTGCCATATGGGCGTTTCGCTACTGCTGCCTTTTAAAGCTCATCAGTAGAAATTCCCCAAGAATTTATTTGTAGCGAAAATGCGAGGTTTCTTGAAAGTGCGTTCTTTTCTAGAAGAATGGCGCGTTTGTTTGGACATGGCGCCGGCTCGATGCAAAAACAAGGAGGCCGAAACTGCTATTGAATCCCGGAGAGAGGCACAGTGCTCTATATGCAAAAGATTTCATCAGTCACATTGTTGACAATATTCAGTCTTTGCATCCTAGTTTTAAGCAGGAATCCCCATTTCAGCAAGTAAATCGAACAATTCTTACACTGCTGGCGATGTGTATTCACACCTGGAAGCCGCACCACGTATAACGTGTTCCAGGCATCGCGAAACCCTGCATTCTTCCACTAATAAGTGTGGACACGAGTTCTGAAAGTATAAATACATTCTTTACCTCTGCTTTTACCCTGTTCTTCCTCCCAAACTCATAATTCACCTCTCCTAAGATCCGCGAATGTGGTTGTTCAGGAAGCAGCAGAAATTCTGCGCACACTCAGGCTATCGAACTGCAGAAAAATAGATCTGTAGTCTACATTCGCTGCATATCCCCCAAGTTTCCCCAGTTGGCCCTTTAGTTTTCGTTTACCTGGCAAAAAAGTAGGAATGACATACTATGCCCTATTACCTTAGTAAAGGTCTTACCTTGGTTCATGCTCGCAGTGTTGGCAACCAGCAAAGTGTTGGACGAGTATCTGAAGCTAGCAGGGCAATGCAAGCATGCAGGGAACGCGGAAGAGTCACATCCCATCGAGTGGTACACGGTGGCGAACTGCATGATAGCTTGGCACTGCCTTTAGCCCATTCGTTTTCTCAGGTGTCTCGATATACTGGAAACAGCGAAGGAGCTGGCAGACAAGGCACTGCAACACGGAGCAGGAACAGTGGGAGTGAAAGACAGCAACGTTGTGCGACATGCGGATCTACCTATACCAGGTCGATCAATAAACTCGCTATTCAAGAAAGGAAGGAGAACGGACTCCCCGAAGAAGCCTCGAAAGAACTATCTATCGAATCAAGCGCAGCATCATGGGTCAAAAAATGAAAACTTGCTTCGAACTTCAGTTGAATATCAGCAAATCGAAGTGCTGACCTCGAAGTATGCCCTACAGGCAAAAAACAAGCTTCTCAAAATCATGAATTCTCCCAGCGCTTCTCTGGAAGACCGGCGTTCAGGCCTCTCAATGCGTCATAATAAATGTGCCGACAGATTGCAAATCGTCCTTTGTGGCTTGAAGAGAGAAATAAGACTCACTAGACCATTATTGGCTCATATCACACACGCTGAGGAAGTGGGCTTCGGCATTTGCAGTTCCTTGCAAAACGATCCCTCCTTGAAAAAGTTCTTCCAGCAGCCCCGGAATTTCAGTCAGCATTGTGAAAAACCAGTATCGGAATTTGAGCATTGAAATGTAATTTAAGCGCGTATTTCGGTAATAGAATAGGGAGAGATATCGGGCAATGCTACATTATTTTACGCACTTCGTACTGCGCGTGCTTCATATCATTAGGATTTACTAAAGCTTTGGCCATCGAAATCTCCTTCTCGCATATTTCATTTATTGCAGAGTGTGGCTATAGCCCGACAGAATGCGCCTTTAATGCTGTGTGAGGGTGCGTTACACGCCACGTACAACTAGTCGTGATTTACCGGACTGCTTAGAAAGTGCAATTGAACGCATGCCAGCTATCCCTCTCCTTTCATGGCGAACGTCTGAGAGGCGCGAGCAGTAGAAGGAGAGAAGCCTCTCGGAAACCACTGAAGGAACTTTCCACTAAGCGTCTTTTGGGACTGGAATAGGGTATCCATTCGAAAGAATTTGAGGCAGCGGTACACCGAGCAATTTTGAGTTTCTGCGAAGTCATCCACCTGCTGTGACCAAGTAGACCCTTCAACTGTTTCACATTCTCTTGCAGATGTAGAAGGGCAGCATTCACTGGTCACACGCCGGACTCTTAGTTCGCCTCGTAAACAATGATGATGCTCAGCAATCTTATCAAGGCTCTCCTATTAGCCTTGCAACCTCTACGGTCCATAAAACAAGAGGAACTTGACAGGTGTACTCTACCACATAGATACCTTACGGCAAGGCGACTGAAAAGGCATTTAACCTTTTATGCACTCAGATACCTGCATGCAGTCTCACAGGACAGTGTATCACACAGTCGTGGAGCACGCACTGTTCTAGTGAGAACCAGCCCGTATCTCCTACAGATCGTATATGGAAAGTGTATGGAAATACTTTCGCTATTTAGGTGGATGTGAGTTCATTAGACTGCTGCAGTGCCATCTGCAAAAGTGCAGCTTGGACTCACTGCTCCGTTGAGGTCAGAAAAGATTAACATGATAATTGTGGTTAGAAAGACTGGTGATCCCTTTCACTCTCCCGCGTTTACGTTTCCTGCCATATGTTCAAGTCGCACACTCAAAAAACTAATTTGCAGTCATGTTGCTGTACAGCATAACTGGACCGTGCGACTTCATCTTTCACCAGAAAAAAACCTGGGTAATATACCCATACCAATGAGAAGCCAGTCTGTGCATATTCAAAGCTTGAGCATTAGCCAGTTCATACGAAGAAACTAAAAGGTCACCCCGACGCAGCAGGAGAGCTAGCAAATCTAGGACTCGCTCTGTTAAAAACGTCCGTAGAATCAATGCCAGCCAACGCAGAAAAAAAGAATCGAACACACAGGCCAACTTCGTGTCATTTTGGGATCGTAGCTCCCAAATCGAGTCAAATTATTGCTCATTTTAATGGCTAGATGTACACCTGTTTCTATCACAAGCCTTCTGTCTTTAGGACCTTCCTGTTAAGGCCGCCCAAACAGCCCCTATAGTTGCATGCTACAGAGTAGAAGTAAAACTTTTCCCACATCACATTTTTTTCGAGGGACTCAGAAATAAATCCTTAACAGTCCCTTTTATCACTTTGTTCCTTTCTCTTGCGCTTATTCTCTCTTCACGTCATTCTGCATCTGCCCTGCTTCGTGCAAGGCGCGCTGAAAATGGCATTTGTTCCGATATGCCTGCCCGTCTGACCTCTCAACTTTCTTCCTCTGCCCATAGAGGTGTCTGCCTCTCACATGGCCTTTAAATATGCCTTTCCCTGCTGCTAAGCTCTTCAGCGTCGCCTTGCGACAGCTGTCCAAACCCATGGCTGCTTATCTGCAGAACTCAGCTCAGGGTAATCAGTACTTCAAGACCGCATGCGTCACGATGGCGACACATTACCACATGCTGGAGCAGCGGATCATAAATCGGTTCTACGACAAAGACGAGAAAAATGTGTTTATTCCAAGATTGAATGAAGACAAGGCGGTCAAACTCGGAGCGACCATCATCGGCGAGGCTTTTATTTTTGGAGTGGCAGGTAAGAATGCGGCGAACTGCACAAAATCGAACCAGAAATATCGCATGGGGAAGAGTTTGGATCCAGCGAAAAGCAAAGGAGACGGCTAGCAAACCTAAAAGGGGAAACTACCGACAGACAAGCAGGTGTCGGTAGCTTTCAATTCCTATGGCGTTCTGACTCCGTGTCCGCTTTTGAGGTCAATAACTTTAGGATGGTGAAATGCTTGGAGTATAGTACAATAGTTGTACTTCCAATCACTACCAAGGGGCGCGCCACTATACAATGGTATCCGACATGCCCCCCCTTGCCATCGCATTATTTTTCTGTCCAGCGTCTGCACTCGTGATGGAATATCGGCGGAGTACGCTGAAAGAAGCCGCGAAGGAGAAGCAAATGCAGGAGAGGCTCATGATGCTAGAGGTCAGAGAACGGGGTGATGTTGCGGGTGCAAATGCGCCAGCGATAGGCACTTTCCGTGTACACTTGAAGCATGTCATGCGCCACCGCAGCTGCATTTAAAGCCCAGCAATGCAGCAGCCTTACTGATTTAAGATGGGGGTTTCACTGTGCACTTCAGTCAGAGAAGCTGATATGACAGTGGTCCCATTAGGTGGGTGTACGAAAGTATTCCAGTTTTTTTTTCTGATATGAAGAAGTAAGCCGCTACAGTAGCTGTGCAGCCAATTTTTCTCTTCTCCAATTTTTTGTCAGGCCCAAATACTGCAGCTCCAGAGCGAAAACGACCGAGTTCTGAAACGGATTTTCCCAGACGAGCAGCACATCAGGTCGTCCATCGACGTAAATTACGAGTCAGAAGGTAAACGGTGCACTAGTAAAGAGCAAATAGCAGATTCTTACACTTGCTCTCTCTTAGGGTATCCGGTAGGATTCTTTTGTTTCCGGCGTTCCTGTATTAACCTATGCATTGCGCCCAGCAGAAACACTTAGGCCCTGGCCGTGGTTTATGTCATTATTGTTGCGTCTGATGGTCTGTGTACGTAATCAACTTGCTAAACGTTGCGTGTGGTAACGTAGCGACTATCCTACACCTCGTGCTCAATCCTCTGCGACTCTGAATGTTGCAGGATGGGTCAGCTGGCTCACGTCCTATGTTCGGCAGCTCTCGCAGTCAGGAGAGGAACGCAAATAGCACTAGCTCCAACTGCGTATGGGACGAAGTGTTCCTGCTTATATGCTTCTTTCTAAACTTTAGCTGCCTATGCGGGGGTACACGTGGAAGCAAACACTGCCGCACCTCTTACGGTTATAGGTGATATATATGGAAAGTGTTTCCGAAAATCCGAACGCATCGCCAATCATTTTCGTCAATTCTTCCTTCCAGCTCCATTTCATACACCACAATATGACGGAGCAACAAGCGTGGCTCCGGCTTGTCGAGTGTACGTACGGCTTAGTTGCGTGCATGCGAGCCTTTGGGAGGTGCACATTCCACACCCCACCAATGTACCTAACATATTGCTGAACCCACGTTAGCACAACTGACGCGAAACTGGGAAAGAGAGGCGATGGAGGCAGTGTCTTAGGTCCACAAGGTAAGACGGAGTGGTGCAGGAGCAGCCGCTCGCAGTCTCGAATTAGCACTGCCCATCTCTAGCCGTGCATAAGATACGTGGAGAAGACGCCGACAGAAAAGGCCATGGCGAAAGCCGAGGCACAAGCTAGCGGTGTGTTGGTATGGGATTTCACCCAAAGGTGAGAACCAACACTGAACGGTGGAACCTCGGTGAACTTGGAACCTGACAGCAACTTCCAACCCGTCAGCTTTGGAATGTACATGACTGGCTTGCATCCTGTACCGAAATACATTTCAAAAAAGGAGCAATACGAGCATTTTTGCGCAAGGAAAACCAAGAAGCGATAATGCGCACAGAGAGTCACCCACTAACAAGGACGGGAAAGGCCACTTTGCACTCAAGGTCTTGTCAGATACTCTATTGTGCATCCTAGAGCTCTGACGCATGCCCATATTCTTTGCCGAGATAGGAAAGTATGTGGAGTAGGGGGCACCCAGCGAGCCGACACGGAAAATGCCATTCGCAGGGTACACTTGGCGCAGTTCTGGATAGGTTATCCACTATTTGCTTACCATTTGCCGTTTTGTTCTTCATATCGCACCACGGCTGTGTCCTGCACTTGCCACAGCTGCACCACCAGTAAACCTGAAGCATAAACAAATCTACGCCGAAGAGCACAGCTTGGCATCGTTCATGCCTGCCTAACCAGAGCGTCCCCATCCATAAAATCAAGGAGTCATCATACCACCGCCCGGACGCACACTTACACCCGTGGTAGAACCACCAAAAGTATTTCGTTGGCTGCACATAAGTTGAACAAAGGCCGCAATAGGCGCTGCTCTAAAATTGCGGAGAGGTGGTCATGACCAACTGGGCATGGAATTGCAGTTGCCACCCCCCCCACTGCTGCCGCTCCATTGACTGCTCGAGGCACACGAATGCCGCATTGAACGGCAGGAGGCGCGATGCAGAGGGTGCGCCTATACGCATAAAAGGGGGAACAAGGAGGGTTTCACGAGGGAGCACGGGATCAACGTTTCCCTCCTTACCTTCCCCTGCTCACAGTAGACCCTGTAAGGGGCGAGCCCAGCTGGCTGCGGCACTCTGTCGTGAGACCACCAGTCTGTCCATACCATTGTGCACTAAAGATAGGGCGAATGACGACAGAAATGCCCCTGGCGGAGAGGCGTTCCGCGATTCCTCGAATGGGAGAGGTCCTATGGCTCTTAACGCCACAAATGGACTGATCTGGATAGGATTCAAATAACAAGAAATAGGATGCGACGAACACGGGCGAGTACATCCCTTCGCTGCATCGTTTTTCCGTCAGCCGCTGTGGATGTGCATGCGCGAGCAGGATTGCCCGTCAGGCAACACGCGCATGTTCGGGGCTTCTCTGTGCACAACTCTCATAAGAAACGCTAAAAAAGATATCCTTCGTTTGTCTCCGATTGTCGTTGCGTCTTCGACAACAAGTTTGCACACCTGCCCTCAAAGCGCCCAACAACAGAGGGTGTGCGTTCGCTCCCCTGCCATCCAGTGCCTGATCCAGTTCACCGGTTCCTTTGACCTCTGATAGCGAAAGAGCGTTTTTCTACGCGGCTGTCACCCCTTGTACGTTGTACCTGACGTGTATTTTGCCATCTCAGAGGTTGCCAAGTAATCAGGAGGCCACGTGCTGCTGTTTCCTGCCCGCGGCAAAAACTCCTGGTGCCGATAGAATGGGCTGATGCCTCCCCTTCCATCAGCGATCTTCCCAAGGGTGGGCTACTTGGGAGGGCTTTTCGGCTAGGGGTGCTGCTATATCAGAAGCACTCCTAAGCTGTATTAGGCGGTTTGAAATTAAGCTTCTGTATACAGCTTCCGCGTGCCTTGTAGTACCCTGTCTTGTCCCTAGTCCGTCATCCGTGCAAGATCGTTTTCGCCAGCAAGCCTGAGTGCGCAAGCTTTCATCCGCTTCGCTAGACCAAAGCGCCTCACTAGTGCGATGGAACCCTTGGAGTATCAGCAGCCTCATGTCGCTGCACCTATGAACCAGCCCGTTTCCGAAGGATTCATACCACTTCCTTCTGGTGCTGGTATTGGAACTGCTCCACATAGCAGACCGCTTGTCGTTGGAGGTCCAGTGCCTAGCCATGGGCAGGGGTCTCTGGCCGTACAAGACGCGAGCTCATGGCACAGAGAGGAGGGGATCAAGGTGTCTAAAAGGCTGCCAGTGTATCAGGAAATGCTCAAACTCCATGAAAAACTCGAGTCAGACGTCTTGCTTTTGGAAAACAAGATATATGAGATGGAAGGAAATTATTTGGCTGCTACTGCTGATGTCGGAAACATGATTAAAGGATGGGAAGGTTACATCTGTACGCCACTGAGTTTGCTACACCGTGACACTCACAACCAGAATCTGCGCGAAAACAGACCCTAGGGGTGCTTCGCTGGGGAATAAGCGATAGGGGTTTTCGCTACTGGTTGCCGATATTGTGTTTTCATGGATAATCCCGCATAGGGCTTGTTGTGGTGCATTGACCTACAGCGTCCGCCACTAAGACAAGGCGTCCAGCTGCCAAAGCAGCAGGTAGTGCATCTAGCAACCAGGAGCGGCTGTTTTCTCTCACTAGCACTACAAGTCGTGCGTCTCGCGAGCTCAGCACATGGGGTAAGCCCTTTACTCAACGCACTTGTTCACATTGTTCGAGTATCCAGCCTGGGCTGCTGTACAAGAAACTTTTTGCACAGTCGGCATGAGTACGTGATTGGGTTTCCCGCGTGTCCTTCTGGTTTACAGCTAGCGTGGAAGACTCAGAGAGACAGCTCATGGGATCGTCGGGAGGAAAAGGATGGAACAACGGCGCGGCGTCGCAGGTTTCCAACAGTCGGAATTCCGCCTGCAGTACAAATGTGAAGTGTGCAAAAAAGCCGCCCTCTCGTACAGGTAGCTCCTCCAATGCATCCAAGGGCATTTCAGGGGGCCGTCATTCCTCTGGAACTGGTGGCGGATCTACATCTGCCGTAAGCCAGAAGGCGTGCGGGGGAGCAGTTACCGGCGATGCACCAATAGGCAGTGCTTGCCACGGTCGCATGTGAATGGGGCCTTCTCCAGAACTTTCGCAGCTCCTAGACAAGAGGAGGCACAGCAACGTTAGTGTTCCTGTGTAACTGCGAAATTCCGGCGGAGCTGCCTTTTAGGCTGAGAGAGCATCTGCACAGTACCACAATCGCTGACGGGGCAAACCCCTGCATGTTTTCATTGCTATAATAAAGATATATCTTAGTCAGAACACTTCTCAGAGAGGATATTTATGTTATATTACAGGCACAAATGCATCGAACATTTAGTAGAAAGATTTTTGCAACTGTATGTAGGATGGTTGATACAAAAGCGATCAGACCCAAATGACTATATCTGTGGAGAAAAAATATCACGAAATTTACACTATGAAATAGAACTAAGTTCAATGTATCTAGTAAAATAACAGAAAAGGCTTCCAAGTGTATTCTATGTTTTCCCCCTTCACTTACCACGTAGCACGGGTGTACGGTGTACTTTCATTTGATCTGAATGAGCATAGGACAGCTGCGATGCAATCGTTCACATTGTAACTGGCAGCGCTCACCATGCACTTGTTACTCGCAATTTTAGCGTTTTTGCGGCTAATTGTTGCTGAAGAGGATGGCCTGGTTATGCCGGTGACGTCATGCTTATCAGTGGGACCGCGTTATGAGCAGTTCACTTCGGATGTGTGCGAGGTAAACACTAGACGAAAAATGAGGTCTTTTACAAATTTTGTATCTTTCTGAAGAGCCTGGGACTCAGCCGATGCGCGATTCGCACAGGCGTGCAATTCGAGTACAGGCCAGTATGTCGAGCATGAGAATCATGGGCATTCTAATATTGGATAATGAAGCTTTCTTACATCTAACAGGGAATTACTGTTGGAGCGCCAGATCCACATGCATGTTTCCATTCACTGGCATTACTGCAAGCAGCATTTACGTGTACGCAAGTGCCATATATTCATCCAATCGATGATGAACTCAACCGAGCCCTTCCAACAGGTGATTTGAGGCACCCGAAAAAATTCGTTTTCCTCGACACAAACGCCAAAATGGCATCCATCAACGTCTGCCCTGATATGTGTTGGCGGCTATGGAGAGGTTAGCGATTTTTCTCTCCAGCATGCCTATTCTTATAGCAGAGCCCATGACCTGCATACTTTACAGAGTGCTCTTCCCATGCGACCTCCGGTGAGATTTTACGCCACCGTCTTTCGAGGAGTGAATACTCATGGGCAGCAAACACACCAAACAGGGCATGCCTCAATTCTGGAGGATCAAGATCCAGAGAGGTAGATGCCGCAACCCCCTCCACATGCACCGGCAGCTGGGTGTACAACTCTGAACTCACTCAGGTTCTGTAGCACTGCTGCAGCTACTCCTCTAGGAGTTCAAGTTCGCATGCTGCGGGACAAAAACCGTTGCTTGGGGGTCGATGACGTCTATCCCCAAGAACCGATCAGCTGGAAGGCTGCAGTAATGGCACATCTGTTCCACGGCAACAAATCAGACTCGAGCACGCAAATGCGCAGTCTAAACTTTTACTGGTTACCTTTGTCGTGGACGACAACGTCGATAAGTAGGGATAACAGATGATTTTTCAGTGCTGATCAGCACTCAATGTGCCAACTTGCCGTGCAGTTTTCAGCCTCGTGGCAGTCGCTCTTTGGTTTATCCGGAGGCACACTGCGCTAATCGGTAAGTACTCTTCTTGCTGAGCCGTACAGGCCCACTCTTGTTTGGCAGTCTAAGCCAATGAAAATTAATTTCTTAGACTCATCATTACGGTCCCTCTGTTCGCAAGTGATGCGGAGCCGTTCCGAGGTAAGTCTAGCAGGAGGCTGTCTTTGTAGTCACCTCGCTACAAAACGAACAACTGTAACTCAGGAGGCGGAGTTCGACCTCGAACTAGAGGCTCTGACGCAAATCTCTTCATGACACTCTAAAATCATGGTGAAACCAGTTATAGTCAGAAACGGTCCTGGGCACCCGTGGCTATAGAATAAGCCGAAGGACACCCGTGTGGAGGCATGAGTTTTTCTTTAGAAAAGTGGAAGTAAAATCAGTTTTGTTAGAGGGTCTGGAATATTGAACGGCTTTACCGTCAATTAATGCACCAGCCTCTAGAGTGGCAAACAATAGCAAATGCCCAGTTCAGAATCGTTCCATAAAAGACAATAACACGTGTGATTCGTCCACCAAAGTGCGTAGAGCTGCTCTGCGGTGATGTGGCTCTTCCACCCCTGCCTCCCAGGTAGCGCGCCTCAGAGTACTCGCATATTTTTCAGTCCTTCTGCTGCCGGCCTAAATTCCGATGCCTCTACATGGCGGCCAGAAGCAAAAAAGACCAAGCCGTAAGATTCTGGTACAAGTACGCAGTCGTCACAGAGCTCCTCGGGTGCAGCGCGACGAGAATCGAAACAGTGAACCAATGCACCGCGCACTGGAGTGCTCCATGGCCCTTGCCACAGACAAAACACAACGGTAACCCTGAGAAGCGTCGCTGGCGAAATTCCCTGGCTCAGACTGGTACGTTTACTGCTAAACTGGTATGCTCGCACACACCACGACAAGACAACTCCCTTCCACGAGAATATAGAGACGCTCGGAAGCGACCGCCCTTTCAAACTACTCTCTCTCCCTATAGTAGATGGACTGTAAAATAACTGAAGCAACAAATATATTCCAATTTCACGCTGGGCAATTCCCTCATAGCAGATCACTCGCTGCCGACGAATTCGGCACTAGCCAGTTCGCTCATCTGCTCCCCAAAGGCACACTGCTGTTGAGCACTGGAAATCCCGCTGCAGGAACCTTCGGACCTCGCGCATGCTTGCTGCTGCGACACAGCTGGTTTCTGGAGCATATACAGTCGCAGCCGCTCGTGGATATCCGGATGCTGCAACGAAGCTGCAATACGCCCTTTGCCAAGGAGGAGTGCCTCCGGATCAATGCTTGCACAAGAGCTTGTACAGTTGTTGGACACACGAATCGTTCGCGCTTTCGCGCTTCCGTAGCGGCGGGCGAAGGGGCCGAGGAGCTCGGCAATTTCCAGCTCTCCGTTTCCCAGTCGCATCGCCAGCTGGCAAATATCGTACGTTGCACCTGGGGATATCACAGAGTCACCGCGGTACTCTGGATGCGCTGACAGACAGGCGCGAAGGAAGGCTGCGTCGGTTGGGAGCTCGCCGGAAGTCCGAAGGTACGTCAAATTGTACATCTCCATGAACGCATTGAGAGCTTCCGCTGAGCAGTGCCCCTTCCTTACTTTCCCCTCGAACATCTGCTTACACAACCTCAAAAGAGCAGGACCAAACACTGCATCGGAGACGTTTGTATCCGCTGGACCCGCTTCCCCGAATAGAATGCTGTGCAAAGAAAACTCGGCATAGGACAAATCGTTCGCGTTCGCCCTGATGTCACGACGGAACCAGAAGCGCTGGTTCAAAATTGAATTCAACTTGGCTGCACGCTGCATGTTGATGTCGTTCAGGGAAATCGGAATGTACAGTTCAACTTGTTCTTCGAGTATCAGCTGCACAATTCCAACATCTCACACATGCAGCTATCGAACTAAGGGCTAAACGTTCGCGCATTGAAGCCGTGATGCCGTGGACTGCGAGGTACGTACACTTGACCCTTGCATCGACCAAGCATATGTATTTATTTGGTGCGCTAACTAATCACACAAATACGGGTTCTCTGCATAGGGCAGATTAGAACGGCTCAACTGCAACAGCATACTCTCCGTATGCCATCGCTGCTCGCCGAATCGCTAGGGCTTTGATATGTGCATCAAACAGTACCTGAACAACTGCAGCGATTAAACTAATGCAAGCTGCATTTTCAAAGTCTGTCAGCTGGATTTCTGGTGTTCTCAGTTCCACGCGCCATCCAATGAGTGATGTGTCACCGAGATCTGACGAAGTCGGCCTCATGAACTGCGGCGGGGGCTTGAACCTGACTGCATTCCAGTTCGTGCTTTGCAGGTTCTCAAAATCCTCGGCTGTTTCATAAACTATTCCATCATCCATTCCCCAGTCCGTGTCGCCCTCCCTGATAATGTCGCCTTCAGTTTGCCCTTCTTTCATGACGCGGTCCTTGAATATTACAAGCGGATCATGAACAAAGAGTAACGCCACGTGCCTGGCTAGGAGCGAGTCAACACCCGAACGAACAAGCGCATCGTACGCGCGCTCATTCACCGTCAGCTCCAGATCGTTCAGCTTCCCCAGCCGCTGCACACATTGCCGAATTACAGCATCCCTTCGCTTCCACACACGCAGAGACACTTAAAAGCTAAGCTGAAAACAGCTGGCACTGATCCAGCTGCCAGATTGTGGCGTTTTGCAAGGGGGCGAATTCAATGCCACCTGTAATGTTGTGTGCAAGCTTACGTCGAAAAGATGTGGCTTGTCGCTAATGTAAAGCGAGTTCGCGGAATACCGTGACTTGATGATGCTCTTCATTTCATCAGCCCGTCGACTGTCCACTGCCATGCTAATAGAATCCCATCGGGTGTCCGTTGCTGCTACGCAGCCACGAAGAAAAGGCGTCGCTGCCGTCAACTGAAACATTCAGAACGCCAAGAAAAACGTGTCGCACTGAGCCCACACACGTGAGCAAGTAGGAGGAACCGAGTTGCATTGGAAATGCCATGAGACGCAAACGGGGATATGTATTCGGCCGGAGCAGCCGTTCGACGCAATATGGATGAGACCTACAGAAAGAACGAGCGGCGCCACGACGATCAGCTGGTCATAGAGATAGCGTGCATCGGAGATCGTTTTGCATGAAAACGTCGCCTGGACGCAGTTCATACCCATGCCAAAGCACATGGCGTCCATATATATGTACAAGTTCCCCTGATTGATGAGTGCCTGATCTTCATGCATCTTGGCTAGTCCTGACTGCGAGTCTCTCCCCTCTTCGTCATGGTACAAAATGCACTGCCTGCCTCCAAGCGCCGCGTCAAACAGAGGCTGATTGGGCACCTTCCGCGAGGTGTCTACGCAGACACCGCGGTCCATATACAAAGGAACAAGAATCTGTACTTTGCAGCCTCTTCGCCTGGCAGGAACGCAGGGAGCGCACAGCATGCGAAGCGTTGTAGCGTGCGAATACAATTTGCACATGCAAACGGCGCTCAACGCTCCCAGTACAGCCCCGATAGGCGCATTCGTGTGCATCGAATTGGCCTCGCTTTACGCTTAGCAATACATGCATATACATAGATATGCATGTATACATCTCGACATCAACCCTGTTGCGGCTGACGGTCGTGTTCGGCTTGCGTCGATGTACCTCCGGATATTGGCGGTAAGCGTGCCGAAGCGGGGGTGCGGATTAATGACTTCATCCCCGAGAAAGATGCTCTGACTGAGAGAATGCAGAGGGTCGGCAGGCGACGCTGGGTAGGCGAAATTTCCCGGGGAAGGGTCGTTGCCACCGGAGTTTTCGCGTGGCTGGACGTCAACTCCCAGGAGGGGGAAAGAAGTCATGAAGAGCGGCGAGGTGTGCGGCTCCAGACAAGACTGCAGAAAGCACGAGATTCACAACCGACTGGTATTCCCCCGTGCAAAAAATTTCATGAAGAAAACGTACGGAGAGAGCCTCCTGGCTGCGATGGACCGTGCACAGCCGCACCTACGCCTGTTTTTTCAGAAAAGTATATGATCACGCAGATTCGGAAGAGCAGCCTGCCCCCCCTGCCGATACGCAGGAGCATCGTACCAAAAGTTTCCTTCTGCGACTGCGGATGGACTGTTCTACAAGCAGCCAGCTTTCGGGTTGCAAGTTGAGTGCCGCGCCAGGCAATGCCTCGATCATGTAGGATGCGTATTCAGGGTGCCACAAAGAGCGCTCGTGAGATGATGTGATGTTTTCCCCCTCCTGATGCTGTTGGGGAGTGGCAGCAGCCTCGCTCGCCTTCATCTTAAGGATGGACGCTGCAAAAGCAACGGCGGAAAGCACGACAGAGGGACGCTATTATGGCTCGGTAATGTGGAGCTGGGAAGCTTGCATGTATGCGCACTAGCGAGAGACGCCGTTTCCACGGGAATAATTCAAAAAGCCAAGTCGTTCTCTGTTGCAGATACACGTCATGCAGGTGGAAAGATGCAATGAAGGGAAGAAAGAGGAGAGGAGAGGAGAGGAGAGGGGAGGCAGGGGGTGTCGAGTCTCACGCCCAGCGTCAAGTGCGAGCCGTATCTGCCTGGTGGAAGGGTCGACGCGAACAAGGAAAACTTCTGAAAACACGAGAGGATGCAAAAGGAGGACTGTCGTGTGCGCTTGAGCGCCCTTATAAGGCTATTCGTCCTTGCCCATTCGAGTCAAAAGTATCTTCCCAGCAGCAATAAGGCTTCTGTTCAACAAAACGTAGGGAAGCAAGGCTTTAAGCTACTCCCTTCCTCCATGCGGCGCTGCCTGCCCTCCTGTGGCATCCTCCGCGTCTTACCGATCTCGTCTCCCCACTTGAGAGGCCCTTCATAGTCTTTAAACTGTTTAAGCAGCTGCAGAAACTGCCGAATGCCTCTGCGCTTGACAGCAGCCTGATACAAAAGGGAGCTGTGCCAGTCCAGCGGCTCTCCTACTCCCAAGAATCCCATTATGGCAGTGTATGAACAAACTCCCCGACGCGTTCGAGCCGCCAGCCGGCTAGCAGCTGCTGTGCGAGCTAGCTGATGGTGCCACAAGGGCCGTTATACAGCTGTATATCAGAAAGTATGGAGCCTGTGGAATCAGCTGTGCAAGGAGGGGTCGAACTGCACAGCAGGAGGCAAGTACTAGTGCTACACAGAACGGAGAGAGGGCAGGCAGTGAAGCGCGAACCTGTTCCGCCGCTTTGAAAAGGCCAGGTGACTGGATGGAAGGAGGGGGATCTCTCTCTTCCTCCGTTCGTTCCATGCGCCTGCCCTTTTCAATGTGCGTGATATACCTCCTCCCCCCACTTGGCGTTCCCTCTGCCCTCTTGATGCTCAGCAGGGCTATGGCAGAGTCTGACTCGAGCGAGCTGCCTGAAAGTGCCAAGCAGCGGCTCAAGACTCCTGCTCCCCGAAAGCTAGACGACTGCGGCTTCGTGGAAGAAATTCTACTGCCCTCGTGGGCGGGTAGATCAACTATTGAATGGGCGGGGGCCAGACAGAGCCCACCGATTTGCTCTTGAAAGGAAAAAAGCGGCAAATCGCAGCGTGTGCGTGAAGAAGGACGGCAAAACAGACGTCAGTTGCGCAGTCGTGTCGAACTATCTACACGTTTTTGCCGGGTGAGGCTACCCCGACACCGCAGAAAAACCACTCCGTCCCCCCGTCATACTTCATGCCAAGAGTCTTTTCCGAGTAGTTTCCTTTTGCTACAAATTCGGGCTCACCATCCAGCTGAAGATCGGCCAAATTTGCCACCGGAGTCTGCTACGATTGTAAAGCAGCTAACAGCCACGCAGGACCAGAAGATCCCTAAGAACACCCTCGATGCGCTAAGTTGATCAAGGGACCTTCACGAGTTTCCTAACCCAAAAACCGTGAAAGAAGATGTGGGAAGAGGAACACGCAGCCCACGGCTCTTTCGGCGTCTCTGCCTCGGCTCGTGCAGAAGGGCGTGGCGCACGGCGAGGGCCCCCCAAGTAGCGCAGAACCACCTGCACCGATGCCGAAATTGGCTAAAAATATTACGGTGGAAACCGCACCTAAATAGTGAACTGTGTGCTCCTTTCAACCCGGACAAACAGGCCTGCCGCCCGGTATAAACAGGGAAGAGAGTGTGGGGCGAAGCTGCCCGCACTGATCAAAGCGCATGACCATCAGAACACTGCTCCTCGGCGTGTATGCACACTGAAGTCACGGCCAAAATGCGCAGGTAAATGGATGCAAAGGAGCTGCAAAGGAGCTGCAAAGCTCCGGGCAGACGTGTTGGACCTCTTGCCGTGGCATCACACAATGCACACCGTAACAGGGGTAGTTGCAAAAATGCATGTGCCGGCTCAAACTTCTGCATTCGTGCCCATAGATTGATGTGTTGCTCTTACAATGCCAAGAAAGTGTGTTGCTTCGGCATTCAAAGGCCCGTGGGCGCCGCGATCAGGTCTCGATTTGTCGCGCGGATGAATCACCACGGGAGAATGATTGAGCGCATGCTAGCTGCTTGGCAGAGATTGAGAACAAAAACATAGTTTAGGAAGCTCAGGGTGCGGCAGCAGTAGACAGCTTGGCGCGCGTTGCTGCAGCGGTGTGCATCGCGATTGCCACACTTCATCAAGCTTCCTTCTCCCTGGGAAGGCTTCTTTGAACACAAACCCGACGCAAAGCTTCACAGAGAGCTAATAAGTGAGCTACCCAAAGAGCTCACTCCTTCCGCCATGGGGTGCTGAACTCCGAGAGTCTCGACGTGAAGAGAGGGCGCGAGCTCAAGGCAGGATGCATCGACGCTGTTGAACACTCTCTCAACTCTCCTTGCATTCCTTCGTACCAGGCTACACATAGCAGCCCGCAGCGCACAGCCACACACACAACGTGAATTCGTATCGTATTGAGCTACCTGCGCGCGCAGCGTCTAAAATAAACAGCACGCGAGACCTGAAAGAACTGTGGAGTGGCTCCAAGCGTAAGGCACTGATCTCCCTAGGGAGGCACTCAACTCCTGACCTAACATAAAACTAAATAGGATAGCTACTGAACTAGATCAAGCTCAAATGTAGCTTTTGCCATCCTGTAAGGGCAGTCCGCATTCATGTTGCTTCCAAGGCTAACATATTCTGCAAATGCACCTGCACCTGACAGGGGTATAGAGGGGGCCAAGCCTCTAAAGGCGAACAAAGAATGCCCACTAGATGAAGAGCTTCTAGAGTGTATACAGCGCTGCAGAAAAGCCTCCGCTTCTAACCATCACTCACGAATGCACCGCAAAATCCAATAGGGTGCACGGACAGCGGGGGCTGCCTGAAGGGCAGCGTGTATGTTGCAGAGAGCAGCGCCTTACAGCGAGTCGCCGAGACATCGGCGAGAAAAATGCGTCCTGTTTTGAGAGTAATATTAGCAGCCGCAGACGCCTGTGTGAAGTCAGGCTGGGCTGCATGCTGGTACACTTATGAAACCTCAGAAATAATGCTGCCGCTTAGCAAGGCTTGCACTACGGCAATTCAAATCCGAAGCGACTGCCTTTGGTGGCTGCAGCCAGGGCAGACGAAGCGTACTGTATGAGCCATCCCTGCAAGTGCCTCTCAGGTGTAGGTTCGCATATGTCTATTGCTCAACGCGGGCCGAACATCGTCCACACAGAAAAGGTTTTTGTTAGACTTTCCGCCTATTAAGCCCAGAGCTTGCTTGTTTTGGTGCCCTGGCTCCAAAGAAGCTGTATCCTGCCAACAGGGTCCTTCACAAGGCGGTGTTTTTCTCCTACCAGGATGGGGGTGCTGCTGCGTGTGGCATTGATCTTCGCTGTCTAGAGCCTCTCCGCTTGCCGGCAACATACATGGCTGGTATGATTTGACGTGGTGGGTGGTAGCCGGAAGAGGTAAAGCTGAAGATTAAAACGGGTGTTGCCTCCTCACATTTCTGAAGTATTTCAGCCCCAGCTTGTCGGCACAGCGGCTAAACCGAAGGGAAAGTCAGCCGTTTTACTTGCTGCAGCTTTGCGGACACATTGCGCTAGAAGAAAGACTCCATTGTGTCTCCCAGTTCACAGGCGCGCTTTGATGAAAAACTCTCTGTGAAACGGTTTGCTCGAGGGCCGACAGATTGGCGCAGTCGGTGAGTGGAAATCAGCAAAGCCGGGAAGCCAAGTCACGTGAAGTGAAGGATAGTCTACTATGGCTTTTATAGAAGATCACTGCTTCACTTCTCATCATCCGGCCAGTGCAGAACGAAACCACAGGTAAGCGAAAAACCCTTCGACGGCTTCGCTGACCACTTCCCTTACGCACTGTGTCTGTCTTTCAGCCGCAGTTCAGCCGAGCTCGTCGCTCCGCAAGCCTGCTCCCCTGTCGAACGACGAAGATTAGCAACGTCAAGGCAGCTCTACACACACAACGTTGCAGCTCCCTTTGAAATTCCTCTGCTCATTACGCAGCCGCCTGGCCGCCGGCAGACAGTACCTACACTTCCCTGCATCACATAGCAGTACGGAAGGGCTGTCGTATCGGCAGCCCGTCGAGCTTTCGGACCCCCAAAGTGCTATGAAAGCCTCGGCAGAAGGCAGCCTTGCAAACCCCTTGAAGCTTCCTGCCTACAGCTTCCAACTTCCAAGCGGCCTCTTTACGAGAAACTTTCGCTTCGACTAAAACGAGACATAAGGAACTGAATAGGTCTGTGATGCTCTCGAGAGAGGAACTTAGAGAGGCGAGGACGAATAACCAAATGAAAGAGGGTACACTAGGCAGTACACAGTAAATCGCACCTTCACCCCCTTGCATTATGCCTAAAACCATGGAAGACACCTCATGCTCTCTTGTGATTCCCGGATTTATGTGCACCATAAAAAAACAGCTCAAATCACACTAGGCGTAGCAGGACGACCTAATCTTTGACAGTTCTTACCACACCATTCATATCAGCATGAGCATTGGCAGGCCCCCTCCTGCGGATTCTCTACCCTTCGAGCCCATTGAAAGAGACTCTAAGTTGTCTGCTTTTACTGTTCTGCCTAAAGAGTGCAAGGTGTCTGACCCTTTGAGCACTCCGGCATTCCCACGCCCACTCACGGGCTGACTTTTGCACTCCAACGCACAGTGAGTCGACTGATGGACTCTGTAGCAGATCGACAGTCCCAGTTGCCGCTACACCTCACACGTCCTACGTCAAGCCGCTTTAAGCAGTTTGACGGTTGCATAGGGGTGCGTGTTCAAGTGGTGTTTGGTATGTCGGCTAGCACGTAGCGGGCATGCGGGATGCAATGTCTTTCAAATGCGTTTTCCAGGTCGCAGCGTAGCCAACAATGCATACACATACGAAAAGTGAGAGAGCGATTCCTGAAAAAGCCACTTTACGCGTTTCTTAAGCTCAGCGATGTGTCTGGGCGGTCCTAATTTCTGCGATGCAAGGTACTCCAACAGCAGGGAGCAGTACTGGCGCGTCTTGTGGCTGCAGCATCTGAATGCCTGTTTTCCGAGAAACTGTTCGCTTTCTGGCCCTTAGGAATTCTCTGCGGCGAAGGTTTATCATGAGACATCCATGGCAATGAACTGTCATGGCCGACACCCGCAGCATTCGAGCAGCTGGCGAGTGGCTGGTGTCGAGCAGCTCTCCCAGTACCCCGGGTGCGCGCATGATCAGGATCCAACGGCCAAGACGCAAGTTGTCTTTGGAGGAATAATTGCTGGAAAATCAGAACGAAGGGCTTTGTTGCGGGCAAGGGGGGCGCAGATATGATGGAGGAGTACCAGACAGCGCAGCGCCTTCCATGCGCGGCACCCTGATTGACGGAGCACCTTTGCCCTTTTGATATATATGCAGTTCGGAGAAGACGATGGCATCGTACATTGGGAAGGCTCTCTTTTCAGCCGCCTGGGATAGGCCGTAGACGGCATCCTGCCGCTTTTGGCAGAGAAGGTCTGTGCGGATTCGCGATTTTGCAAAACGGACTTTTTGGCTTCCTCGCGCCGAAACTCTTGAGTGTTTCGCCCTTGAGAGGGGTTCGGAACCTCTCTAGAGCGGAGGCTTTCTCTCCCTTTCTCCCTCTCTCTCTCTTTCCCTCTCTTTCTGTTTCTTTCTCTCTCTCGCTCACTGTCGAAGCCTCGTCTTCATCAGCCCGCTTCTGCGGCCGGCGTCGCCGACGCATGCAACCGTTTCTAAGGCGCCAGCAGCTCTCACACAATTGGAGAGGCAGAGGGAAAGGGCTGGGTGCGGATGGATGAGCGGAGGAGCACTTCTGTACTACCCGTGGATCCTGAGGGGGAGCTCTGTGGTGAGCGGGGTGGGGGCCCCACCGACCGTAACACCCCCACTCCTCCGGATGTCGTGCCCCCCCTGATGCGCAGTGTGCTGCAGCGCATGAACCCGCAGGAACGCCTGAACGCGCTAGACACGGCAGTGCTGCAGCAGCGCTACGCTGAGGTGTACGGGCAGCTTTCCGAGTTGTATTCCTTGTTTGTGCCCCCCCCGCCAGCGCCTCCATCCCAAGAAGGCGGAAGACGGGCCGCTTCCTCCGCAGCCGTTGCTCATGGCGATGAGAACGCCTCCTCCGCAGCCGTTGCTCATGGCGATGAGAATGCCTCCTCCGCAGCTGACGATGCGGCTTTTGCATTTCTTTCCGCTGCCGTGGAGGCATGTGGGGCTCTAGGGCATGCGTCTGAGCAGCAGCTCTGGCTGCAGCGCTTGCTGAGGCATGGCGATGCAAGTTTCTCGAGCTGCGGCGGTGGCGACGCCAGCCAGCTCCCCGCGACGACAGCCGCTGCCGCCGCTCCAAGGGGAGGCGGCTTGCGCTGCTTGGATGTGTGGGTTGTCTGGCTGCGGATGCAGCTAAGCTCCGACAGCTTCTGCGACACTCGATGTCGCTTGTTCGCAGCCCCCTTAGGCAAGTTGCAGCGGCTGCTTGCCTCGCTGCTGCCGCTTTCTTCGGCTGCAGCCAGCCAAGCCGCCACTGTGCCCTCAACTGCGGAGCAGCAGCCTCTCTTTTTCCCGAAAAAGCCGCTGCCGCTCTTCCTACGCGAGCAGTCGGCTCGCCGTCAAACCCTCTATGTGGAGGGGCTTGCAGCTGCCGCGCTGCTGCTGCTGCTTTGCGGCAGCAGAGCGACTGCAGCTGCGCTGCTGCTGCAAGCGAGGGATTTTTTGGCTCATCCCTCCGGAGGCGGCGAGCACGGCGATCCTGCGGAAGACGTTGGATGGGGAAAAACAGCGGCTCGAGAGGCCGCTTTTGCGGTGCTCTTGCTGCAGCGGCTGCTGCGGAGAGGCGGAAGAAACGCCGCCGCCAGCTGCTACGCTGCTCTCCTTTTTCTCGACATCCAGGGAGCTCTTCTCGATCCGCGAAGTCTCTCCAGACTCGCAGGCTCCTTCCCGCTGCTGTCTGTGCAGCAGCAAGACGAGGAGGCGCTTGGCAGGGGCAGGCTGAAGGAGCCTGCAGCTGCAGCAGCAGCTGCTGCAGCGACAGCAGCTGCTGCAGCGACAGCGACGAGTGCTGCGCTGCAGCAGACTCCGCAAACTGCCGCTGCTCTGCTCTCGCGCCTCCTTCTGCAGCCGCTCATACCTCACGAGACGAAGAACGGAGGTGCGTCTTGGCCGTTGCTCCTGCGGCTGCTGCTGCTTGCGCGTTCTCTTCTCCTGCAGCAGCAGCAGACGCAAGCCGCTGCTGCAGAATTCGCGTGGGGGGGAGGCTGTGTTGCCACCTCCACCCTTGTGCCTCTTGCGACGCTGCGGGAACGACCCCTCTCGGTGCAATCGCGTCACAGTAACAGACTCCACAAGAACAACCACAACAACCACCATCAAAGCTCGTGGCGGCTGAAAAAGCTCAGCAAGGCTTTTAGCAGAACCCTTAGGAGGAGCAGCAGCACGCTGAGAGGCGAGCGGGAGCACACGAGCAGCAGCAGCAACGTGTTTTCGACGCATCCTCCACAGCAGCACAAGCATGAGCAGCCTCGCGACGCGCAGCCTTCGCGGCATGTGTGGATCAGCAACAGCGAACTTGCAGTGAGTCTACTGCAGGCTGCTTCCTGGTGTCTCTTTGACGCGGAAGTTTTGTCGCCCTCCTGCAGCGGAGGCGCGCAGCAGCTGCAGCTGCAGCAGCAGCAGCAGCAGCACAAGAAGTCTAGAGCGTTGCTGCTGACTGCTCCTCTCGCCGCCCTCCTGCAGCGGCGAGATGCTCAGGAAGACTTAGTGCGTCTCGCGGAGTACGTGAGTGCTGCGGTTGTCACCGCCGGAGGCGCGACCAAAGAGGCGTGGGATTCAGAGGCAGAAAGCGCAGCAGCAGCAAACTGGGAGGGGAGAAACTCCAGTGCGTCGGATGCTTCGCGCCGCCGTCTCGTCGGCACGAACGTTCCCTTGCCGCTGCAGCAGGGGATGCGTCTCGGCAGCGGCGAGAAGAGCAGCGTTGGCGGAAGCAGCCTAGGTGTGGTGCTGCAGCTGTTGTGGATAGCCGACTGCTTGGGGTTGGCGCTGCTGCCGAATGCATGCAGCAGCAGGCACCACCGCTGCGCGCTCCCGCCGCAAAAGTGCATGGCTAGACACAAGACACGCAGGATATTGTCGGCAGGCTCGCGGTTTCCAGAGCTGCTGCGGAGGCTGCTGGAAGGCGCCTTGCTCGTGTGTCTGTGCTGCGGAGGAGCAGATGCAGCAGCAGCCAGGGTGTATGAACGGCTTGGGCTGCTCTTGCTGCTTCAGGGAGACAGTCGACTCGCTGCGGCGTGCTTCAAGCCGGCGCTAGAGACAGCAGTGGCGCAGAGAAGACCTTTTGTGTCTCCTGACTCACCGAGCTTGATGGATGCTGCTGCAGTGCAGCGCAGTTTCACAGCCGTCCCTTTCTCCAGCGGCAGCGGCAGAAGCGGCGGCGGCGCGAGCAGACTTGCTGCAACGTGCTGCTTCTCGTACGCATTCCTCAAACGGATGCAGCACCAGCAGCTGCTGCTGCAAGGCAATCCCGCTTCAGCCAAATACGAAGCGCTGCTGCTGTTGTGGCAACTGCGCTGCGCTGCTGAAATCCTCGCAAGGGACCATGAAGCAGAAGGGGGAACAAAAGCAGCAGCAAGAAAAATAGCAGCAACAGCAGCAGGAGCAGCAGGAGCAGGAGCAGGAGCAGCAGGAGCAGCAGGAAAAATAGCAGCAGGAGCAGGAGCAGGAGCAGCAGGAGCAGCAGCAGGAGCAGGAGCAGCAGCAGGAAGAATAGCAGCAGGAGCAGCAGCAGGAGCAGGAGCAGGAGCAGCAGCAGGAAGAATAGCAGCAGGAGCAGCAGCAGCAGCAGGAGCAGCAGCAGGAAGAATAGCAGCAGGAGCAGGAGCGAAAAGAGCAACAACAGCAACAGCAGCAGTACGAGCAGAAGCAGGAGCACTCAGTGCAGCAAAGGTGCCTACGACAGCGGCATGCACGCTGCCAAGTCTGTCGGTAGCTCCCCGTCCAGGGGAGTTGCTGGCGCGTATTTTGCGAGAGAGTGATGCTGCCTCTCCCGCAGACGCGCAGCAGCACCCGCAGGAGGAGGATCCGCAGTGTCGAGAAGAGGAGGAGGAGCAGCAGCGGCAACAACAAGAGCGTCAACAACAACAACACGCGCTGCTGCTGCTGAAGCATGAGCAAGAAGAAGAGACGGATTCGCGCGAGGGAGTTGTTATTCCGAACAGACTGTTGGAGGAGACATGGTTAATGACAGCAGCTGAGAGAGCAGCAGCCTTGGCAGCAGATCTGCGACGTTGCGCATCCGTCTTATTGTTGCAATGCCGTTCAGCTAAGCTCTTCTGGCTGCCTATGCTGTGCAGCAACACGAAGAGGAGCAGCAGAAGCAGCAGCAGATGCAGCAACGACAGCAGCAGCACGCCTGGAGGGGGGGGGAATGTGGAAACGACCACAGCACCCGGCAAAGGAGGTGTACAGACAGCAGGCACAGGAGATTCTTCTCCTGCTGCAGATACTGCTGCTGCTGCTGCTGCTGCTGCTGCGGATTGGCCGTCTGTGCCGCTGCGACGTGCTCTTGAGAAGCGCATGCATACGGCGCTGGGGATCTTTTTGACTTCCAGCAGCAGCAGCGGGAGCAGCTGTGCGAGTAGCGCAAGTGCAGCAGCAGCAGCAGCAGCACCGCTAGAGTCTTCTCCGCAGACAGCAGCTGCTGCTGCATGCGCCTTTCCAGCAGTGGCAGATGCAGCGAATGTGGTGGCAACAGAGGCTGGAGAAGCACTTGAACTGAGCACCTACGTCGGTCTTGTGAATCGCTCGTTTCTCTGTCTCTCTGCCGCAGCTCAGCTGGTGCCAGCACATCCCCAGACGTGGTGTCTGCTTGCGACAGCAGCGCTGCATGCGGCGCACTTTTTTGCTGCTGCGGAATTCGCGAGAAAGGCGTTGCTGCTGCAGCGAGATCTCCCTAGGACGTGGTGTATGTACGCCTTGTGCTGCAGCGCACGTCGCAGCGCAGCAGCTCCTGTGGCAGTACACCCCAGCGTGCTGGAGAGCAGCTGCAGCGGGAGGAGGAGGCTGGTGACTGCAGGGAGAAGCGACCCTTCTGTGTCGATCCAGAGGACGCCTGCTGCTGCAGCGTCTGCTCGCACAACACGAGACTACCCAGTGGAGACAGCAGAGACAGCAGAAACAGCAGCGGAGGAAGCCATAGAGCCGTTTCCTTGCAGCCCAGTGCTGTATCACCATCGCGTTGCTGTGAAGACTGTCGGCGAACTGCAGCAGCATTTGAATCTGACGCGGACGCATGCCTGCGTAGCAACGGCGGCAGCAAGGCTCGATGATGCCATAGAAGAATGCCATCCGTTGGAGCACAAGCTGCTGCTCCTGCTCGCTGCGTTGCAGCTTGCGGCTGCGCTCCATCCCCGAGCACGGGTGTTGGCTCCTGAGGAAGTCGCAACTTTGCGCAGACTGCAGCAGCGGCAGCAGCGGCAGCAGCGCTGTCTGAGCGCCCCAGCGGCTGCCTCCTCGGCAGCGACGCGCGTCTGCAGCCACTCGCTGAGCAGCGGCGGAGGCGCTCTGGCAGCCTGCGACTTCTGCACGGTATATGCGTTCGAGGCGTTCGAGAGTGAGCTGCTCCCTCCGCACGGGGCGGTGGCAGTCGTGGGGAGGGATCTGGAGTGGGGAGATTTGCAAGCGGCTGCGTTGCGCTCAGAGGGAGCTTGGCCGTCTTCTGGATGTCTTTCTGCCGCAGCGGCTGACGCGGCAGGCAGCAAGCAGAGGAGCAGCAAGGGAACTGCAGCGGCGATTGCGCGGCTGCCGTGCGCGCTCAAGGCTTTCCAGCAAATCGGATCTGCCGTGCGATGTGTTGATGGCGGGCGACTCGAGACGCACGCAGCCGATCTTTGCTGCCCGTTGCACGACAGTGCGAGCAGCAGTGCGAAGAGCAGGAGCTTGTTTCGAGGCAAGGGCACTGTTGTGGTGTCTGTACAGCTCGTGCTCGCCGAGTTGGAGAGCTGGGAGGGCATCGCGCGCGTGCTGCTGCAGCTGCAGCAGCCGCTGCTCGCCTGGCGAGCAGCGGCTGCCGCGGCTGCGTGCGCAGCCGCTCTGGAAGCGTTTCTGAAGAGCAGTGCGCTCCAGACAGCAGATCCTCTGGGTGACGCTGCTGTGCTTTCTGGCAGCAGTGGCGACTTCTGCCCGTTGAATCGGGGGGTGGAAGGCAGAGGTGGTGCGTTTGCTGCGGGGGAGGCGCTTCAGCTGATGGCAGCGTGGGGAGTCGAGCTCGAGTTTCTTCTGCTGCTGATCCGCTTCTTCGCCCTCAAATCGGAGTGCTCCACCTCCCTGCAGCAGTGTCAGGAAAGCAGCTGCAACTGCTGCTGCGGCAGAAACTCGCTCGAGGAGCTTCGCAGAGACATGCAGCGGTTCCGACAGAAGCAACCCTTCCACCGCAACGCCTTGATGCTGGAGGGACGGCTGCTGCTGCAGCTGGATGGCATCACTGCGGCGGCAGAAACGCTCTCGGCGGCTTGCAGCAGCAGCGACTTGTGCATAGATGCGTCCACAGATTGGCACCAGGAGGCTGCTGCGCTTGCCGTATTTGCTGAGGTGCTGCTGCTGTTGCAACAGCCCCACAAAGCTCTGCTAACGGCAGCAAGGGCAGCTCGCTTTGCAGCGCAAGCGCCTGCGATCCAGCCACGCTTAGCTCTGCCCATGCACTTCACGCTCTAGAGACGGCGCGGCACAGCCTCTTTTTTAGTGTGTTTTATTAGGGGTTCGTTATGCGTGTCAAGAGCAACGGGTGTACATACACCCAAACAAAAGTGCCAACCCATCTGCCCCTCCTCGTTCCCAAAGGCAGAAGGCGAAGGAGGGAGTTCGTAGGCAGCTGCTTTAGGCGGGGCAGGGGGAGGCTAGAGCAGACAGAGGGGAGAGAAGGGAGCTCGGAGAGGATCAAAGGTAGCAGCAACTGAGCAGACTACTTAAATCTTCTACGTTTATCTAGCGCACTTGGAGACGAAGCCACCCTATGTGGCATGACCCCCTCCTTCACGCTAGCTAGCCGTATAGCAAATCACATGCTGCTCTGCCGAGGCAGTGCGTCGCAGGAAGAAGCTACAATCAACAACAAATCATCAGCAACATGCGCGAACATCCATACACTCTACTACTAGGGGGTCTAAAGCTTCGGCTGTGGTCAAGTTTGCGAGACTGAGAAAACAGGTTTGCGCGTCTACTTCCAGGAAAGCTTCGCGATGGATTGGCGCGGCGTGAGACGCACAACATGCCGCAATAAGCACATTCCAGCGCAGCTGGCTACTAAGCTGGAAAAAACTGCGCCGAAGTAGCGGCATTCACAGCGGCAGCTCCGCGCTAAGCCTTTTGCTCGTTCAATAGTCGATATGAGCGTCTCTGAATTTTTGTGCGTGTTCCCAATAGTGTTCCTTCGAAGAGCCACACAACACAAGAGAGCAGAAACAAGAAAGAAGTGTGGTGCCTCAGCGAGTTTCAAACACACCATCGGGCAAGAGGACTGCTATACACATATTTATGCATACATATACATACAATATATACATATATATATACATATGTATACACGCGCTCTAGCACACACAAGAGCCGCATTGTCTCTCTCTCTGAACGCCTCCTAGGACGTCTCAACCTGGCAATTCGCTGCTGCTGCATGCAACGCCACCCCGAACACCCTCCCACCCCGCAGCTTACTGCATGCACATTTCTGAAGAGGCGCCGTGCCTCTGCATCGCCATGGATTCTGTGCAGTTTCCAGCTTGAAAAGCTGGGAGTCTTGTTGTTGCCCTAAGCACCAGAGGAAGGCAGCATGAATCCCCCCGACAAAAGCAGCATGAATCACGTGCAGAAGTATATCGCCGGATCGACGTCGTTACACCTGAGATCAGTTTACTCTGGCAAAAGGACCCTTCCCCAGCTCCCTTCGCCACGCATGATTTCATGACAGCAAACACTAAAGACACATTAGCGAAACGGCTGGCAACGCACCAGCCAGCAGAGGCAGCACTCGTCCGGCTGCGTGTCGCCCTCCTCAGCTTCCTCTTCCGACTCCTAAGCAGCAATGCAACAACACACCGACCGCAGTTATGCAGCTGCACGACACGCCGCGCTGTTTTCCTCCGCTGCTCTACGGGCTAAAACTGTTTTTCAGCAACTCGAACGACGCCGGCAGTAGCCAACAGCCCCCATACACCCCAAAGAATACCCTTGCAAACTTGCGAGAAGCTATGCACTCGCCTAGACAAGGCACATCTGCAAACACTGCACCTTCCTTACATCGGGCTGGCCCTTTGTGTGCGCATCGTTACCCCCTTCTGCATCCTTCCACTTTATCCTCCTCTCCATCAGAGCCCTTAGGCGCTTGATCGACCGATGGGAACCTTTGAGACAAAAACAAAAAAGGAATGCAACAAACACACATGCACACGTATATATATATACATACGACACATCTAAGCATACACATACACTCACGCTTACACACATGCATAGACACACGCGCACATATACACATACACACATATACATACACGCATTTACACTTACACACTACACACATTCATATCATACACATACAAACAAACACACATATACATACACCCTTACACTTACACACTACACACAATCATACAATACACATATACACATGTGCACATGTACACATAGAAGCATACACTTACACCGATACACGTCTACATGCACATACATACACGTGCACATATACACACAATCATACACACACTTACACTTACACCTACACACATATACACATACACTCGCATTCCACATGTACACACATGTTGACATTCACTCACATTCCACATGTACACATACATACACATACATACACATACACTCACATTCCACATGTACACATACATACACATACACTCACATTCCACATGTACACATACATACACATTCACTCACATTCCATATGTACACACATGTACACATTCACTCACATTCCACATGTACACGTGAACCCGTAGACGCAGCGACAGCACAGCGATAGCCCTTTTGGTGGATTAGAAAGCCGCCCAGCAAGGACGCAAACAGAAGGGCTGCAAAGATGATCGGAAACCAAAACACCAGCATTCTCACCCTCGAAAACAACCACATTCCAAAGAGGGGGGGGGGCGATGACGCAGACACCGGTCACATGAAACTGCCTCGCGTTTGTATCGACCTGCAGGCAGCACCCGCCAGCCCCACGTGTACACCTTAATGCCGCGAATATATACATATATATATATATATATATATATATATATATATATTCGCGCAGTTCTGCATGACGACAAGGTCGTAGTTGCATGCAAATCGGAAGATGTCACGGCGCTTAGGGTTTCGAATTCAGGTACCAGGGCAACTCCATTCAGGATTGAATGGTGTAACTGCGTTTCAACTTGTCTAGCGTTTTGAAGGTTTTCCACATTACCTTAAAAAGATGCCTTTTATTTGCGAGAGACCTGACGCGGAAGACGGCGACACTGCACGTGTTCTGTTGCTTCAACTGCACAGTCGACAGCAAGCACAACGGAGGAATGCCTTGTACACCTCATGACTCCTAGAGAGATCGGCGTGCTTGCCCTTTCGTGTGCATGAACCACGTGCCACAGAAACGTGCCAGCACGCTGGTGGTGGTGATGGTGGTGGGGGTGGTGATGGTGGTGGGGGTTGCTCGGGTGCAGCTTCAAAGGGCAGGCTGAAAGACACAACAGACCCTCCACTTGTTGATAGTCTTCTTTGTTTTCTCTTCTTTTGTGAGTTTCCTTTCCTGATTGCGATTTTCGTGCCCTTCTAGGCGAGCAGCCATCTGCTCTCGCACTCGCTTCTCCGTTTTGGAAGGGTCCTGCGTCAGAAACACCCACCGACCCCGCAGTGCCACCACGACCATGCAAGACATAGTGGACGTTTATCAGAGTTCCTTCCTCCTCAGCCCTCCCCGAAGCCTCCAACAAACACACCCTCTAAGAAAGCGTGCGAGAGAAAGCAGCCCCTACACAAACTCAAATCTAAGAAACACTCTCTGCCACATCCAGTTTCAGGTTCACGGCGCGGTGCCTACCGCGACAGCGACATCCCCCAAAACCCTCATCAAGTTGCTAAGCTTGCACTTCGGGGGAGGAGGAGGCAATAAGCCTGCGAATGCACAAGCACGCCAAGTAGACAGTCATGCACACATGCACAGATGCATACATACACACACAGACATACACATACACACACACACACACATACACATACAAACACATCCTCGGGATCCCCATAACAGAGAAATCGGCACAGAGCACCCCACCGCCGCTACATGAAATTAATCACTAGCTACCACGCACACGCACCCATGCGAATCTTGTCTTGCTTCTCTCGTTCTCGCTCCTGCCTCTTCCGGCGCCGTAGTTTCTTTCTGTTGCAAAGGCAGACACGCATGCACACAAAAACCGTTGCAACCAGACGTAAAGCAAAAAAGAAAAGAGGATAGTTCACCGCAGCATACAACGGCAGCCTTATGTATATTTATATATATGTATTTATTTATTTTAAAGTATATATACGTATATATATATACAAATAATAAAACCCGACACCAACAGAACTTGAGGGAACTAAGTAGAGCACCTTTCCTGCGGCGTGAGATACATATTAACGACTGTATCACCCCGTGTGGCGAGAATAACGGGTGCAGGATGTTCGACGAGTGCGTCCAGTTTTGTCTGTGACAGGCAAACCTCACACCAAGTCTTTTTGCTTTTGTGTTTGTAACACCGCAGCGCAAAAAAAGCTCTCAAAAGGTAAGGTCCTGCACCGCTGGAGGGGGGGAGTGTTCAGAAGCTTCCGCTATATATAGCTTCCTTGCACAGGAGGAGGGGGGAGTACAGACGTCTAGATGCACATATGGAGAGACACTGTAGACGGGGGCATATGCGCTGCCTGTGCTGCGTCTGCCGTGCGGCAGTTCGAGAAGCCGAGACGAACTACACGCTTATCACAGACTCCTCTCGCTGCATCTGCTTGCTGTCTCCAATGCGACATCGTAAAGGCCTACTTCATCAATGTTGTATTCTTCCTTGGCGCTTGACTTTGCCAACAAACGCGTATCCCATGGTTCGACTGATGGGCAGTGCAGCAGCTGCGCGCCATCCACCGCAAACACATCTCCGATCAAAACCACCATGCGCATGAAAAAAATAGCAGAAAAGATGCACAAGCATGATGCACCGGCAATGAGAATACATAAATATACACATACACACATGTATATACATGTATATAGCATGCTGTGAGAAGGAGGATCCGTAACAAAACACACACATAAATAAATAAATAAATATATATATATATATATATATATATATATATATGTAGACGGACTAACCCATATCCTTGCGAAATCTGGCACGGCGGCATCCAGCTTCTGCAGGGGTGTTTGAGAAGGATTTTCTTCTACTGCAGCAGCAGCAGCTGCTGCTGCTGCTGCGTCGGCATCTCTCTGCTGCTGCTGCTGCTTGTACTGCAGCATGTCAGCCTCGACCCGCAAAAAGTGACCTTTCGGAAGAAACTCGAGAGCCTTGCGTTTGCGCTGCAGCAGCAAACACGCAGTGCAGCAGCAGCAGCAAAGATGCAGACCCAGCAGCACCGACAGCAGCACGCACACGTACAGCTCAAGCAGCAACAGCAACACGTACAAAACAACAACGAGAATTGCAACACGAACAACACGTATAACAACAGCATCAGCAGCAGCATCCAGCACACCTGATTTCTAGGCGCTTTGGTCTCAATTGTAGGATCGAACCAGGGGCAGGTTGTTGGATCGTTGTACATCGACTCGCTTGCCTGTAGAAGAGCCGACACAGTAGTGGCGGCAGCAGCCACAGCAGCATCTGCGTATGATCGTTTTCAAAAATGAATAGCAGCCCCTTTTGAGGGCCGACTGACGCGCATGCAGCAGCAACCGCAGCAGTCTCCCCTACCTGTTGCTGTTGTTGCTGCCTGCGGTTGATCTTTAGACTCGAGTGCAGCACCGGCTTCACTGCCACGAGGCGCCCCTCTGCGTCGATCTCCCTCCCCAAACGATCGAAGCGTAAAGGCCTTGCTTTGCTGAGCAGCAGCTCCTTTTCTTTTTCTAGTTCCTGCTGCTTCCGCTGCTTCTGCTGCAGAGCCTCGTGCTGCAGAAGCAGCAGCTGCTGCTGCAGCAGCGGATTCGCAGCGCCTATGCCCGTACCCAGCGCTCCCGTGCCTGCCTTCGCTTGTTGCGCTGCTAAAGTGGCAGCTGCCGCTGCAGCAGCAGCAGCTGCTGCAGGGCTCGTCGTGCTGGAGGCTGCGCCGGCTGCAACAGCGGCAGCAGCAGCCGCAGAGGGAGCTGCCGCTCCCGTCCCGGTGCTTGCAGCGGCAACGGCCGCTGCTGCTTGTTGCTGCCTCATCTGCTCCTGCATCTGCCGCTGCAGCTGAGCCGCTCGCTTTGCCTTTTCGAGAGCTTCTTTTGCGGCTGCTGCGGCTGCCTGCACGCTGAACGGCAGCTTCAAGGTGGTGCCTCCTGTTGCGGGGGCTGCAGCTGCAGCAGCAGCTGCTGCGGGAGTTGTCGCAGCGTCGGAAGAAACTGCAGGCGGCGCGGCTGATGCGGCAGCAGTTGCAGGACCTTCTGCGGCCGACGCGCCATCGCCAGGTCCATCCTGAATCGCAGACACGCGCGCACGCAGAGTGCAAGTCAAACGCGGCGGGTGTACGTACAGTGTGTGCATACACTTCGAGCTTTCTGAGGTGCCTTTGTACAAACAGGCCATCTGGAAACAGGATTTTTGCCTAAATCGCATGAATACATGTCTTCTGCCCTAATATCTGCCTCAAGGGTCATGAGAAAGAAGGGATTAGGGCTGGGATGCTGCGTACGCGCCCCCATCGTGTCCTTCGTCGCTTCTGCTGATCCTCCCCGCCTGTCGCTCCACCAGCCGCATCTCCTGGCCTGCCTGCTTCCATGGTCGGGCTGCCGCGTTTCCGGCTGCTTGGCGTGCTGTTTCTGTTGCTATGAGTGATCCTCTGCTTCTTGGGGTTACTGAGCGCCGCTGCGGCTCTCGCGAATGGACTGTGGTCGTGGAAGCGCAGAGCGCAGCGCACGACTATGGTGAAGGACGGCAGAATGAAGAAGAAGAGATGAACAGGAATGCGCTAAAGAAGAAAGGGAGTCGCAGGCAGCATGCAGATGGTCGCCTCCGGTAGCAGCATTACGAGCTGCTGACCCTCTTGCATGCAGGGGCGGCGGTGCCGCAGTTGAGTCTCTAGGAAGCTGGGTCTTTTCCGCTTTCCTGTGATAACACCACCAAAATGCACATGCCTGGTACATAAGAAAAGCATTTATTTGCTTTTTGTGGCCTTAAATTTTGAGCTCCAAGCACCACTGCTACGCCTACAGTAGGCAGGTGTTACATAGGCCTTCCGCACACATGCAGAAGCAATTGAGAGCATTAGCAGTGGCATGGGATCCTTGGATACGCGGGTCTACCTACATTTAGAAAGTTGCCTTCACAAACGTTCACAGTGGAAGGAGTACATCTGCGTGTGTGCATGGATTAAGTATGTATGTGTGAATATACATGATACGTGTGTATGTATATATATATATATGCACGGGTTTATGTGCCCGTGTCTTAGCTGGCAAACGATTAAAACTGTTTGTATGACCTGCAGTATACGCCAATCGGCTTCAGCGCAGTCCGCGCAGAAGCCGAGAGAGCAAGAGCACTCTGCACAGCACTACAAGTTCTAAAAGAGAGCAGAAACGCAGATCACTATACACCGTGATATGATTCCTTGCAGACGGTGCTTGAGTCGGTGACTTCAATATGGAGTTCAGGTGTAGTGACTCTTGACAGGGTTGGATACCATAGGGCGATTGCAGATATGCCTGCAGAGTAGGCGGATGCCACTGCGGCTGCAGTGACCAACCAGGATTTTTTGTCAAGGTCTCATATGAACGCTCGATTAGCCAACAAAGCAAGTCTCCTCTGCGAGGCGAGTGCTGCTGCCCTTTGACCAGTGCGCAGGCATCACTGCTGCTCCGATCCCTCTTGCTTCTTCTCTTTGCCTTAAACCCCTGCCAGTCAGCGGTTGGAAAGAGGGCGTATGAGCAGCGCCGTACTTGACTTGCTGAACTCTAGATCGGAGCTTTATGCTTCCGCTGACTTGTCAGCTAGCCGGCTTGTGGAGAGCCTCGTCTCCGTGCGGCTGTAGGGGTGGGGGAGCGCCGGGAAGACGGCCGAAGGGGTAGACTGCCACACCACGTCTACCCTTTCAGATCGTATTCCTGCTTCCTCCCTGGAGAGGCAAGCAGAAACAAGGACGCCTGCTCTAGTCGTGTTGAAACAGAAACCGCGAATGCATGAGCACTCACCGAGGCAACGCCACCAGGAGCACTTAAGCAAGGGAGCGCCTCTTCGCTGTTGACACGTGGAATACGGCAGCAGGCAAGCAGGGGGAGTCTTGCGCGCGCAAGATGAGGCGGCTGCTGTGCACCGCGCCGCCTCCATCCGTCTGCTTGCTTGCAGTCGATGTTTTCTAGGGGTGCAACTAAGGACCCTATGACTCAAACCGCAAAGCGGCATTGTGTCGAAAAAGAGGGAGAAGGACGGGATAGAGCGTTTCAAGTTCCCCCTAGGAGTCGCAGTGTCACAAATCCTTTGTGCTCCCCCTGTTCCTGGCAAAAATACGAAAACCGCAGCAAACAGGGGTGGTTCGGTGTGCACATGCACACACATCCCCACGCTGGTGGGGTTGCATGCATCAGTACGGAGGCTGCTCAAGAACAGAGATCGCTGGTCTCTTTCTCTCGTCTCGCTGCATGTATCTACGCAGAGAAGATGGCGAGCGCTCCAAGCACAGCCGGCGCACAGGCCGCACAGACACAAGTGCTCGAGCCTATACTGCACAGATGGAGGGATCAGTCTGCACATGCATGTTTGACAGGCAAACGAATGCATTTCCGTGCAGGGAAGAAACGGGAGCGGCGCAGCAAAGTGGCGCCGCCAGACCCATAAGTTGCGCCATGCGAAACCAACGTCTCTCGAGATTCCGAGTCAGCAGCTGCCGCGGCTGTACGCCTCCTCGAAGGGTGCACGTTTGGTGCTTCTCTCCCTTCCAAACTCGAAGGCGCTCAAAACGGCTTCCTGTTAAGGCCTGTGCCTTGCGGCACGAGACCGTCCTTCGCAGCCATGATGGCGATCAGATCTACCAGCCTTGCCGAATAGGAGAACTCATTGTCGTACCAGGAAATGAGCTTCACAAAGTTAGGATTCAACATGATGCCTGCATTGGCGTCGAACACGGTGCTGCACTCCGTGCCGGTGATATCCGAAGAGACAACGTCTTCTTCGGTGTATCCCAAAATGCCCTTCATGTCGCCTTCCGCTGCGGCTTTAACTGCCGCTTTGATCTCTTCATAGGAAGTGCTCTTCTTCAGACGGCACGTCAAGTCAACCACCGAGACATCCAGCGTGGGAACGCGAAACGCCATGCCCGTCAGCTTGCCCTTCATATGTGGCAAGCAGCGAGCGACGGCTTTTGCCGCCCCTGTAGAAGAAGGAATGATGTTAGAGCCGGCGGCTCTCCCGCCACGCCAGTCCTTTGCGCTGGCCATGTCAACGACTCGCTGGGTGCCCGTTACAGCATGAACGGTCGTCATCAAGCCTTCCTCAAGACCAAAATTCGAGTCGATCACCTTCACGAGGGGCGCCAGACCGTTCGTCGTGCAGGAAGCACAGGATACCACACGCATCTCAGGTGTATAGGCAGTTTCTGCATTCACCCCGACCACCAGCGTCGGCGTTTCCTCGTCCTTCGCAGGAGCCGAAATCACCACGTGACGCGCACCCCCCGGCCTGCACATCGCAGACAGACGAAATAATGCAAAACAGTCATCGAGAAAAAAGGCGCAATGACAGACAACACGTATACAGCGGCAGCAGCTCTCAGGAGACTCTCCCGTGCGGAGCGCAAGCGACTGAGCCGCGCACTGCGCGCGCCAAACGGCGAGAAGTCGGGCTGCGCAGCAGCACGGGCGCTGACTGGCATCCGCGAGCTCCTCCCCAGGAAGCAGCAAGCCACGAAAACGAAGAGGGCCAGGTGCAAGTCGACTTCGTAATCACCTGTCAACATGCAGCGAAGCATCCTTCAGCGTGCAAAACGCGCCTGTACTCTCGCAAACAAAGTCTGTACCGCTGGCTTGCCAGTCAATCGTCTTGGGATCGCGCGAAGAAGTAAGATACACCTTCCTGCCGTTCACAAAGAGGGTGCCGTCTTGAACCTCTACCGTTCCGGGAAAACGGCCATGAACAGAGTCAAACTTGAGCATGTACGCCAAGTACTCTGGAGACATGCTGCTGTTCACGTGGGTGATAGCCTGCACGCAGCGCAGGAAAGAACGCAGCGCATGCAGCAGCAGCAGCATGAGTGGGGCAGGAAAGGCTCTCTGCGCCTTTTGGTGAGGGAGCCGTTTCTCCACCACCCCCCCCCCAGTTACCCCCCGTCGCGCCTTGCTCTAACGCCGTCGCATGGGTGCCTCGTAACACACCATGTCTGGTCGAGAACTTGCAATTCTAAACACAAGACGCCCTATCCTGCCAAATCCGTTCACGCCAATGCGGATGCGTGCATCCTGAGTCTCGACTCCGGGGGTAGCCCAAACTGCCGTCGCTGCACACGCACACACAGACACATGCATGCATGCACACCGACACACACTTTACACTCCTTCTTCCTCTACATTTACACACACTTTACACTCCTTCTTCCCCTACATTTACACACACTTTACACTCCCCCTTCCCCTACATTTATACGCACTTTACACTCCTTCTTCCTCTACATTTACACACACTTTTCACTCCTTCTTCCTCTACATTTACACACACTTTACACTCCTTCTTCCCCTACATTTACACACACTTTACACTCCTTCTTCCCCTACATTTGCACACACTTTACACTCCTTCTTCCCCTACATTTACACACACTTTACACTTTCTCTTCCCCTACATTTACACACACTTTACACTCCCCCTTCCCCTTACATTTACACACACTTTACACTCCCCCTTCCTCTACATTTACATATTTAGGTGCCTCGCATAGATCCAGAAGCGCAAAACATGAACACAGAGGCACGTCCACAACGCTAAGTGTAGAACCCTAAACGTCCTCGCTTACCAGATGAGGCTTTATTTTCATTCGCGGAGAGCTGGTTGTGGGGACGAAGGCTTCGTTTACTCCCCGACAACGTTGCACCCGCTGGAGAGAGGGGGCTTGCGCTACCCCCAATAAAGCCTAGAGAGGATTGCAGCAGCTCCTCGAGGAGGCTTTCTTCCGATGTCTCAACTTCACTACTCGCCTCTTCCTCTACTTGCTTCATATTCCGTTCTGTAGCAAGCACTTCAGCTGCCAGTTCCTAAGAAGCACACCCATACATACACATGAACATACCTACACATACACATGAACATACCTACACATACACATGAACATACCTACACATACACATGAACATACCTACACATACACATAAACATACCTACACATACACATGAACATACCTACACATACACATGAACATACCTACACATACACATGAACATACCTACACATACACATTAACATACCCGTAAATACACACCAATACATACGCATAAGCACACTTGTACATACATGCCTACATATATACCTGGTACACACACATATAAATCGGCAAAGACTCCAGTATCTAGAGCGCCATCGCTACAGGCTGCCCCCCTAGCCTCTTTTCTTTACGCTGCACTCGAGCTGATCTGTCTGCACAACGTAGTTGCGGAGCAAATTTAAAGGCATGCCTTTGCGAGTTCGCAGATGCTTTCTGCGTTGGATGCTCCTGCTTCTTGAAGGGCAGTCATCAGTGGCATGGGCTCCACGCCAAGCTCATTCATGAGATCAAGAATAACGGCTTGCAGCTCCTCCTTCTGCACGGATGGGCTTTCCACGGATTCCACGGCGCGATGGCAGAGAGAAGACGCAGCAAGAGAAAGATACGCGTTTGACAAAGCGCATCGAGGCGATTTCGACGCCTGCCCTTCCTGCATACTGCATCGTGGGTGCTCTACACACACGGACGGCGATTCGCTGAGTTCATAGCATGCAACTCGATCGAACGGCTCTGCAGAAGCGTTTGTTATCCAGCGCAGACACATACACACGCATGTATTTGTACAGATGTACATGCGTACATAGATACATATGCATACATGTGTTTGTGTATTTAAACCGGTGCGAGAGCATCCGTTTGTCTATTGTGGCTCACTGAGCACCCCACAGAGCTTGGAGGATCTATTTGAGGAGAGTGCGGTTGTGCTAGCATGCAGCGAAGGGTAAGCAGCGTACCGAAGGCGTTGTGGAAGAAGACATTCAACACCTTGCCACGGGCACTATCGAAGAAACGGAAGTTTCGCGGAGCAAACACAGCCAGGTTGGGAGAATCCTCGGGAGACACCCCGTCTTGGGGGTCCTCTGTTTCTGTTGCTGCATTTTCGAAAGCTGCAGAAGTGTTTTCTGCGGAGAGTTCGGCGCTGTCATCATCAGCTTTTTCTGCCAGAGCTTCCCCGACTTCCTCTGCTTCCCCTTCCCTTGAGAGAAACGGCTGCAAGCCCTCTGGAGAGACGGCGTCTCCCTCTGCGTTTAGAGGGGTTACAATTTCCGTGAAGGTGTTCACGCTGAAGACGGCCTGTCCTTCGTCTTTTGAAATGCTGTCTAGTTTGAGGGGTAATACGGGGAGAGCGGCGGAAGCCGCCACGCAGAGGATGGCGGAGAATCGCATTTTTCGGAGCTTTGAGGACGGCAGCACTCAGACACAGGAGACCGGAAGCCTCGGTGTAGAGAAGACGGGGCAGGGGGGAGTGGAGAGCGACGACGGCAGCGGCACAAGGAAGCGGCACATACGGGCAGAGACACGCCACACACGAGGAAGAGACAGAAGCGGCACTCCTGCTGAGTATTTAGAGTTGCATTTGGAGTTTCGGAGGCGAAGAGATACACCCTGCGGAGGCGGCACTGCCAAGACGGGGGACGGCAGTCGGGGGCGTCGATTGCAGCACACACACGGCACACAGACAGAGCAGGGAACGCGGGGAGTCTCTGGGGATCTGGGGGCAGCTGCCTCTACCGCCGCCTCTAGGCGGAAATTAGGGAACGTCTCTGCAATTGTCTACTCGTGTCGATAAAAGACAGACATCAAGGATCCGTAAACACGGCAGATCCGAGACCTCACGCAGCCCCTCCCTCCCGCCCTGGGGAGGCCCCTCCCCACGGAGGGAGGGAGGGGCACGATGCGACGGCGTCGCTTCGCATATCACTTGTATCGGACAGACTCTCTGCAGCGCATCCCAGCACTCTACAAAGGCCACGCGCTTAAATTCTCGGACTTGTTTGCGCGGGGGGAGAGGGGGGGATGGGTCGGAGGTGAACACTTGTTCGGCCCGCTGTCCATCCGGTTCTAGAAATCGTAGTCGGATGACCCCTCAAGTTCATGCTAAATCATCCGAAATAAACGAAATCGCTGCACTTTATATTCTAAAAACACTCTTGAGCTCCTAAACCCGTTTTTTGGTCATGAAAGCCAACTTGGCTAGCGTTGATGTCCTGTACGTACACCCGAGGTACGGTTGCGCGCATACCGGTGGCACCGGGGTCGTTTGCGATGGAAAATTCATGAGAATCTGAAAAAAGAGTTTGCGCCTTCACTTGAGCCCTACACTAGAGGCCAAGTGCCAAATACTCACCGTACTAGGTTCTACCCAAGACACCCCAACGCGCATCTGCAATTCCATGCCACAGCTCCGTATCCGTTTCAGACCGATAGGGTCTGCTCGTGCATGCACAAATAGTAACATGCAACCCCCGCTCTACATAGGGGATTTGCTTTGCAAAAAAAGTACAGCTACCCCGAAAACCAATAGACTCGAAACGGGCACCTTATTTAAAAGGTCTTTGGTAGGGTGCCGGCCTTCCAGGAGCAAGCCCAAGGCTCCTGGCGTGGCAAAGCCAATGCCGCTGTAGCGCGCTGTCGCTGCTGCAGCGATGGGCAGCTAGCAGCAGCAAATGGCTAAAAGCAGCCAGGAAGGAATTTTTGCGGGGCTGCTAGGGTGGTAGCGCAACCAGAAACGTCCTACTAGGCAGTGCCCCTGCTGCTGCGTGTTCCTTGGTACTTATTTACGACAGCGGCTGCCTCAAGGAGGAGCAATTGCGAAGGACGCTCTGACGTGCACACGTGGCTTAGAGCTTACCCCTAAGGTCGTCCAACGCTGCAGTGCTAAGGAGACGTCGATCAGGATCTTTCGCTGCAGCCACATACACCACGCACGCCTGCAGCAGTTACGATGGCTCGAGGCAGACGCTTCTGCTGCCACACCAGCGTGCAAGGGGCAGACGAGACGCGCAGCTTTTATTAAGGAACTTAATGGCAGCACAGACCATCAAGACGCAAGAGAGAATTGTAGGGGGCCACGTCGAAACGATCACGTGCAATGCGTATCCGTCAACCCCCCGTTATTCCTATCCCCCGCTTTTCCCCCACCCCCCAAATCAGTGCAGCATCCGAAAAACCTCACAAAACATACCACAAGGCCAAGGACGGAGCAGCAAAAGATAAACAGCAAAGCACAGCACGCAAAATACAACCGCCCGTCTTACTGCCGCACCAACACGGCTCACACGACACACATGCGTCTGGTGCGAGCCGATGCTCCATGACTCGAAACGACTAGCTGTCCATACATAGATACGCATACATATTTATATAGGTGGACAACTGTATGCGTAAACATCTAGGCATCGGACCAAATACACATACATATATATAATATACACAGGCACATCAAACAAACGCTAGAGAAGGCCCCTCCTCACCCTCCACAACATCGAGAAATTCCCGCATGAAGTTTGGGAGGTGCGGTGCATCAAGCAGCAAGTCTTTGTAGAGACCCTCGCCCTCCTCGTTCAAGCCCATGAAATCGCGCAAACTGCAACGCATACATTGCAGCAGCAAACAGCGGCAAAAAGGCGCGCGCATCAGCTGCTGACACCACGTGCAAAAGAAGGTTCCCTGCCCACGTTCTGCCACCCCCCCTCCTGTCCCTCTCCCTCGAGCGAAAAACACACTTCTCAGCAGCAGCTGCAGCAACGCAGCCGCACTGAAGCAACGAACACAAGAGGCACCCTAGAAAGCTGGCCCCTACCCAAATTTCAGCGTGTCTGGAGGGAAAGCGTCTGTAGAAGCAAGCGCAACCAGAAACTGGAAAAGCGTTTGCCTCTGCTGCTTCTGCGACTCCTTGTCGGAGACGAGCTTGTCAGCCGCCACCAACAACAATTCCAGCAACAGCGCCTGCAAGCCAAGCGCACAAGCTCACGCGAAAAGACAAGCCTCTCGCTGTCTGGACACCTGGGGACGCCGACTTGCGCAGGCAGCAGGTGCACTGTTGAGAGGCGTTGCAAGAAGAAGAAGCGTATTTTTGCTCCCATAAGCCAGCGAGAGAGATCCCCGACGAGCCGAGTAGGTGCACAGCAAATACATCCAGAGCAGGAAGCGCTCTCTCACACACATGGTGGAAGATATACACATACATACATATATAGATCGATAGGGAGAAAAACAGAAAAACAGAGAAAAAGAAAAGGGAAACCGTGAGGGAGGCGAGAGAAAGGAAGAACCACAAAAACGGTCTTTTTCTAAAATTTTGAATCGACTGTCGATGAGTGAGTTAGAGAGAGAGACAGGCTGCAGGAACGAATCTTACCTGCTGCGCCTCCGGTCCATCGCATTGAATGCCGCTAAAAACTTCGATGCCTTCCTCCACAGTTGAACAAATCAAGTCGCTAAACTCGCGCCTTGCAGCAGCGCGTGCCCCCTCCACATCCAGCAATCCACCTACGCCGCTGCTTGAGCTGCTGCCTCCAGCCCCTGCACTGCTGCTGAGCGAAAAAGTAAACACAGCAGCGACATCCCCCTTCAAATAATGCACGAGCCGACGCATGCAAGCAAGCGGGGTGCAACACGCTTGCTTGCAAAAAACACGAAAAAGAACGAACGAGACACATGGCCGCAAATGCCAGCTCTTCTCGCAACTTATCCAGACAAGCAGTGCGATGCATATCGCTATGATTTACGTGTCTGTCCTGCCAGCCAACATCCATGCACAGACGTATACACATACATACAAACATATGTAGATACATGTGCATACATACGCATACACATACGTATATGCACATAACACAAATATCTACACACATACATGAGTATACATATATAGATATATGCATATACACCTCTTGTCGAACTTTTTCTTCTTCTTGTCGTCCATAGAGACTATGACGCGGCGGGAGTCACTCAAGACAGAGCGGCGAGAATCTCCTCCATGAGCTCTTCGGTCGCGATCACGTTCCTGCCGCATCCTCCCGAGTTGACTGAAAGGTGAAAAACGCAATGCAAAAAAGGGTGTCATGAGCATAGGGGAAGGAGGCAGGGGAGGGGGCAGGAAAAAGCCCACACAAACAGACGAACAGGTACATTGGCTAGATAGACACATCCATGCATGCATGCATGCATCAGGAGGCTGCTGCTTTAGCCGTTTAGCTCCCGCAGCAGTAGTTATTGCTTTAAAACTTGAACCGACGTCCGTCTCGGCTGTCTTACCTGAAAGCAGATTGGCTGCTGCTGCTGATGCTGCCCAATCCTCCAGAGGCAGCAGTCATTGAGGTCTACAAACATGCATACATACACATATACACATACATATACACATACATACACAAATACACATACATACACATATACACATACATATACACATACGTACATGCACATATACACATACGTACATACACAAATACACATACATACATACATACATACATGCACATATACACATACATACACATATACACATATATACATACATACATACATGCACATATACACATTCATACACATATACACATACATACACACATATACATACACATACATACATACACGCACATATACACATACATACATGCACATATACACATACATACATACACATATACACATACATACATGCACATGTACACATACATACACACATATACATACACACATACATACATACATACACGCACATATACACATACATACATACACATAAAGCCATATATTTTAATCCTCGTACGAGAGTTCCTAGATCCTGCGAGGAGAGAGAGAAACAGCAATTTTAGATCCATTGACGTACAGCATTAGAAGGCGTCTTTGTGTGGGCAACTGCACCGCCTCTCTTGCTGGATGCCAACTCCCACCCTCCCTCATCTGCATTTGCGAGGTGCTTGTCGCGATAATAACCGTCCTTAGGATACGAGAGGAGACCACTTCCGACGCTTCCTGCTGCAGCAGGAGTGCCCCCCCCCCCGCCTGCTGCTCCATGCTGCTGCTGCTGCGCATGCAGCTCGTCAAGGGTTGTTGGACCCTCTCGCTGATGCGGAGGCTGCCGCTTCCAGTTCGCTGCACGCGAATCCAAGACATCCTTCATGAGACACCGCACGCGAAAAGGCAGTGTCGTGTCACTCGCCAAAGCCTCGACTGTTCGCATGCGCGAGCAAAACTCCTCATACAATCGCCACTGCAAACGCAAAAAAAAAGCCACACAATCCCCTCAAACCGTCCCCCCTATACAGGCATCCTCCCCAAAGGCACAAACAAGAAGCACACGGCAACAACACTTTTTCGTCCTCCACCTTTTCTATTTTCCCCCCCATCACCTATTCTTTTTCCCCTCCACCCCACCCCCAATTTCACCCGCTTTTGTCTCTCGCACAAGGCACTGAACAAGCGCGCAGTGCAAATGCAATCCAGAAGAAGGCTTTCTGCCGCGCTAGCAGCAGCAACAACAATACACCCAACCTCCCCCCTTTAACCCACCATCACCCCGCCTCTCTGCAAGGCAGTGCCTTCCGCAACAGTGCCTCACCTGCGGATTGTCGAAGAAAGGGCCAACTGTATGCAGGAAGGCACAAAGAGCCTCAACGTGATGAACCCCCTGATCTTCGCCATTGCTCGACGCAATACACTCTTCGCGCTTCTGCAGCAACCTGTCGATACACTCCAGCAAGATAGCCTGCGAGATCATCTTCGACTTGAGCAACTCACCAACAAAGATCATGTTGCCTGCAATCAATGAACAAAACACAGACAGACAGACACACACACAGCTCCCATCCACCCATTGTACATGCAAGCAAGCATCTATGATGCATACTACATGCATAGACGCTAATACACGTAGAGGCTAACATACACATACACATAGACGCTTGCATGCATGCATACATGCATAGACGCGAACACACATAGAGGCTAACATACACATACACATAGACGCTTGCATGCATGCATACATGCGAGATACACGCTTGGTCGCCAACACAAACACATAAAAAGGCTGCCGCCTCCCTCCCCCTTTCCTGCATCGCACGCAACCCCACCAGCTCTCCGCGGACGTACCCGTCATTGTCTTTTTGTAGTTGAGTTCAAATTCGTAGGCATCGTCAGCATTGAGATCCTTCGGCACGGAAATGGGTTCTAAGTTGGCATTGAAAGAATCTTCGCACTGGTCAATCAAGATTCTGAGGGTGTAGCAAGCGACAGCAACACACATCCACCACCACGGGGGTGCTATAAAGGCATGCACGCTGATGCAAATCAGCCCACAACAACCCTGACAACAACCATAACAACAACCCCACCCCCTCAAAACCAATCTGAATGCCTCCGCCGTACCTCCTGAACTTCGTATTTCGGTGATCATCCTCGAGAAGCTCCTGAAAGTCGAGTTTCAACTTCCCACAGAGCATGACATACATCTGCACAAACGCAACGCACAGCTCTTGAACCGACAGTTGACACCATGCAAGAACGACACTATCTTCCGGCATCCATCTTGCACAAAAATGCAATCGTCGAAGCAACACCTTCTCCCAGTATTACGTGCATGTATATATTTCTCTATTATATATATATATATCTCCCTCTACTATCACTCTTTCCGCATCCCCGCAGCAGAACAAAACAAGCTAGGCAAGCAGCAGCAACAAGTCGAGCAGCGTGCCGTCCAGAGGACGCCTTTGAAAGATCAAGAGGAGACAGACAGAGAGAGCCGCGCATCTGGCAAGCGCATGACAGCAGACACACCTGGATAAAGTGGTGCTGAGCAACGGCTTTCTCAAACACCATGCGCATAAGGCACTTGACTTCCTCTTCCACCTTGATGCCTGCCGAGAGGATCTGCTGGTAAATGCGATCAAACTTCTCGATTGTCAACTTATTCAAAAGACCCTTCAAGTGTCGCTGCAATACCAGACGCGCATCCCTGCAAAACAACACACAGCCACCACTCGCGGATTCAAAACATGGACGTGACGATCTTGAAGTGCAGCACAAAACATCATACACCCGCCACCCTCCCCCGCGATCCAACTCGAAGCTGCTCAAGCACGTTTTCGAGGGGCAGTCTTTTAAGTATATATACATACAAACATGGTGCACTCATATTTACACACACACACACACATATACATATATATATATGTATATGTACTCCAAAGAGAGAGATATGCATACACACATGTATATACACATATGTAAGTGCGTGCAACACCTACATACACACAGCATTACACGCAGACAGCGTGACATAGGGGGTCGGAAGGCTGAAACAAAAACACGCAAGGATTTCCCCCTTCAGCGAGCTGCCCAAGGCTGTCACCGCACACCAAAAATCCAGCAGCATCACGGCAGTCTCCACAGAGTTCCCTGTAAGAATGCAACAATCGCCTCACTCCTTTTGCTTTTCTTGAATAACAACCCACGAGTCTTTCGAGGGTGAGGGCAGCGTGACAGCTTGCGGCACGGGCTGCCTCTGCAGTCTCTCCCGACGAACGCTGGTGAAGTCTGGAGGCTTCTCCTGAGAAAAGAAGCCTCCTAAAGAAACACTTGACGGTCTTGCTTGAGCAGGCAACCCAGCCATGCTGCAACAATAGCACAAAAAAACATGCATGCACATATGCGTATTTTTGTTTTGCTTAAACAGATGCAAAAATCACAAAAAGTACCAACCACACACATATATATATACATATACGTCTAGTAGAAGTTGCATCTTGCCAGCATTTTTCCTTCCCCCGCCGTCAAGATCCCACCACATCCTGGAGGGGCAAAAACAACACCCCCAGCAACAAGTCAACCCTCTTTCTTTCTTCTCTTTCTGTCTCTGTCTCTCTCTTTCTCTCCTCTCTTTCTCTCTCTCTCTTCTCTTTCTCTCTCTCTCTGTCTCTCCCTCCCTATTTCCCCTCTCTCTCTCTCTCTCTCTCTCCCTATCTCTCCCCTCTTTCTCTCTGTCTCTCCCTATCTCTCCCCTCGTTCTCTCCTCTCTCTCTGTCTCTATCTCTCCCCCCTTCCTTTCCTCTCCCTCCCTATTTCCCCTCTCTCTCTCTCTCCCTATCTCCAAATGCATATCGCGACACTTACCGAGCAGCGCCGAATGAACGCATCATTCCGTCCTCCTGATGAGCGTCTCGTTGCGCCTTTCTTAGCCACTGCTGCTGCTGCTGCTCTGTCGAGGATGCCTGCTGCTGCTGCGAAGAAGAAGAAGTGTGCTGCAGTGGCTTTGGAGAAGCTTGAGGGATCATAAATGCGCCATCTACGAGGCAAATCACGGCGGGTGTTTCAGGAGGCCTACAACTGGGATAAGTTTTTATTTTCGCGAGAAATCCAATGGAGTAAACTCTTGTTGCTGTTGTTTCTGCTGCTGCTGGCTTGAAGGAAGCAGTCAGGGAGGGAGCAGACAAAGCAAGCCCGTCTTCCGCGGTGTCTTCGTCTCCCCACGCATCCTTGGGAGTTGCCTTTTTCGTAGCCACATCGCTGCTGCTCGAAAGCTTTGCTGCTTCAGCACGTGGCGAGACTGCACGAGACAATGACAAACCCTTGCCGCTTGCAGAGGACGGAGATCGTGAGCGCCGTCGTCGAGCTGCTGTTGGAGGCTTCAAACTTGCAGCTGGTGCAGCTGGTGCAGCTGGTGCTGCTGGTGCTGCTGTTGCTGCTGGTGCAGCTGGTGCAGCTGTTGCAGCTGGTGCTGCTGCAGCGGCACCAGCTGCAGCGGCAGTTGCTTCACCTCCCCCAGAAGGTACAGCAGCGCGAGTAGTCACCGGCTGCTCTTGCTGCTCTTGCTGCTCTTGCTGCTTAGACGTCGTTTTCGAAGCCTTCCCGCTTTCTCCTGCTTTTGATGAGGAAAGCGGATGCACTGACGTGTCGCCTGCCACGCTGCTCGCTGCTGGCGCTGAAGTCTTGGTGGCAGCAGCAGCAGCAGAAGACTCTGCATGTGCTACAGCACTGCTGCTGCTGCTGCTGCTGGAAGGCAGCGGTGTGGGAGGTACCGCGCTCCACTCGCTGATGTGAGGCTTCGACGGCTGCTGTTGCTGCTGCTGCATTTGCTGTTGCTGCTGCATTTGCTGTTGCTGCTGCATTTGCTGCTGCATTTGCTGGTGCTGCACGCGTCTTCGTTCTTCAGCCTTGACTGCGTCTTTTCTTCCTTGAGGCAGTGCAAATCGCTGCCACTGCCCAGGTAGAAGAGGTGTCTCTGCTTCGAGTTGTTGCGGTTGTTGCTGCGCTCGCTTCACGAATGGTCTCGCCTTTGGCCATATGGGAGTAGCAGAAGAGTCTTCTTCTTCCTGCATTTGCTGCTGCACTTGCTGCTGCTGTTGCTGCTGCTGTTGCTGCTGCACTTGCTGCTGCACTTGCTGCGCCTCCCCCTTCGCAGCAGCAGCTGCGGCTGTCGCGACTGCGCTTCCTCCCCCGACAGGCTGCTTCTCGGAGTCGTCGATCCCAGATGCAGCAGAAGACGTGACACCTCCTGCTGCATGTTCGGCAGCGGCAGATGCCGACGCGCTTACAGCCGTTTGCGGCTGCTGCATTTGCTGCTGCTGCTCGCCAGGCGTAGTTTGTCGAGGGGGGGGAGTCACCCACCGACCTAAGGGCAGTCTTCCAGAGCTCCACACTCCCGCTGGCTTTGGCAGCTGCTGCTGCTGCTGCTGCTGCTGCTGCTCCTTGTCTTGCTGCTGTTGCTGTTGCTGCTGCTGCTGCTTTTCTTGCGGCTCCTGTTTCTGCTGCTGCTGCTGCTGCTGCAAGGCAGCAGCAGCAGAAGCACCCTCTGCGCTCTCGGGAGGAAGCTGCTGCCGGTAGGGCAAGCGACGATGCGCATGCGCCGATTGGTGGAAAGTACCACCCCGACCACGAACAACACCCCCCCCCCCCGTGCCTCCCCTTCCGCTGCTGCTGCTGCTTCGATCAGACGACCAGGGGGGAGAAGGCGAAGAGGCTTCTTGCTGAGAAAACGATCCGCCACTGCTGCTGCCTCGCGGAGCAGTGCCTCCACGAGCACGACTGCTGCGTGCAGCAGCCGCTGCTGCTGCATGATGCGAGGAGGAGGGGGGATGGTGATTGTGGTGGGAGGAGTGAGGGTGGTTATGATGGTGGGAGGAGTGAGGGTGGTTATGATGGTGAGGGTGAGAATGGTGGGAGTGTTGCGCCCCCGACGTCGACAGCAGCTGCTGCTGCTGCTTTTCTTGCTGCTGCTTTTCTTGCTGCTGCTTTTCTTGCTGCTGCTCTCCTGAAGACGCTGTCGCGCTCCCTTGCTGCTGCTGCTGCTGCTGAGGTGATGGCGGAAGCTGCTTTACCGACGGTTCAGGAATATCCTTCGCAAGACGAGCTCGCATCGCCCAGGATAAACTGCTGCTGCTGCTGCTGCTGCTGCTGCTGCTGCTGCTCCCTCCTCCTCCGCCTCTGTCTGCTGTAACTGCTGCCACTGTTTTTGCTGTTTCTGCAACTGCCCCTGCAGGAGCTGGCAAAGCATCCTGAGCGCTGCTCGCAGACTCACCCCCTGTCTCTACTCCTCCTGACACCGCTAAGGTCCGCTGCCAATTTTCTTCTGAAGAAACTTGCTGCTGCTGCTGCTGCTGCTGCTGCTGCTGCTGCTGCTGCTGTTGCTGCTGCTGCTGCTGCTGCTGCTGCTGCTGCTTTTCCTTCAAAGCCTCTGGAGGTGACCCCGAAGTGCGCCTAACGGCCCATTGTTGCTGCTGCTGCTGCTGCTGCTGCTGCTGCTGCTGAGGCTCCTGCCTGCTGCTGCTGCTGCTGCTGCTGCTGCTGCTCGCTGTAGCGACACCTGCAACCCCTCCCACCGCAAAGTCAGTTTGTCTTGCTGCTGGCTTTGGCTTGCAAGCCTTCACCTTGTCTACCCAGCTTGATCCACTACTGCTGCTGCTGTTGCTGTTGCTGCTTGCAGACGCTGCTGCTGCTGCCACCGACTGCTGCTGCTGTTGCTGCTGCTGCTGCTGCTGCTGCTGCTGCTGTTTGGCTGTGCCAGACAAAGCCATGGTGCTGCGTCTCGAAGAGTCACCAGCTGCCTCGGCAGTCACCTCTGCCCCTGCAGCAGAGCTCTCCTCGCGACTCTGCGAGGAAGCCTTGCTGGCAGCAGCAGCAGCAGCTCCTCCTGCTGCTGCTGCAGGCGCAGCGGCAGTCTCGGAGACTTGAAAGGCGGATGAGCCTGCCGAAGCACCTGTGGTGAGGGGAGGGGACTGTAAGCCAACCACCGTCTCAGAGATGCGCTTCCCACTCTGAACAACCCCACCAGCACTCTGCGGCTTTGCCTGTTTTATCTGCTGCTGCTGCTGCTCTTCCAGTTGCGCCTTCGACGCAGCAGCAGACGTCTCACTGACTGCCGCCGCTGCCTTCTTCGACGGCGAGGCACGAACCTTCTCACACCACGACTCCACTCTGCTGCCGTCTGCTGCTGCTGCTGCTGCTGCTGCCGTTTTTGTTGCAGTTGCTGCTGCTGATCCTTCCGAAGCAGAAGTGTTGTCGGAAGGCGACCATGGAAAGCTAGCAGTTCTCCCCGCAGCTCCTTCCGCGGCTGGCTGCTGCTGCTGCTGCTGCTGCTGCAGCTGTTGCTGCTTGGCAGCCGCTCCCTCTTTGGGTTCAGACTGCGTCTGTTGCGTAGAACCGTTAGACTTCTTCGAAGCAGCCGTCCCCTTCAGCAGCCTATCTCTGAAAGAACCTCCTGGCAAAGTTTGCTGCTGCTGCTCAATAATGCCGCTGACGGGAGGAGGAGGTGGGGGGGGGGGCGGAAGCTGTTGCTGTTGCTGCTGTTGCTGCGACTGCTCCTGTTGCTGCGACTGCTCCTGTTGCTGCGACTGCTCCTGCTGCTGCGACTGCTGCTGCTGCTGCTGCGGTGTAGGGGGAGCAGCTGCTGGAGAGGCTTGGTGTTGGTGGTTGCCTGCCCAACGGCGAGAGCCGTTTCCTCCTGCGGCAGCAGCGCCTTTGTGCAACTGCGTTTGATGCTGCCTAGTCGTTCTCGTGTGGCGTTGCTGCTGCTGCTGCTGCTGAGCGGAAGCGTACACTGCAGGATAGCCGTAAGGAGGAGCGACTGCTGGAGAAGGATAATAGACAGGGGACGGAGCCGCACAGGCATAGCCTGCAGCAGCAGCTGTTGCTGCTGCTGCTGTAGTGTTGGGGAGCACGTAGAGGCGACCAGGAACGAATTCTTGTGCGTTGCGATTGAACTGATACGCCTTCCCGCCGTTGTTGGGTGGACTGTTGCTGTTGCTGCTGCTATTGGTGTGAGCGTTATTGTTGCTGTGCGTGTTGCTGCTAGCCAGCGCAGACTGCTGAGAAGGGGGGGAAACAGCCTTTGTGAGCGGCGTAAATTCGGAGGCGTCAGCTCTGAGTGTGGAGCGATTAGAGCTGTGTGGCTGCTGCTGCTGCTGCTGCTGCTGCTGCTGCTGTTGCTGCTTATTAGCAGCAGCAGTTGAGAGACTGCCGCTGGAGCTGTTTGCTGAAGCGCCTGGAGGGGAGGCAGTGCTGCTGCTGCTGCTGCTGCTGCCTTCGTTGTCTGCAGCAGCAGCGGCGTGCTGCTGCTGCTGCTGCTGCAGCTTGAGGAGGCTAGCGTTGTGGGGAGTGACTGTATCTGCTTCTGCGGCAGACATCCTCACCAGAGGCAATCAACGCGCTGCAGCTGCGCAACACCTCTGGCGAGAACGTAAAGCCTCGCCAACACTTGAAGAATCTCCCTAATCGCAAAAGGCCACAAAGCCTTTCGTCAACTGACAGGAGTTTTCTGCGCTTCGTGCCGATGTCTTATTGGCTGCTGCTGCTGCTGCTGCTGCTGCTGCTGTTGCTGCTGTTGCTGCTGCTCCACGTGCGCGCTGCACGGCGCAAAGGATTTACTGCCAAGATGGCTTTGAAAGGCCCTCTGTATGTATATATATATGTATATATGTATATATATGTATATATATATATGTATATATATATGTATATATGTATATGTAAATATGACGGCTTTGGGCGGAAAAAAGGCACCAGAAAATCCCCCGAGAAAGGATGTCGTAAGATGGCGTATATTTATAGATACGTGTATGTATATATATAAATATATATATATGTACACATGCACTAGCAGCAGGAAGCACAAAAAACTTGCCCGCTGCAGCCACCCACAGAATGCGACACACCTGTTGGTGCTCCTGCTGCAGCAGCAAGGAACGTTTTCCGATGCGTTTTCGTCCACGTTAGAAGGTGCGGAAATCTGCTTCCATCCTCCTGCTCGTGTTGCTGCCTGATGATGCTGATGCTAGGAAGTGTGCACAAGGCACAAAGGACCCCACAACGCTAACAAGAGCCAGCTAGCTGGCGTGTTGTTGCTCTTGATGTCGCTGCTCTTCTTCTTGTCGCTGCTCTTGTTGTCGCTGCTCTTCTTGTCGCTGCTCTTCTTGTCGCTGCTCTTGTTGTTGCTGCTATCAGTGTTGCTTCAAATGGTTGCTGCTGCTGCTTCTGAGCAGCGAGCACTCCCCACTCTGCGCTCTCCTCAAAAAGAGATGACTACTGCACCCAAAACGTGGTGGCTGTAGGTGGGGGATATAGGAGTGCTCGAAAGGCCTCTTGCTGGAGCAGCAACTTCTCGCTGCTGAAAAGAAAGTCGCTGGAATTTTAGAAGCGAATTGCGTGGCGTTTGGAGGGATGACAGAGGGGGCAGGGGAGAGCGCACGCGGGGAAGGTAGGGGGTGGGAAGCAGGGGAGGATCGAAGGCAGGCGTTTTGCAGGCGAACTTTGCAGAGCGTCGAAGTCTCCTTCTGCTCTGCCTGTCTCTGCCTCTGGAGCGCTACACCTGCGTCGAGTGCGATGAAGCGCGAGAACGAATGCTGGATATCTCTGTGCTGCAGCGGCAGGAGGGGTTGCAGCGAGAGCTGCAGCGGGAAGGCGCGAGAAACTGCCGCCGTGTGCGAAGATACAGAGGAGAGGGGCGATTGCAACGCTATAGAACTATATATAAATATCTATGCGAAACGCGCAAGTGAGCGTACTACGGAAGAGCAGCAGCCACGCTCTCTGCTGCTGCTGCTCTTACTGCAGCGGCTGCAGCCAGACTTCGGAGCTTCCAGTGCGCAACTGCACAGCGCAGCGCAGTCTCAAGGGATTTTCGAAGTGCCTCCAAACAAGGGAGAAACAGCCGAACAGATGCAAGCCGCGCGCGTGCAGCAGGAGAAGGAGTAGGAGCAGGAGCAGCAGCAGCAGCAGTAGCAGCAGCAGCAGCAGCAGCTGCTGCTGCTGCTGCTGTGTGGGGGAACGCAGAACCAGCAGCAGCAGCAGCAGCAGCTGCTACCGCCTCGGGTGCATTCACTGCGCATTTTTGATCTTTTATTTCTGTTCCTTCTAGTTGTTTGTAGTTGCTGCTTCTGCCGCACTCAATCAGTCCATGAGTTAAAGCGAACACCGCTTTAAACGCTTCCGCCGCTGCACTGAACGGCCCTCTAAGAGCGCCTTGTTGTTCGTCTAGCAGCAACAGCAGAAACAGAAGAAATTGCGACATCAGCAAGAGCAACAGCCGCCACACGACGGTAAGGCAGCAACCACGCAGCACCAGCAGCAGCAGCTCGACTTCTCTCTAAAGCCTTCTCGTCTTCCTTCCAGGCTGCAATCTGAACTAGAAGGCATTCCAAAACGCGGCAGGTTGATTGCCGCGAGGCCAAGTGATATTCGCAGTGCAGAAAAAAATGCCTTTTTGCCGCACCAAGGCAGTGGCAAAAGCTTCGAGTTCGTGCGGTGTTCTAACGGATGGCTTCCTGCACGCTCCTCCAAATGAGGAGTCTACCGTAGCAAGTAGATATTTTCGGAGAAACGCATGCTCTCCAGCCAGTTTAGGTGTTCGTGTATTGGCTACAGGCTGCTAGTCTGTGTGTCTGGCCGACGGCCCTTCAGAAATCCTGTAGCTGTGCGGCGAAGGAGGGGGAACACGTACTTTTGCCATAGCGTAGACTAACCTGTATGTACACCGTGAACTGTCACTGCCGTTTCATGGGGGATGCTCCGCGTGCTTGCGCCTTGGAACGCGGCAAGAGGCGCAGGCTTCGCCTTCAAACTCCATGCCACACAGAGAGCATGGAGTTTTCTCCGAGGTTTGACACGTTGCACTGGAGAGAAATCGCACTCCTCTTCTTCGCCTTTTTACCGAAGAGCTGCCGAAAGGACTCAGATACACCTAAATCCTTCCTACGCCACCAGCTCGATGCAGCAAAATGAGTCTAGAAGTCTGCCTGCTTCGAGCGTAGCTGCTTGCATGCACATCCTTCTCGGTGGGGAGGGGAGGAATAAACAGGTGGCAAATTGATTCAATAGGAAGATCGGGTGTATCCGCGAGCGGTGCAGGTTGTCAGCGACTAACTGTGAAGGCTGCTGGATTTAGCGAGCTGGCTACAGCATGCAGCTATGCTCATGCATCCCGGCATGCTTTTTAGCTGTATCGCTCGCCAGCAGAAAGAGAACCGCACGCTTCCTTGTTGAGAAATACCGAGTTCATCACCATTTTCGTTTGCACATGGAGTCTGCGGCTCTCAGTGTCCCCTTAGGGAGAACTTCGCCAAATGTGGCACGACTTCGTGGGAATTTATTCATCAAACTGCCTTTCGAAAAGTCTGCCGCCAACGTTCCTGGCATCCTTAGTCCACTAGGCCTTCGCGTTGAGGGGGCAGAGGGCAAGAATTAGAGGCAGCAAGGGGCAAGAACGTTGCTGCACACTCCCTCAGCTCTCCCTCCGTTCTCCCCTCCTTCGTTCCCCTCTCCAACACACGGCAGCCTGCATGCAGCAGCAGCAGCTGCGCACGAGTAGCTACGGAGCGCTAGCTTTTCGACTACGGAACTGCCCCGAAAAAATTTCACACGCTGCACCAACAAATACCGCGAACACGAACAGCGGGAGCTCTCAATCGTCCGGCGATGATTACACTCATGCGCGCGTCGTAGTAGCTGGTGTGATCACGCATTCCCACGTCGCTAGTTGCAACGGCCACACTAGGCAAAGAAGATGCGGGAGGCTGTTTTTGCGAGCTGGCATCCGCAACATCGCGCTTCATGGCAACTCGGAGTATCAACTAAAAAGAACCCGTAGAGCACTGACCATCCTCTGCAGACGCTACTTTGGATGGGCAGAAGGGCATAGCAGTGATTTCCCTTATTCTCCCCTGCTTCCCCCCAGGAGCTGCACGCTTGGCAGGCGTCTTAGGAGCCGCAGGAAGAATTTCCTCGCACGCTTTGAAACACCCACGGAAGGCTAGGGAGGATTTGGAGGGCCAAATCCATCGCAAGGCAGCAGGCTTTCTAAGCCTACCTATTCGCCTCTGACAATGCTTGAATGCCTTAAAGATACCTCCCTCATAGATGTGTCTGTCTGTACAGCTGCGACTGCATCTGGCACGGCCGCTAGACAAGCCATGCAATTTTCCATGTACCTCCCCTCCCTCCTCCCCCCTTCCTTCTCTTCCAAAGCCTAACAAGTGCTGCGCATGCTATTTTCTATGTTATGGCGCCTCCGGCAAGGGCACTAGCGCTCTACGTTGGGTGGCGACACTTCGTCTTTCTGAGAGCTCTCGTGGCTTCACAAAAATCGAACTGCCAGGCCTGCCGTGCGACTCGGGAAGTCTGTGAGCGTGTGATAGATACCATTCATCACTCTTGGAGGAAGCTCTTTTCTGAAAAAAAACCGATATCACAAAACATTCCCCCGCTGTCTTTGCAGCTGGTTGTACACTCCGAGAGCATCCTTCAGCACTTCTGCCCGATCCAGCGCCTTAGGCCGCTGCCGCTGCTCCTCCTGCTGCTCAAGATGAGCAGCGGCTGCTGCTGCTAGAGGCTTCACTTGCTCCAGGAGAGCAGCTATTCGATGGCGGAGACACGCGTCTTGCTGAGTCGACAAAACTTGCGCTGCTTTCCCAGGAGACTTCAGGAGAGGCAGTGCGCATGCCTCCTCCTGCAGAACCTGATCCTGCTGCTGAAAATGCTGTTGCTGCTGGAGCGAGTCTTCAATTAGCAGTGCTGTTGGGAAGGCCACCTGCGCCGTATACAACAACAACAACCACAACCACCCCCCGCAGCGTAGCGCATACAACAACAACCACAACCCAAATCACCACCACCCCCACCCCTCCCCGCTTCCCTCTCCCGCTAAGTACGTCGCACGCGCCTGTGCATCTCTGACCAGAGTCAGCAGACTGCATGCGGCAGTGACAAGAGGAAGAAAAACTCCCAGTGGACCAGCAGCAGGCTCAGCATCCAATTCGCAACACACTTGAATGCGTTCCCTCAGATCAGGAGCGAGATGCGAGACGTTGCAAAAGACATCCAGCCTGCAAACACGCAACAGCCGAAGAGCAGCAACTGACAACTGCGGCCATGCGATAGGACGCCAGCAGCAGAATCATCATCATCATCATTAGCAGCAGCAGCAGAATCATGATCATCATCAGCAGCAGCAGAGTCTTTATCATCATCATCAGCAGCAGAATCATCATCATCATCAGCAGCAGCAGAGTCTTCATCATCATCAGCAGCAGCAGAATCATCATCATCAGCAGCAGCAGCAGAGTCTTCATCATCATCATTAGCAGCAGAATCATCATCATCATCAGTAGCAGCAGAATCATCATCATCAGCAGCAGAATCATCATCATCATCAGCAGCAGCAGCAGCAGAATCATCATCATCATCAGCAGAATCATCATCAGTAGCAGCAGCAGAATCATCATCATCAGCAGCAGCAGCAGAATCATCGTTAGTAGCAGCAGAATCATCGTTAGTAGCAGCAGAATCATCATCATCAGCAGCAGAAGAAACACTCCTTAAGCTGCTGCTGTCAGTTTGATGATACAGGAGCGGCCACCCTAATAAGACGACTTAGCGCCTTCATGATGAGCAGCTGTCTGTACAGCAGGGGCAGTAAATGCGGGCAGGCACACTTCAGTCCCATTGTCATCAAAATAAAAAATACACACAGCCTTCCCACAAAAAAAGGAGGAGGCTCTCTAAAAACGCATGCCAGCCCTCTGAAAAATCTCAAACTTTCTCGACTGACCATGGCCTCTTAGGAAACAGCCGCCGTATGGCAACGCGCACTGACAGATCGTCGAATGCTGCCAGACTCGCGTTTTCGCTGCTGTTGTTGCTGTTGCTGCTGTCTATGTTGCTGCCGTCATTGCTACTGTCATTGCTGCTGCTGCTGTCACTGCTGCTGCTGTTGCTGTCACTGCTACTGCTGTCAATGTTGCTGCTGTCATTGGTATTGTTGTTGGTGTTGCTGTTGCACTGCAAAGTTGCTGCATCTATCACAAAGCAGACGGCAGCCGGAGTCGCTCCTAACACAGCACGCTGCACAAAGAAGCACATGCACATGCACATCTAAACGCAACACAGTGTCAGCCGCAAAGGCATTGCAAGGAGCTTGCATATCCGAAACTGCCGAGCAGGGGGAGCGAAGGGGGGGGAGACATACTGCAAACAGAAACGGCATAGTCGTGTCAGGGGCGTTTTTTGGCAGAGGCGGCAGCAGCAGCAGCTGCAGCACAGTACAGTACATACACAACACAGCACTTGCTATCCACACAGGGTTTGCGTGCATGTACATATATATAGATATGCATGATCTACGAACTGAAGACGTATACACATGCGAAATTCGTTTACCCTTCCAGCTGAGCCTGCCGATGCCAAAGAAAGACGCAAAGATCGCCAAAACGGAGACGATGAAACAAGGTTCCCTGTGCTTGCTGCTGCTGAGGCTGCTACAGCAGCAGCAGCAGCTGCTGCTGCTGATGTTGTGGAGAGAAAGCAGACGCATGGCCGTCTGTTCCACGCTCTCTGCATACAGACAAACACATACACAGAACAAGGGCTAGGAGTGGTTTGTCACGACGCAGCACTCTTTCACCGTCTCTGCTGCATGCAAAAGACAGCGCTGATGCTGCTGCCTCTCAGCCTTTTCAAAGCAGCAAGCCTTATTGAGAGCGTAGGCAGCACCGACACAAACACAAACAAACACACAAACAAATACACACAAACAAACACAAACACACAGAAACAAGCATACAAACAAATACACACAAACATACAAGCGAATACACAAACACACAGAAACAAACACACACAAACACAAACAAACACAAACAAACACACAAACAAATACAAACACACAAACAAACATACAAAGACATACACACAAACACACAAACAAATACACAAACACACAAACAAACACACACAAACACAAACAAATACACAAACAAACATGCAAACAAATTCAAACACACAGAAACAAACATGCAAACAACTACAAACACACAAACAAACATACAAACAAACATACAAACAAATACACACAAACACACAAACGAATACACAAACACACAAACAATCACACACAAACACAAACAAATACAAACAAACACAAACAAACAAACACAAACAAACAAACGAACACAAACACACAAACAAATACACACAAACAAACACACAGACACACACAGACACACACAAACACACACACAAACACACAAACAAATACACACAAATACACACACACAAACACACACAAACACAAACAAACACACTTCCAAGAGAAATCCCTTCTTGGTCAAATGATCAACGGTTGTCTTGAGCACTCTGTACTGCTGCAGCGTCGGTGCATGCAGCAGCAGAAGCCGCCTCAGCTTTGCGACGCCTTCTTTATAAGTCTGAGCAGCAGCAGTCAGCCCGCAGCACCAACACAGTCAGCATGCACGGCAGCTTCTGTCATGGAAAGAACTGCATGCACACCACGACTAGAAAACACACGCAAGCTGTGGACTGCACGCTTGCGGAGGCGAAGTCAGCGACACGCGAGCTCTGCGCATGCAACCATGCAGTAGCCGCAAAAGAGAGACAAGTCGAAGGGAGACAGAAGGGCGAGAATGTGAAAAGACGCCAACTAAGCAGGATGTCTACGCCTCGTTGAACAGTCTCCGTCTGCGTGCACGCCCGTACAGGGGTGTAGAAGGCTGGGAGGAGGGGGGAAGGTCGCTCTTGCGCGTGGAAACTACTTGAGCCTCGGCAGGCAGCACGAGATGGCAAGACGCAAGGCAAAGAGCAGACGGTCAAAACAGAAGGGAAGACATACCCGGAGAACAGCCAGGCGAGAACCCCTTCGACCTGACTCGCGAACCTCGCTAGAGATGCGTTTTGCTGCATGCACAGCGGCGACAGCCTCGAGAAACTCCCTAAGTTGCAGCTGGCGCCACGAGGAGACAACACGAAAAACGCGGCAGCGCTGCACGGCTGAAGGTGCACTGGGCAGTGCCACTGAGGGGCTTAGCGGCGGCAGCGGTGGGGAAGAAGGGCTTTCGCGCATGCAAGCAAGAAGCCTTCACTTCAAAGACGTGTCAGTTCAACTTGGAAAGCGGAAGGGAGGGGGAGGGAGGCGTACTCCGATGGCTATCTCCTTACCCGAGGAGATCACTGCCTGGTGTAAAAGTCGCAGCTGCAGCCGCACACGCGCAATCGTTTCCATCGACAGCGGCTGCTGCTGCTGGTGAGGCTGCTCTTGCTGGCGAAGAGACAGACTCAGCAACTGCCGCGTTGCTGGATCTGGTACGCGGGAGGGAAAGCTCTTCAAGGCTGCAGCAGCAGCCGCAGCCGCCCTCGTTGTCTGCACCGCGTACTGCTGCAGCGCCACAGTCGCAGCTGCAGCTGCTGCCGCTGCGGGAGTTCTCTCAGCCGTAGGCAGCGGCTGCTGCAGCGGCGGCTGTACAGACAGCAGAGCCTCTATGGGAGGACATGCAGGCAAGACATAGGGAGTCGGTTCTGCCTGGAGCGCCTTTGTGGCTCCCCAGTGCTCGGCGACAGCCGCGCCAAATCGCCATGCCTTCTCCCCGCGAAGCAGAGAGCGAGCGCTGGGTGGCACTTGCCGAGCAGACGCGGCATGCGGCTGCCTTCGGCTGGGCAGGGGAGACTCCCGAAAAAAGGCGAAAAGGCCTCTGATCGGAAACCCCAGGCAGAACGCTACACACAACGGCGTCAAAAATCGCACAAACGAGCCACAGAAAGCCCTCATTCGTGGATTTTGCGGCTGGAGGGCATACACCCATAAAAACACACACACACCCATACACACCCATACACCTCCGCCTCCGATGCAGGCAGCACAGAGGTCCCTCCAGAATCACATTCATGCGAACAACATCGAGAACACATCACGCAGCCTCATTTAGGATCATGCAAAATTCAATCTGCATATGCAAGCAGACAAAAAGCGAGAAGGACGCAGTGCAGCGTCATTGGGAGAGCAGCGGGTGGGGGGGGCCCCTCTCCCTCTTGCTCGTCTTCGCCTAGGCGGGCATTACGGAGTTTGCGCTTTAATAAAATTGAGCTTCGTTTCTTTCCTGAAATCTCATAAAGGGTTGCTGCGTGGTTGTGAGATAGAAGGCACGAAGGAAGGATGCCTGGCGCTGGAAGGATGCCTGGCGCTGCCCGTCGTCTTCCAGCAAGACATACACAGGACGACCTTCCTTCCAAAGAAAGTCACCCTTTGGACTACGAAGGGAGTGGGGGGGAAAGGAGGGAGAAAGGAGGGTTCCTAACTCTGCGGGAGCAGCTAAGAGCGCAGCGCATGCGCTATGCTCCATTTGAACCGAGAGAAACACGAGGCGGCCATAATTCTGCTAGAACGCGCACCCCTCAGCCTTCCAACCCCAGCGACTACGCCCCAAAACAGAAGCTACACTCCAGACAACGGCTCCGGCGTTTTCACCTATACACCCTAACCAGTGGTACATCCTGGCTTTGACTGCACCCTAAATCTTGGTGCGTTCGTCGAGGCCATTACTGCCTACAATCTGTGGATTCTTGTTTCAGCTCAGCTATGCACTGCACAGCCCTAGCAAGGCTAGCTACGCGCACTTCGCGAAAAGGAAAGAATACATCTGCGGCATCTTGGACGCGTGTTTTCCGCGTCCAAGATGCCGCAGACACCTCCTTAACAGCAAATACACTCCAGATGGTTCCTTGACCGAATGGGAAAAAGCAAGCACCAAAACACAGAGATAGCTAGATAGCTAGATAGATCGAGGTAGATAGATACAGACACACAGACAGACAGAAGGTTGGCTGTTACAGCTGTTGCAGCACAGTGCTCGATATTGCAACCAGCGCTCATGGAGATTCCAGGAGTGCCGCTGCCTGAACGCAGTTGTTGCATCCGTACACCCCAAATTTGGCATACGTTTGCCCTTCACAAGGGGCCTCGGCAGACGTTTAATCCGCAGCCATCGAGCGCCGCGAAACTGCCACCAACAACAGCACTAGACGGCAGCTGCAAAGGGCCGAAGGGCCAGCAGAGAGTATTTCGCCTAACAGCCTACCAGCCTCTGTCTGCATGCAGCGACATCTTGCTGCGAGAAGCCGAAAGGCTTTCCGTTCGAGATGACCGCCGCAAAGAGGCACAAGAAAATCCCGCAGTCGTCACACCCCTCCTGAGACGGAGCCTTAAACAAATTGCATTTGCTGCTGCCGCTGCTATTGCAGTCCGTGAACATGCTTCCTGCCCGCATTTCAATAGTTCCCTTGGGAAACTCCTCACGTTGCACTAAGGCGTCCTCAGCGGCGCACTGCTCTTGAGCCAGAGGCTCCGCCGAAGGCTGAGAGGCCGCACTGCCCGTCTGCTGCTTTTGCAACAGCTGCTGCTGCAGCTGCAGCTGCTTCTCGCTATTAGACACTTCATAAGAGAACTCACAGGGCAGCGCGGCACCCCAGTGAGGTGGCGTTGCACCTCAAAAAAAATCTACAACCCAAACAAACTCCCCTTTTGTGAGTCTTTCTCACCACCTGCAAAAACCACACCTACACAGGGAAGACCGCCACAACGCAAGTTCAGCGCACCACTCGCGCCAAGCGTCTTCCCGCCTTCTGTCGATAAAGAAGTGAGGGCTTCGTGAAATGTCTCAAACTGTTGCGACAGCAGCGCGTCAAACACGAAGGTAAGGTCCCGACTGCAGCAGATGGCTCGCCAACAGACATGCGTGTCGCAGAAAAAAACACCTCGAGCGAGAGGCGAAGTAAAAAATCGAGTACGCCCAGCAAAGGAGCGCAGCGTCCTACGAATTGAGCTGCTGCCGCTGCAACAGCAGCAGTCCCCGTTGAGTCACAGCAGCGATCAAACCATCGTCCTAAGCAGCAGCAATGCACTCTTAGCAGCAGCAGCAGTATAGTCTTAGCAGCAAAAATGCTGCCTTAGTAGCAGCAATGCAGTAGAGTCTTAGCAGCAGCAATGCAGTATAGTCTTAGCAGCAAGAATGCAGACTTCGCAGCAGCAATGCAGTATAGTCTTAAGAGCAAGAATGCAGCCTTAGCAGCAGCAATGCAGTAGAGTCTTAACAGCAAGAATGCAGTCTTAGCAGCAGCAATGCAGTATAGTATTAGCAGCAAGAATGCAGCCTTAGCAGCAGCAACGAAGCCTTAGCAGCAGCAATGCAGTATGGTTTTAGCCTCAGCAGCAGTACGTAGCCTTACGCCATGTCTACAACCCCAAAGACCAATGGACGTTACGGAGATGCAGCGGCACCAAAAAAAGCGAAACGAGAACATGTCTGATCCGCGTAGCCATCTCTGACGCCACATGTCACAATATCAGAGATTCCAAGCAGCAAGACCTTCGAGACACGCTACAGAGTAGCGCATGCATGCATGCATGCATGCACGGGAACTCCTAGGATTCTGGAGCTTAGCGCATGCACGCGCCTGAATTCTGGCATAGTCTGCAGGTTTAGATCTGCTTTGAAGCATTGCAAAGAAGAAGGCTTTTAGGATGCAGACACGCGGTACGCTGCAGCGCCAGAAAATCCCTACTCATCGCGCTTGAAAACACTATTAACTCATCTAGCCAGCTAACTAGCCTAGCTGCAGCAGCGGCTGCACATGAAATGAAATATCTCCCGCTTTTAACCTTTAAATATGTATACATACATATACATATATATATTTATATATATTTACTTATAAGTTTTAAAAAAGGTCCCTGCCGTTGCCGCCGCTGCCGCTAATACTGCAACTGCAACTGCCGAAGTCGCGCGCTGCATTTTACGCGTTGGCAACATGCGCACCATTAAAGGCATTCGCGAAAGCTACAGAAAAGCCCCCTTTTCTTCGCCTCTCCTCCCTTCAAAGCACCGTATGAAGTCTGCTTGATGCCTTTCGTGATTCAGCACTTGCAGGTGCTTCAGAAACGCATGGAGGACGCCATCATCTAGCCAGCGTCTGTCTCGCAGTCTCTGGAAACCTCGCAACAGTACCGGCGCTGCCGCCGTTTTTTCGGCTGCCGCTGCAGGCTGTACGTACACCCCAATCGGAGTCTGCTGCTGGAGCAGACTGCAAAAGGGGCTTCGTTCCTGTGGCTGCTCTTGTTGCCGCATTTGCTTCTGCTGTTGTTGCCGCCTCATGCGCTGCCGCTTTCGCCGCGGGGAAAAACTTGAAGCGAGCGGCGCCTAAAGCAGCAGGTCTGCCATGGCGGAAGTTGCTGAGACACACCCGCAGCAGTAGCAGTAGTAGTAGGAGTAGCAGTCGTAGTAGGAGTAGGAGTAGCAACAGCACGAACAGCACGAACAGCAACGGCAGCAGCAACAGCAACAACACGCTGCGAGCTTACTCCGACTTGGCGTTGGCAGCAGCAGCGCGGATGAGAAAAGTCGTTTACTGCAGCGTCTGATCAGCAAGAGAGAACGCGTGCATCACCCGTTGGTCGAGCTCTGCCATTTTTTTACATGCCTTGCATGTACACTTGCGAAAAACATTTTGTATCGCCGCTGCATGATCTGCCTCACAGACCAACCCGCACTCAGGCGATGCCGAAGAGAGCCACGCTTCCACTGCGCAGAGGCGGAAGCGCCGCTGGAGTGTCTGTACACCACAACCCCCAGCAGCACAGGCAGCACAAGCAGCAGGAGCAGGAGCAGTCACACGAGTGAGCAGGAAGAAAAAAACGGCGAACCCTCGACAGAGCCTTCTAAACACCAGAAGGGACGCTGGAGAGACGGTGGAAATCCCCGTATAAGCCACATCTGCTGCTGAAAACACCCCAGCAAGTATGCATGTATGCATGCGCGCACTTAGGCTGACGGCATGAGCTCTCGAGATCCTCCACCCGTTTGTCGGGAGTTGCCTGCGCAGAGCTGCAGGCTTTACGGACGCATGCAGACGCAGAAAGGCTCGCTGCATGCGCTTTTTCCCGTGTGTCGCTCTCGCCGCTGCCAGACCTCTGCATGCACCCGCACTGTCACGACACGAGCGAAAAAAACTCCCGAGGCCTCCTCCATGAGCCTAATGCGCAAGAGTTGAGTGGTTTGCACATGCGAAGCGCTCACTTGTGCGGAATGGCGATCTGCAGGGAGAGAGCGAGGAGCGAGTCTGTGGTCGCTCCGTCCAAGAGCGAAAACCGTTAGCTGTATTGCCGCCAAAACGCCTCCTAAAGACGCTAAAGTAAAGCAAGCAGCGCGAGGCAAAAAGAGGAGGGAATTCTCCACAGTAACGTTGCTACAACGACGAGCGATACTGTAGCGACACCCGCACGAACGCTCCGCTTGTAGTATAGTGGCTGTGCACGTCTCGAGGGCTGTGTTTCGCTGAAACAGACGCAGAGCATGGGCAGAAACAAGAAAAAGTGCAGGAAAAACTGCAGCAGTAGCCTCACCAGCAGCAACAGCAGCAGCAACAGCTGCTGGCGCATGCTGCACGGCAGTGAAGAAGGCCGCTGCGTTTTGCATGCATGCGCTTCTGAGCAGCAGCGGGAGAACGTAGGAGACTGGAGCCGCTATTTTTGCGGCGATGGCTGAGGCAAGCCGAAGTAATCCTTTACTTCTTAGCAAATGCTGCTGCTCCTTGGGTGTCTAGTGCCAGCAGAAGCAGCGGCAGCTACGGCAGTTCTGCAGCAGCAACTCCACTAGCAGCAGCGGCAGCGGCTGCAGCAGCCTCTGGCGTCTGCTCCTTGCAGCAACACTGCTGCGTTTTTGTCTGCTGCCTCTTGGAGTGCCTCCCTCCTGCACCCCCTTTACAGCGGCTTGCGTGGACGAAACGTTAGACTTCTTTCCTCGCTGTTGGTGGCAGCAGCAGCAGCAGCAGCAGCAGCAGCAGCAGCAGCAGCAGTTGGTCCTATTGGAAGGAGGGGGGCCTCTTGGGGGGCCCCAGTGTCTGTACAGCGGCGGAGGCGTAAGCCCTCGTTGTGTTTGCTGCTGCTCTCTTCGGAAAACGCAGGCAGGAGCAGCAGCAGCAGCAGCAGCTGCTGCTGCTGCTGGTTGTTGTTGTTGTTGTTCTTGTCGTGGTAGCGCGAAGTCACAGCTGCAACGGTCGCCTCACGCCTCACGTCGTTGCGCTGCAATTACAGTAGGAGAGTAGTAGCAGCAGCAGCAAGTCGAGCAGCAGCAGCAGCAAGTCGAGCAGCCACTGCAAAGGCCGTTTCTTCTCCAGCCCGTCTCTCTTTCACCCCTCCTTCTCTCTTTTATCCCTTCGTCTCTCTTTCATCCCTCCTTCTCTCTTTTATCCCTCCTCTCTTTCACCCCTCCGTCTCTCTTCCACCCCTCCTTCTCTCTTTTATCCCTCTTTCTCTCTTTCATCCCTCCTTCTCTCTTTCACCCAATTCCCCACGCTTTTCCCGCCAATCGCAAGGCGTTAGTTTTTCGCATTTGCTCTCCTAGACACGACGTGCGCAGCTATGAGTCGCAGCAGCTCCAGCAGACACGCAGGAAGGCGAGACAGCCGTAGCCACTGCAGGCTTTCGGGGGGAACGCTTCCAGGCGCAGCGATGCGAAGGCGAGACGCTTCTTCTCACACCAGTCAGCAGCAGCACAGTGCCAAGAGGCATGCAGCCGGCTCTACCAAGCCTGCTTGGGAAAGAGAGAGGCTGAGAGACTGGAGGGGACGAGAGAGCAGCAGAGAGGGGCAGCAGCAGCACGTGCACCACCCCCTCCCCTCTTCTTCACACCGACTGCATCTCTCCTCGACGTCTCACCGTCTCAGCAGGAGGGAAACTTCTGCAGAGGAAGTGTGCCCTTTGAAGTGCTACAGAGGGGGGGAGGGGGGCAGTCGAGACAGAGTGGAGAGAGCGCCTTTCGGCAGCCGGCAGCGAGATCGACGCAGCAACTCGAGGGGAAGAGGAAGGGGTGGCAGCAGCCAGAGACAGCGCAAAACAAGCAATCGCGTGCACGAAGAGAGGCTCCATCGCAGCACAGCCTCCGCTTCTCCCCCTTTGCCTCATAGGGGCAGACATCGAAAATCAAGAGGCGATGCAGGTGCGTTGGCACGAGGGAGAAGAGGGAGCCAAGGAAGGAACGGAGGGGATAGAGGGGATGTAGAGACAGCTAGCGCCTTGCTGCTACTGTTGCTGGCAGTCGCGTTGCTGTTTTCTGCTCTTATATGCTGCTATTGCTGATGCTAATGTTTCTGCTGATACTGATGTTGTTGCTGCTACTGTTGCTGGTAGGCGCGTTGCTGTTTTCTGCTCTTATATGCTGCTATTGCTGATGCTGATACTGATGTTGCTGCTGATACCGTTGCTGGCAGTCGTATTGCTGTTTTCTGCTCTTATGTGCTGCTATTGCTGATACTGATGTTTCTGCTGATACTGATGTTTCTGCTGATACTGTTGCTGGCAGTCGCGTTGCTGTTTTCTGCTCTTATGTGCTGCTATTGCTGATGCTGATGTTTCTGCTGATACTGATGTTGCTGCTGATACTGTTGCTGGCAGTCGTATTGTTGTTTTCTGCTCTTATGTGCTGCTATTGCTGATGCTGATGTTTCTGCTGATACTGATGTTTCTGCTGATACTGCTGCTAGCAGTCGTATTACTGTTTTCTGCTCTTATATGCTGCTATTGCTGATGCTGATACTGATGTTTCTGCTGATACTGATGTTGCTGCTGATACTGTTGATGGTAGTCGCGTTCCTGTTTTCTGCTCTTATATGCTGCTATTGCTGATGCTGATACTGATGATGCTGCTGATACTGTTGATACTGTTGCTGGCAGTCGTGTTACTGTTTTCTGCTCTTATATGCTGCTATTGCTGGTGCTGATGTTTCTACTGATACTGATGTTGCTGCTACTGTTGCTGGCAGTCGTATTGCTGTTTTCTGCTCTTATATGCTGCTATTGCTGATGCTGATACTGATGTTTCTGCTGATGCTGGTGCTAAGGTTGCTGCTCCTCTTTCTACTGTTACTGCTATTTTTCCTGTTACTGCTATTTTTGCTATTACTACTGTATTTTTGTTACTGCTATTTTTACTGTTATTTTTACCGTTGCTCCTATTTTTACTGTTACTACTATTTTACTCATATTTTTACTAATACTTTTACTGTTGCTACTATTTTTCTTGCCTTTGCTGCTGCTTTTTTTGTGTTTGTGCTGCTGAGGGGGCCCAAGCGTCTGCGCTTGGCATTTGATATGAGGTGTCAGGGTGTTGTTAGCTACATTGTTGTGTCGCAGATCCAAGTTGGAGGCTTTCACGCCGCGATGATGAGCGGCGCTATCCGAGAACTCCTCGACGGGAAAGCGGCAGCGGCAGTTGGCGGAGAAGCAGCTGCAGCAGCAGCGGCGTGAGTCGTCGTCGCTCGACAGCAGATAGGCACCGCGACACCACAGCGACTGCAACGGGGGGCAGGGAGATGAAGCAAAAAGCGAGCAGGGAGAGGAGGAGACACGCGTACTCCTCTCGGAGTCAGCGGCAGTTGATGAAACCTGCGAATGGAGTGCCCCCTCCCCCCTCCTCAGCCTCTCGCATGATCGAGAGCAGTCGCCACAAACAAGAACGCAGGAGCAGAAGGGATGCAGCAGGGAGCAGCAGCAAGAAGCTGCAGCAGCAACTGCCCCACAGCCACCTGCCGCTGCTCCAGCAGGAGCAGCAGCCTCCCCCTGCTGCGCAGCAAGCCGCGCGCAAGAGCTTGAAGAAACAGAACAAAGACAGCAGCAGAGACGAGATCACACACTTCTCCTGGCAGCCGGGGATGTGGCTAAGCGACAGATACCGTGTGCTTGCAAAGTTAGGGGATGGCACATTTGGAAGAGTCTTACGATGTGCAGACGTCAGGCTCCAGACGCAAGTTGCTATCAAGGTGAGAATTCGTCTGCGTGCAGGTGTGGGAAGGGGGTGTAGGCAGGTGGGGTGGGTCAGGAGTGTTGTTGTGGGAGGCCTACGTGCATGCGTGAAAGGAAGGGTAGATTGATAGATGAGGGGGGTGGGCGGGCAGGAAAAGGGAAGGAAGGAGGAAGGAGGGGAGAGAAGGAGGAAGGAAGAAGGAAGGAGGGGGTTTATTCGCGTGAAAGAGTTTTGAGGGTGTAAAAGCTCGAAGTCACCAAATTTGCGACGTGTGTTTGTAGGTCGTGCGTGACGTGTCACGCTACACAGCAGCAGCTCAAATAGAAGCTGATATTTTGCGGGAAGTCAATCGAAAGGATCGACGAAGAGAGTCGCGTTGTGTTTCGTTGTTGGATGCCTTTATGCATCATCAGAAACACATGTGCCTCGTTTTTGAATGCTTGGGGAAGAGCCTCTACGACGTTCTAGCCGAAAACAAGTATCGAGGCTTTTATATGGAAGACATCGTTCAGGTAGCAAAACAAGGCCTTACTGCGCTCGCCTTCATGAGAGACTGCAAACTCGCGCATACGGATCTGAAGGTATGCCGCCATGTGAATCGACATGTATATATTATATATATTATATATATGTATTATAGATATGTATTATATATATTTGTATTACATATATATGTATATGTGTCTATGTATGTAGAGGGGCAGCGTTTTTGAACCTCGAGAGGCGTGTCTGTACTTTTGAGTGCGCCATTTTTTCTGGCTTCCGTCCAAGGTGGTGTTGTGCAAATCGTGTCAGTCAAGCTTCTCTCGAAATTCGTGGCGACGTCTCCGATGCAGGCTGCTGGCATATTCCAGTGGCTAGGAGTAATAAGGTCTTGTAGCCTGTACAGCTCGTCAAGTATGTGTGCCTGCGTGCGATACCAGCCAGAGAACATCCTGCTACAAGGCGAGGAGATGTATGAGACACGTCCTCCAAGGGTAAGAAAAGCTCCCTCGAAAGAAAAACACTGCTAAAAAATACGTGCGAGCTGCCAGTGCTGCTCCGCATTTCTGTCGGCGGCGCTATGGGCATGGCCTTTGCCACTACGGTTGGTGGATGCATGCCTGTACATATACGTTGGGATGTATGTATTTGTGTGTGCACTTGTATTTGTACTTGCATGTATCTTTTGTGCATGTGCATGTGTCTTTTGTGTATTTGCATGTATCTTTTCTGCATGTGCATGTATCTTTTGTGCATGTGCATGTATCTTTTGTGTATTTGCATGTATCTTTTGTGCATGTGCATGTATCTTTTGTGCATTTGCATGTATCTTTTGTGCATTTGCATGTATCTTTTCTGCACGTGCATGTATGTTTTGTGCATGTGCATGTATGTTTTGTGCATGTGCATGTGCATGTATATTTTCTGCATGTGCATGTATGTTTTGTGTATATGTATGCATCGGTGTGTATATATGTATGTGTGCTTGTGTGGAAAGCAGCCCTCAGAAGAGGACGATAACTCGGTGCCTTACTTGCGGCCAGACAGCATGCAAGTCAAGATCATTGATTTCGGGAGTGCAACATTTGAGGATGACTATCATTCATCGCTCATCAATACACGGCAGTACAGAGCACCTGAAGTGATTTTGGGTGAGCGCACATTTGCGAGCTTCTCCCTCCTTATGCATGCGACGGGTGCAGAATAATGAGGCACCTCGTTTGACACTGCGATCACAGTTGCATGCTGCATGCAGTGCTTGCTAGTTGCTGCTGCCTGCCTGAAATGCTCCTAATTTCTCGCATGCTGAAGCGCAAAACGTAGCCCATGAAAAAACCTTGAGAAATGGCATGCATGCATGCATCGTCGTCGTCGCTCCTATCCATGCGGCTGCTTGTGAAGCGACGGTATTCGAGGCGCTGCTGGTGCGTGGCTTCTTGTTTATAAAAGATCGTTTCCCGGTGTATGGACACGCAGATATTGGATGGGATATGGCGAGCGACATGTGGTCTTTGGGCTGCATCCTCATGGAATTGTATACTGGGGATGTACTTTTCCGCACTCATGAGCATCTTGAACACTTAGCCATGATGGTAAGCAGCAGCCCACGTTTAGTGCCTCTGCATTGACACCCCCGCCCCCCTCAAAACTGAGCTTCTCCCTTCTGCCTGTAGCGTTCTCCTTCGCATCATGCTCTAGTATATACTCCCTTATGCTCTAGTATATACTCCCTTATGCTCTAGTATATACTCCCTTATGCTCTAGTATAGACTCCCTTATGCTCTAGTATATACTCCCTTATGCTCTAGTATATACTCCCTTATGCTCTAGTATATACTCCCTTATGCTCTAGTATATACTCCCTGATGCTCTAGTATATACTCCCTTATGCTCTAGTATATACTCCCTTATGCTCTAGTATATACTCCCTTACGCTCTTGTATAGACTCCCTTACGCTCTTGTATATACTCCTTCTCACGATGCATCCTGGAGGCAGTGGATTCTTCACACTGCCTCTAGCTGCGTGTATCGTTTGTCTCTCGCTAGTGCGTCGTGTCTGCGCTGTCTGCAAGCGACACTGCATCCGCCTGTCGGCAAGCCGCGCGAGGCGGCCCTCTTGAACGAAACTTGTGCCTTGGCGCTGCGCCTGTGTTTGCATCCCTCTCTCCTGTACTTGCATGCTTGCATGCAAGTAAATGTACTCTGCTGCTGCTGCTATTATTGCTGCTGCTGCTGCTATTGCGGGTTCTGCAAAGTATCCATGTCTTGTTGTTGCCACCCTGTTGCCTCACAGCGCCCGCGTGGTACGATGACTGAGACCTTTGCTGTGGCTGGAGTTCACGGTGTCTTTTTGTGCACCCAAAGCTGTTGTTTGTGTTGTTTGCTGGTCTGCTTCGACGCCGCACAAACGCTGTGCCTTTCCTCACTGGAGCGTGTCTCTTCAGGAACGAATAGTTGAGCCATTTCCGGTGGAAATGCTGCAAAAAGCGCAGCGAGGGGCTGGAAAAGGCTACCTTGCAACGGACAGCCGCGGGAGCGTTCGCCTCAAGTGGCCAGAGGGCGCTGCTTCACAAGGCAGCCTTGATAGAGTAAAGAACTGCGTTCCCCTTGAGGTGGGTTTGTTGTTTAAAATGGAGGCTTAAGCAATTTATTGCTTTGCCTTTTTGTTTGCATTTGTGTGGGGAGCTATTTTTTCGCGAAAGTCCATAGCTGTGGCGCTCTCATTCTCTCTATTTATATGTATATATATGCATATATATATATATGTATATGTATAACCCCCCATTCGACCTGCGCCTGCATTCGTCGCCCTCCTTTCGTCTTCTCACCCCTTTTTTTTCCCTACGAACCCCTTGTTGTTTCCTGCAGAGCTTGGTTCTTCCTCAAGACCGCCTTCTCGCGGATTTCGTGCGGTTCATCCTTCAAATTAATCCCAAGAAACGGCCAGAACCCGAGGAGGCCTTGCGCCATCCTATCTTTTCGGTTCCTAAATGGGGTCGTTAAGGCAAGTATTCGCGCTTAAGCAACAGCGCTTCCAGGCATTTTGAACATGGGATCAAGTGAGCCGACTTAGCGGTCACTTGTTCACAGGTTGTGGCAGAGAACAACCGTCCGCAAGCGGCTCCGCGGCAGAAGACTCCAAACTCCTCTTCTCCCTTCCCCCCTCCTCGTCACCGCTGCACGGGTCGATGCGCCCTTGGTCGCTGCGCGTGTCTGCACGAAAACAACTCCCACAAGAAGTTCTTGTCTACTCTTGATGCTCTTGTGCTGTATTTATGGACGCTGAAAAAGCCCGCAATAGCGACACCCCCTCTGCCTAACTGGCAGAAGGAGGCAGAGGCAAGCAGGCAAGGAGCACCGCAGAACTGAGGGCTTTTGCGGCTTTGACGATGGCAGATCCAACATTTGGACGGGGGCAGAAGGCGGCGCATCTTGTGGAAGAAGAGGGATGTGAGGGTTCTCCAAGCAATGCCTCTGTGGCAGAGGCATGTGTCGCTGCTGGGATTCGCAGCAAGCGATGGCGAGGGAGGAAAACTGGTTGGGCTGAACAACAGTGGCGCGTTAGGGAGGGCTGGGCGTGGGAGGTGCGAGGGGTTGCCTCCCTGGCGATATCACCTTTCTCTTTGTCTTCTTTTCTCCTCTATTGTCTGTTGCTCCGTAGTAGTCGTCCCTGAGACGCTTCCCTACCCTTTAGTGTCAGGCTACTCACGCACTTGGTAACTTCCGCGAAAGAACGCGTCACTTGGCCTTTCTGCGTTCGGCCGCATAGTACCCGCTCAGGCATGCAGTTCCTTGTGTAGCTAAGGCGCTTTAAGGCGCTTGCTTTCTTAGAAGAAGAGGGGTAGCGGCGTGTCAAGGTCGGCGGGAAGAGTCCGCTACGTCTAAGTGCCTCTTTCCGCAGCAGACGGAAGCAAGGACAGCCGTGCTATGAGCTGTACCGCATGCATGCATGCATGCATGCATGCATGCCATTCAGGCGCTGTCAAAGGTAGCAAGCGGCGTGAGCGGCCGAGCTGCCAAGTACTGAGGACAGCTAAAGCTGCCGCGTCCAGGAGGAGCCAAAACGCCATACCCGTTGGCACGGGAAAATTCAAGCAGACGGCACAGGTCCGGTGCCTAACTTTTTTTCTAGGGCTGGACGACAAGGCATGCAGTAGGCAGTGGAGTGCAGTGCCACGACTAGCGTGGGTGTGTACAAGGTTGCGTGTGTGGGCCTGCCTAATGCGTGCAAAATGGCGGGCAGGTTTAGCAACGAGCATTGACGCCAAGCGGCTAGCTGACTTAATACGGTAGATCCGTGGGTGTAACACAGCATCTAGCTCTTGAAGCGATTGAAACCGTGCCCGTGGTGCAAAAGAGACAACAGTATGCTGGAAACGAACTTTTGCACGAACCTTCTGCAGCTCCGCCGACATGGAGTACGGCCCTCGGGCAAATGAAAACCAGGAAACTTGTGCTGCTACAAGATACTTGACGTTTTGGCTCTGATATGCCGTGCGAGTTTCGTAGATCCCTGCAGGGCGTGCCTTTCGCGTCGACACACTGTTGTGCTTTCTCCCACTTCCCTCCCTTTTTATTCCTTAAATACCGCTACCTGACTTTTGCTGTAGCGTTACGCTCTGGGCAAAGGCCGTTCGTTCAGTGATTTGCAAAAGGAAGGAAGTGTGCGTGTTTGCTCAAATGCAAGGCTGCCCCTTCCACTCCACGAAACACAATAGCATGCAAAGCACCATTAAGAAATTGCACGCGAATCCAAGAAATCTATATGGAAGAAAGGCTTGTTTTTCATGACCAGGATTCGATTGTGGAGCACGAATCCCCCCGAGCACCAGCGGGTCACCGAGATGTATGATGTGGTGTGAAGTGATGATGATTATCCACTTGCTAGTATATTTATTTATTGAAAGCGTTCTGAGCAGTCTGTTTCTATTTTAAAAGGTCACTCTTTGTCGGTTCGTTGCTTATTTCAGATATTTTTTGACATCCTTGTGAGGGTTTTTTGTGGCGCGTTGCGCCTGTGCTGCATTTCACCCTGCAACGGCTTTATTTTTCCGTTCTGCTCCTCCCTTAGGCGACTGCATCTTTAATCAAACTTTCCAGTTGTTGAATCAAGGCGCACTTGTACTCTTTGAGGCCTCGCTGTCACCTCCAAGTCTAGGGGCTGAATGAGCTCGAGGCTTTTACTAATAGTGGCGTTTTGTAGGGTCCACGGCTCAGCCCAAAGTCAATGTCTCAGCCTTATGGTTGAAAGCGTATTTTAAGCAGCTCCAAGACTTTCGCTTGGGGACTCTGGCCGTGCGGCGTAGCTATGGAGTACAGGATGACACAATGAGCTTCAGGTCTTTAGGTTAAGGGTCCATGGTTTCTGGATGATGGTGATGTCTTCGCCAGATACTGTCTGCCCTTCATCAAATGGCTATATGAGTCCTCGCATGCCACAGGCCGAGCAGATCCTCTCTAAGGGGTGCCAGGATATGGAAGAGTCATCGAAGTGTTCTGCGCTTTATGCTATTCCTGGTAGTTCATCTGCCTGTGTATCAAAAGGCTGTGAACCAACCCTCCGGCAAAGCTGCAGGACTAGTTTTGCCCGGGGGCAAAAAGTGGAGTGTGCGGGATCTGCTCTCTCCGTCTCACCCGTAAAAAAAGATATACAGAACGGATCGGCATCTACAAGGGAACTCCACGAAACCATTAAGGTGTGCATACCCAGACATTACACGCATCATCCTGTTACGCGACCGAGGGCTTTTAAATGTACCCGATTCGCAGCCTTGGGCTTAGAGCCAATAAACTGTGGTGTTGAATGCCGGTGTCTCGTGCCGAAGATGCTTCGGCGCATTATACGCTCAAGGGGCCCTTAAGAAGAGCTTAATTAGCTGGCTTGCTGCACTAAGGAGGTACTAATACTAACAAAGTAAGAGACGCAACTTTGTTTGTTATGGCTAAAGTCTCGCTATTCAATGGCTTTTGCGTAGATTTGGTTTGGATGCTCAGACAGAGGATGAAAATCTAAGTGTGAAGGAAAAGGAGTTGATCGGCTTTCAAGAGATTATTCCAACCACGAAACCTCACAATGGATTGCAGCAAGACCAGCAGCAGAACGGGAAGCTGACGCAGAAAGATTCAGAGCTGCAGAAGCTTGATGCGAATGCAGCAGCAGCCGCTGCCCTAGTATCGCGGCAACTGGAGCAGATTCAGGAGATGGCAGCACAAGCTCCGACAGCTTCTAGTACCAGTGAGGAGCACTTAAGTCTGCTGAAGCAGCAGCAGTCCCGAATCGATGAATCAGAAAAACAACTGACAGAGTACGAGGCGCATATCTCACAGACTGCTAAGCTGTAAACCCTCTTTAGCCGTTTTAAAGCACATTGGAACTCAACTTTTACTTCCGAGCAGTTTATGAGAAGCTACGCTGCTCTTAAATGTTATCTACCTTGTTCTGACCTAATCCGAATAACCATATTATACGATAGCAGCAATGTGCACTCGCTACCACAGCAGGAAGAATGACAACACAGTTACCTTAAAGATGAGCTACGCATATTTGCGGCAGACGCAGACGCGGAGATGCTGCAGTAGCGTTTTTGTTACCTTAAAAAACAAGCGTAAAGCCAAATAGAAGGCACCTGAGTCTCGGTTGCTTAATCCATGTTGCAAGGTTCACAAAAACCTACGGGAAATCCCGTGTGTTTTACTTACTCCAAAAGCTGACTGTGCATGTATGTTGCCTGTATCTCAACACAAAGGTCTCTTGCAGGGTCGAAAGATGCAGCGGCCCAACTGCACACTGCGAGCGACCAGCTGGTGGAGCATATTAGGCAACCGAGCAGCTTGACTAGGCGGAAAAAACCAGGGAAATCAGGAGAAAGCGCAGCGAAAGAGGGTACAGTTGCTGCTCGCTATGCAGCGGAGCTGCGAAAAGTCATGAACCAGAGGGACGCACTGGTGGCTGTTGTCAAGAAGCAGCTCAAGCTTGTTGAGGTCTTAAAGCAGCAAAAGGCACACTTAGAGGCAGTGATGTGGCTTCATATTAAGGAAAAAGAGTTCCTAGAAGTTATTAATGCAAAGGGGATGGGCGAATTCGAAGATCAACAGCCTCCGCCGCAATTACTGTTTCAGGAGAAGCAAGAACAATCTCAGCAGCAACAAGAGCAGATGGGTGGAATGCAACATGAAAATGGAGCCTGCAAGCAATCGTCAATGGCCGAAGAGAGCCCTTGTGTAGCGTAGTTTATCATCGAAATCTTGTTTTCTGCGTCCTGAATTGCCTGAGAGTCCGGCAAATACATACCGTTTCGACTGCTTAGACTTTTCAAGAAAGTCGAATCTGTTATCTATCACCCCAAACCATGATCAAGCCGAAAGATGCTGAAACCAAATGGTGCCCTTTTACATATGCAGTAGTGTTCCTCTTTCTCACATTGGGTAGCAGTAGCTAAAGTACTCCTTTACAATATGGGCCCCGGTTTAATGCTCATGGCCTCCTTTGTAATGAAAATGGAGCCTTTGTGTGATATTTTAACTTGTCTTTAGATGCAGGAACACTGCATCCGATGTATTTGGCCACTTGATGCACGCTTCGCCCCTCGCTTTTCCCCAGGTTGTATGCACGCCAGGATTTTGTTGGTCGTGTAGCACTTCCCTACGATTGGCCCGTAACAGTAGACCGCGCGCTCTGACTCCCACTTCGCCGTGCGAAAGGCTTCGCGTAAGCAGTTAAGTAGCAAACACGGGGCCATTTGGCGTGTGCTGAAATCCAGAAGTACTGATTTACTGCTTAACTTCGAGTGCTATGGCAAGAGCAAAGAAAAGCTCATCCTGTGTTTGTTGACATGGAAGTGGAAATCCGAGATCGTGCAAGCAGCGTATGCTGGTTCAATTTCAGTCACAAAAATCAAACAGGCAATGCACATTACGCCCTTAGGACTCAGTTGTACTAAAACTGGCAAAAGATATTCCTGTGCTCGGTTTCTCAAGTGACCGGACCTCGTCACACCGACGATGGGCCACCAGCTGCCGACCCCCATAGGCAATGAGTTTATGAGCAGGCACAGCATACACACAAAACTTTAAAGCCCTCAAGTTAGACGTCTAATTCGAAGCCGTCTAATTACATGACTACTAAGAAGAAGGGCACTCTTCCAAACTCGAATAGGAAGAGAACACTTCTCGATGCTGGCATTCTTCCGCTGTTGGCGGAAGACACCACATAGAATTTGGTCAAATACGAAGGTACCAGTGTGATGCAAAACCATTTTTGGTTTGTAAATGAGCTTTTGAAAGCTGTTTAGGCTGCACATGAAAGACCTGTAGGCCCTGCGTTGCTGTATCCTCAAGGAACGGAGTCACCTGGGCCCGGTCGGGTCTTTGTCCTTGCTCGTGTATACCGTTCTGGTGCCAGCATCCGGCAATTGTCTTCAGTTGCTCCTGCTATTAACTGATATTAAGCGATTTAAAAAGATAAAGTTATATTTTTTTGCGCGAATCGGATCTAAAACGTATCCTGGTCCCTTTTAAACACTGAAGGGCCAATCGGTGACCCCCTAGGACAGTCAGTGACGAATCACAGTTCGCGTCCAAAATGTTCTGTTTCCATACAAGGCGCGTCATTCATTTTAAAGCTCGTAAATGAATGGTTGCCATGAGCCCTCACAAAACCCCTGTTCCCGTTTCTCTGTATATAACCCCTCTCATTATTTTGCAGCCTACACACTGATTATTGGCTGATTGCCCACATTGCGCCCTCTCTGTTCGTGTGCTTGCTACAGATCTAGCCGCGCCTCATCAACACATAAAACCAGCAAAGGTGTGCTTCTGAAAGAACGGATTCTGGGTTTGGTGTTAAAGCAAGTCTGCGCAGTGGCGGGAGCCCTCATCCTGATCCTCTGTAGCTCGCATGGAGACCTCACACTATGTGAGTCTGCAGCTGTTTATCCCTCTTGGACTGCTCGAAGCTGGAACAGCTTTACGACCACGTATCGTCCACCGACGATATCTACGCCTTCCCCAAGAACAAGGCCAATTTCCCCTAGAGCAACCGCACGTGCTAGTCCAGCAACATCGGTTTTTGTGGCTCCTGCCCCCTCGCAGCCCTTAAACTATTCTTCTGCCTCGCAGTGGGCTAACTTTGGCGCCGCTTCGCTGTACCAGTCAATACTCTCAGCACCTGGCGAAAATAGCGCCCCTCTGGAGCCTCCTGACTTTGAGCCCGATGGCGAAACGGCAACTGATGCCACTGAACCAGATGTACCACAGGAGGACGAATATTCTCAGATATCCTCGAATCTCTTTGATTTCATCTCACAAGATGACAATACGGTGATTCAAGGGCCATCCTCTGATGAGTCCTGGTTCGCCGAGAACCCGAGCAGTCTGTTGGCTCACCCAATCGAGACAGGAGCTGTCTCAGATGACGATGAAGACGAAAACATTCCCAGAGTTGCACCTTTGATTGGACGTTCTACACTTCCACAGAATACCTACCAGCCTTCTCTAGAAGAGGCAAAGCCCAGCCATGACGCAGCGCCGCACGGACCAGGCCAACCTCAGGATGCAGCAAAGGAAAGTTCAGCAGAGCCACACCCTTCTACAGAGCCTAATATCGAGGAGGCTATGCAAAAGGAAGTTTCACCAGAGGCACCTAAAGAGCTGCCTGTAGTAAATCCCATGAACGAAACTCCTCAACAGGACCTTGAGAAAGGTCCTGGGACAAGCCATTTGGCAGAACAAGGACGCGGCTGATGGGTTCAAGCCCCCTTGAGGAGCCGTATACTCCTATTAAAGTCGGATTGAATTTGCCAAGAGGGCACACAAACTGCCTCCGTCGGCATTCAGGGTGCTGCCCATCTAGGCGTCCAGCCGCTTGCCGTGGAGAAACTTATGGGTATACCCCCCTGTCGCAACATTACAAGGGGTGCTTGGGCTGTGCTGCCCTTTCCTAGCGACAAATCTGGTTCCTCAGCCACGGCAAGCGCTCCTTCACAAGCAGCAAACAGTGTAACTACTTTTCGGTGACGTAGCGGTTGTTTGAGGCGTAGGAAGGTGGGGGGTACGTAAGACTGCTAAAGGCATTGAGCAGTACTGGGCCTGTACCTATTTAATGTGCAAATGTATTGCAGCCCTCAGGCTGCTCATGCGCTACTCACGCCTGAAGATGACCAGTTCGAAACGGGGACGCGGGGGGTCGTGTCTCGGACGGCCCATGCTCCTGGCTGTAACTGCCACGGAGTAGATATGGAAGCAAGACAGCTAAAGGAAATACGGCTGTGCAGCTTAAAACGCATGCGTTACCAACAGCAGAGGAAGCTCTATTGCTTCTTTTTCTTTTTGTCCTTCCCAGTGTCGATAGGAACCCTCACAGCGGCAGGCATGACAAAAGAAGCCTTTGCCATCACCTGCTTGCAGATAGTCTCATATTTAGTTTCCTTGCAGGGGTACTGCTGTGGTTTCATGCCTTGGCTGTAGCAAGTCTTGCTCATGAGCTGGGGCTGCATGTGGCACTTCTCCTGGTATTCCGTGCGCGTGCACGGGTATGCTTCCTTCCCCTTGACCTTCTTGTAGCATTGCTGTGGTACCATGACCCTCTCGCAGATTCTCTCGCTGCACTCAAATGCCACGTCACGTGATACCTTCCTCTTACACAGTTTAGGCACCATTTTGCACTCTTTCTCCTTGACTTCCTTGCTGCAGTCATAGGGCTGCTCCTCGGTGAATTGACGTGTGCAAGTGTCTTCGTAAGGTACCTCCTCCACGTGGCATTCCTGTTTCATCTTGGTTTCCATGCATGGATAAGCTCTTTTCTGGACGTTGAAGCGGGCGCACATTGCTACCTTTCTGCACTGTGGTGCGTCAGCTACCTTTACACATGGATACGGTTCTGTGACGGGGACTTGCCGGAGGCAAGTGCTCGCTACTTCTACCTCCTTGTCCACACAGACCTCTGCCATTTTATCTTTTTGGCATGGCACCTGCTGTTTAGAGGATACGAGCTGGTAGCAAACAGTCTCGAAAGTCTCTTCCACGTCCTTGCACACTTCCTGCCTTACCTTTTTCTCGCAATCGTAAAATTCAACTTTATCTCCCTTTTTCTTTTCGCAGGTCGCGGGAACAGACACATTTTCCATCTTGCATTTCTGAGTCAGCTGCTTCTTTTTGCATTTGTACGGTCTCTGCTCCTCGACGACTTCCTCGCACATCTCCGTCACTTTTTGAGGCACCACTTGGCAGTCCTTGCGTACCTCCTTCTTTGTGCACTCGTATTCCTGCTCGGCCATGACCTCTCTCTCGCAAGTGCTTTCAACCTGCTGGGGAGCCATGGTGCACTGCTCTTCAAAGCTCAGGGCATTGACTTCTTCCTCCTTTCCGACGCATGGCACCAACTCCTGCTGCGGTTCCTCTTTAAAGCATGTGCTTTCATACTCTTGGGGTACGTCGTGGCAGACCTTCTGCTTCTTGTGTTTCATGCATGGGTAGTTCTCCTTGCTGTTTCTCTTCTTAAAACAAGTCTGCGGTACTTTCTTTACCACTGTCTCACACTGCTCCTCTTCGCAGCCATAATCTTCGTTCTCGGTTACGGTCTTGAAGCACTGCTTGGGCACCATCTTGCACTCTTCCTTCCTCACCTCCCTCTTGCAGTCATAGGCCTCCAGGGCGTTTGTTGGCTTATAGCATGTATCGGGAACTTCTACAGGGACCCTGTCGCAAATCTCTTTTTCTACCATTTGGGGGCAGACATACGCTTCCTTAAAAGGCACATTTTCGAAGCAAACTGAATCGACTTGCACCGGAATGGTTTGGCAGACTTCCTGGATGGCAGGAGGGCTCTTCTCCATGGCAACAAACATTGCCTTACCCTTCCCATCAGCTGGAGGCATAAATCCTGCCGAAGCTTCATCAGCACTGAACACCGCCGCGGAGGCCGCGAGCGCGGCCAGGAGGAGGCGGGTCATTATTGTTCGAGTATTGATGCAGCAACGAGAACCACAAAGAACTTCAGCAGCAGGTATACCTGTAACCAAGTTAGTTCAACAGTTTATACCTGAGAAAAATGCCGAACACCAGCAGACCACGGCCATTCTGTAACCACCAGCGCGCGCCTGCCGCCGGGGGGTTAGGAAGGCGGGCATCTATCAGCCGTTCCTGCCTGCCTTTCTGAACCGGCGATCTATTATTGTCAGCCTGTCCACTGAAATATGCATAAATATAGTTGATCATTGCTTTGGGTTATAAAATAAAGCATAGTTGCGGTCAAAGAGCCGTTTCTCATCAACACCTGAAAGTGTCTCCCTAGAGTCACCGCCGGTACAGTGCGCGTAGTTCCCAACCTCGTCCATCTGGCTATATTTTCCCACTGTTGTACCCCAGTTTGTATATTCAAATGGTGTGTAGTATACTAGGGTACATATGCTTCTTGACAAAATTGACTCGGTGCCCCGATGCCACACCCCATAACGTCCAGCATAGATATATACCCGTTCTAGTTCCTGCATACCTCAGAATCAGGGGATTTCGCTTGCATTAAACTCCTTCAAGAAATTTTTGATGCAATAAAAGTAGCAGGATTGCCGTTTCCGACCCCAATGAGCAGTTCCTCTTTGGCCCCCTGTGTTCCGGTTAGATATCTCGGAGGAACTCTTCCAATTCATTGAGAAGTGGGGCAGATTGATAATCCACATTTGTAGAAACAGGCTGCATCTCACGTGTATGTCGGCTACTGCCATATAAATGTATTTCTTAAGATGATTTTTCGCATGATCTAATACTGCTGAAGCTCCATTTTGAATTTTCCTAGAAAACTAAATGTTTGTCTAAATCGCAGACCAACAGCAGCGTGAAAAGCATTGGAAGATGAGAAAATGCTAAAGAAGCTTATTAGCATCACGCAAAAAGCCGGTTTAAATGTATGGTCCTCGTCTACATGCCCCAACGATTTGGGATCAAGCTTCAGCCAAATTTTCAAGATACAGGCAGAAATATTTGGACCTTCGGCACGCGCAGACTGCGCGGCCATAGGACTATAACAACGCGTCATCTGCTCCCTATTAAATTGATCCCGTGAGAAACAACGGAAATATTAAAATGTTCGCCGCTAGGTGTCTGGTGCGTAGACCCCGCTTCACAGGAAGGCTTCACTGAGGAGGCGAAAGCCGAAATCGGGTGCTCTTCTGAGTTGAATTCAACTGCTAAGAGAGATTCAAGCATCGCTCTGTAAAAATTTGCCAGACAGATCCAGCATTTCACATTATTTTACAAGCATTCAGTGCATGCAAGTGCTGGAAAGTGTAAAGAGACTTCGGCAGCTCAAGTAGTCTCAGGCGTCTTCTTTGCCCGTCTCAGGGCTTAACCTGTGAAAACGAGCACACATCCACACATACACACACCGCAGGGAAAAGACCCTCCATACATGCTTGATGCGCCATGGCTCCCGTCAGACAAGTGTCGGCAAAAAAGGTTGCATTACCGGAGATGCCATATGGATTGCCTTGAGGAACATCCATCGATTAGGTGCCGACAGTACGCGGAGTGGAGCCTATCCGCGCTCCTGTGGCATCTTGGTTTTTTAAAAATTCAAGGGCCTCCTTTTGTGCCATGGCATATTCATCTGGACTCTTCGGCTTGGCTGCTTCTCCCCCTGACTTTGCCTCTGTCGGTGGTCTGAGAGCCTTTGGCTTCTTCGTTACGAGGCGTTTTAAAGGCGCGCATTTCCTTGGAGTTTCGTAAAAGGTCTTTGTGAAGTTCACTTGAACTGCACGTTGAAATCGACCGATAGTCTCGAACCCGTTTCCAAATAGGCACACCTCCTTAAGAGCCGGGCACCGAGGGATTAAGCCATCGAGCATGGCTTTCATGCCTTCTTCTGGTATGGCGTTTCCCTGCAACTCCAAAGCGGTGAGAGTGGGGAATTGCCTCGATTCTTCTGTGACGCGTTTGCACAAGGCGGCAGCGAAAGAACCCCCTAGACCGCAAGCGTTCAAACAAAGACGCTGAATACGGTGTTCTATAAGTCTAAGGACGAACAGCGCAACCTCTTCACTATCTCCAAGAGGATTTCCGTCGAGCACTAGACGTGCACATATCTTCGCGCTGCCGCAGAATTCAACCAGATCTCCTAGTGCCGCATTAATGGAAATGGAATTAAACGACAAATCCAGTTCTTGAAGTTCGACCAGAGCGAATGCAGTTCTAGGAAGGCGTTTCAACACATTTGCATCCAACGCCATGCTGCTCATGTCAACAGATTTAAGACGGAAATCCTCACATACACCACCAAAAACGCGAGTTAGCTGGCCTAGTCCTAGCGGCTGCCCCCCGAGATCCAAATGCGTTCTGAAACAACTGGTACAGTACTGACCAACTCCAGGATGAAGCGCCTCTTTTGTGGTTCGAGCAATTGTATTGCATTCCACTCCTACCCGCCTGGAACAATTGACAAAGAGACAGATATATATATATATATATATATATCAGGAGAAACCTCAGAATTTCTGGAGGAACCATTGGGCAGAACAAGCGAACTAGAGGGCGAAGCGCCGCATAAAAGGGTTCTGGCTGCAGGCTACTACTGCCTTCTCGTGTGGCTTGTCTCAAGCAGTACAGCAAAAGACAAAGATCACGCCAAATGCTCTCTCTCTTATGTTTGCTTCCTCCCTTAGCTCGCCGCCACTGGTACTCTGGTCGCCCCTATCTTGAGCTCTCCTCTACCTTGGAAGAAGCCTCTCTCTCACCTGATGGTAAGCACTCTGAACCACTCGTTCAGAAACTCTTGAGATTCTGCCTCGAGCATCCACACTTCCACCTCCGTCTTCGAGATGGACTGCATGGATGTGATCTTCTTACCCGCAACTCGGATCTTCGCATCCACCAGAGACACCGATGATACCATAATTCCGCACAGGCCAGTGCCAAAGGATCGACTCAGCGTGCCCAAGGGGCTGCCAGAGAGCCGCTTGCTTTTTTTAGACACGGAGAACGTCGACCTCGGGGGTACTTCATAACGGAGCAGTGCAGATCCGCGGAGTTCAAAAAATGCAAGAAAGGGGTCGGTGCCTGCCTGAGGCGCATACCAGTCCGCTGCCGTAGCTTGAGTTTCTACAAACAGCCGACCGCTAAGCACCGCAGGCAGCGAGAGGCATCTCTCGGGCAATTCGCTTTCATCTAATGAACGAAATGGGCATGCAGGACTGCCTGTAGACAGCTGCGTCGGACGCATCAGGGGTACTTCTTTCAAAACTTCAGAAAGCGTTCCCTGCGTGAGCTGCGGGATGTTCGGTAGACAGAGGACCTTGAAGCGAGGGAGTGTTTTAGCAATCGCCGTCGCGAGCACCTTGAGCCCTTTTGTTGATATACTATTCTCTCCGACGCTGACCGTCTTGGGCACTAAAGAGGGCTGATCAATGTTGCGCAGCTCAGCAGCAATAGCCCTGCAGGCTTCATCTGTAATGTCTACTCGCCGCAGATCCAGCAGCAGAGGATCTGCGCTGGCCACCATGTTGGCAATGCCTCGCGCACCAGCTACATCTTCTGCCGCCAAGTAGTTCTCGGCAAGGAAGAGCTGAGATATTCCCAGCTTCGGACAGAAATCGGCCATCACCTTCAGCACAGAAGATCCAAGCTTGTTCGCAGAAACATCCAACTTGCGCACAGCCCGCGGAACGTGCTGCAGACAGGTGACGAGGCCTTTTGTATCCATTTCCCGCCATCCGCAGTACAAGGCGTCGAGATACGGTAGATTGATGGACGTAAAAATCGCGGTATCGATTTCCTTGTGGAAAGGAACCCCTTGTAGCACGATTTCTCTAGGCCCTAGATTGAATAAACTTGCGGCAACCGGCTCTAGAGGCTGTTGCGAATGGTCCTTACATGCAGAAAGATAGCGGGCAAACGCCTTTCTACCGTTCATGACCACGAGCCATTCCAGTGTTTCTGCCTCGGTATCTGCACTAACAACACCACTGAAAAAGGCCGAGGAACGTAGCGCTAGCTGAGCCTTTGAAAACGCCGAACCCTCATCAGGAGATTCAACTTTGCTAGTTGGAGGGCTCTCGCCTCCTGGAGCTATCATCCGAGCACTTATTCTGATAGCCTTGTATGGAGCTCCAGACTGCTCATTCGTCATGGAAACTTCACTCGCTTCGCCCGTATTATCCAGCACGAAGCTGCACAGGTATTTCCAGTTCTTCGGTTCTTCTGGGGGTACATGCTTGGATGTCTTTTTCCTGCACAGCGCTGCCAACGACCATTTCTTCTTCCGTGGCTTGTCGTCTGGACACACATACACCAGAAAGGCGGGGCCTCTAGCCTCCACCATGAGAAACATGCAGAGGGATTCTTCGCGAGCTCCAGTCGATTTTCTCAACATCATGGGTGGCTTCCACGCGTCCATCCTCCCAGTTTTCACGGCGCTCGTATCTCTAGTCTCCAGCAGCAGCCTGCCACAGTAGTCAACGGGCAGCTTCATCCATTCCTCGAAAGTTTCTTGAGGGGCTTTGTACTCTAATGCAGTATACACGGATTGCTTGAAAACAGGGATATGAGTGGACTCATAGCTGCTGATGGAAATTGTCGATATCGTCTCGTCGTTGCTGCTGCTTTCCTCCACTGATTCTTCCTCCTCTTTCTCCTTGTCTTCTTCTTCTTCTTCCTCTGCTGGTTTGCCCTCTGCCTCTGCTTCTGACTCTTCCTCCTCATCCCTTGGACCTGCAACGCCTCTGCCCTCCATCACTTGCGCCAACCGGCTGCTGGCATCTCCCCTCTGCGTCTGCAGGACCTTCCTAATGCGTTCTTTCCGCTTTTCTTCCTCGATACGTTCTTCCGTTTTCAGTATTTCCAATGACCCTTCAGCTTCAGCGCCCGTTTTCTGACGAGCCTGAAACACAGCCGCACGAATCACAAAGCGGTACAACTAAATATATATATATATATATATGTATATATATATATATACATATGGCTGCATCGCGCAGCGTCTTGCTACGATATAAAAGCTGATGAATGAATGTTCTTGTGGACGCGAAGTGCATCATGTCCTAACAAGACCTAACAATGCGGTAGTTTTTAGCAAAGCGAAAAAAAAGCCGTTTTAACACAGCGGCTAGCTCCTCTCTTAGCTTGTTCAAATGCGACCTTCTGCTGCCACAGCGAAGTTTCAGTATCTTACTTCCTTGAGATGCGCTTTCTTTTTCTTCTTCCGTCTGCGACCGAGGAGCTGCGCGATTTGCTTTTTGACTTTCTTCTTTTCTGCCTCAACTTCGTCTGACGGGGCCTCTTTTCTGAGTCTTCGATAGACGTTCTTAAGCTCCTGCAAACGCTGCATTTGCTCTTCAGAGAGTACTACCTCTGAGGGTTCCCCTTCCTCTTCCTCTTCGGAAGCTTCTTCGGACGACTCTTTGCCAGCTCTTCTCGAAGTCTCCCCCAGATCCAGTAACGGCGCAAGTTCTCTCTCTCTGGCCTCCCTCAAACGGCTTTGCACTTCTTCCTCCTCCTCCTCTAGCCTTTTGCGAAACTCTTGCTCTTCGAGATCCTTCATCTCTCTTAGTGCCCCTGCCAAACAACAGCATACCACCGAACCCTAAAGGCCACGCTAGCAACAATCCGGAAACTTGCGAAAGACAATTTTTTCTTGTGCTCTAAAACTCCAGTCCTCCTCTATCGTTGCTCTCGCCAGTGTGCTTGCGCGCCTGTCCCATACGGTGTGGCCGACGTCTAGCCGGCTATATGGATATAAATATGAATATATTTTATATATATCAGCGTGTTGTCACCCTACATGCAAGGCAGCCACTGCTTTTCTCGCCAAACGTCGCATGCAGGCAGAAATTAGAGCTGTGTGTGTCTGTGTGTGTGTGTGTGTGTGTGTGTGTGTGTGTGTGTGTGTGTGTGTGTGTGTGTGTGTGTGTGTGTGTGTGGGTGTGTGTGTGTGTGTGTGTGTGTGTGTGTGTGTGTGTGTGTGTGAGTGTGTGTGTGTGTGTGTGTGTGTGAGTGTGTGTGTGTGTGTGGGTTTGGGGGAGTGTGTGTGTGGGGGTTTTGGGGTTTGGTGACGGTGGTTGACGTGCATTTGTGTTGCATTGGCTATGTGTGTAGGTATGCGCGTACGTGGTCGTTGTGTACTGTGTCTGTTATTACTGTTGATGGTGTGTTTTTAGTTGTGTGTTATTG